ATAAAATTTTATAAATAAATTAATTGTAATGAACTTAATTGTCTTTAAAGCGACTAGCAGTATAGTGATGAGCAACTGCGTGCGCGCTGTTCTTTCTTTGCTTGGTAAAAACTTTTTTGAAAAAAAAATGGCTTGTGCACTTGGTAAAATAATTACTAGCGAGCCGTGACATAGGAAGGATAAATTTAGTTTTTCATGTAACTTTATAGATTAAGTAAGGTTTGTAAATAAAAAATAACATATATTTTTTGGATATTCATATATCCAAATAATATATGTTATTATATAGATAATTACAATAATTCTAAATTTAATTTTATCTAGTTAGTAAGATTAGTTTTAACAATTTCATTGTTACATAGGTTCTCAAGTTCACCGACCGAGACATCGGTGTACAAATACACTTTTGTTCCTTGTCCAGAATTGCAATAGCGTTCCCTACAGTGGTAGCTGGAACTCTTCATAAGGTCCCAGAAATATCTGGAGGCTATCTCTATGAACACCATACAATCTCTACCAGGATTCAGTGAGTTCGCTGGAATTGGAAGACAATCATCATTGCATGAACGAATCAAGAGAAATGTTAAATGTGTTCTTTACAATAAATCAATAAATTAAACCCGGATGAAAGAAATCACCAATGCAAAAGGCGAACGAAACCGTACCTTACCAGGAGAATGCTCACAACTCGTAGTACTTTTTTCGGTAGAGACCAGGAAGTGGTGTGAAAAATTGGGAGTGTTAACACATATAAGGAGTTTCCGACTACGTAGAAAGCCATACCTTCAAGGAGAAACTTATGTTCATCTATGGGACCACCGATTGCTTAACTTCTGAAACAGCTTCAACGCTAAGCCAACAAGAAGTAGAGCAATTAGTACCTAAGGCTAGAAGGGATAAAACTCTTGTTCAACTTAATCAAACTAAAAACGCCACAACGCTTGCGTTAAGCTAGGTTAGAGACGCCGGAACAACTCAACCAGACCCGGAAATTATCATTCTTGTGCAAATATTGACGTTAGCTGAGCTAGGTCAATATCTAATAGTTGTCAATATCTAATACTGAAGAACCGTAACGCAAAAGTACATATACGTACATAAATGACGCATAAATTACGCCATATTCGCTAGTAAATATCAGGAGAAGCTTCGCATTTACGACGTTTAAAATGAACTGGTTTTCTTTTGAGTATGCATTTTTTGTATTTTGTTTGAATTTGAAATTGAGTATCCTCCAATATCGTATTATCACAAAATATTTTATGTGATATGAAATCCGTAAAGCATTAGGAGAGGTCCAGCAGCAGACTGCCGCATGTAGTTGAGGTAGTTGTGAGTTTGTGTTATATTTAAAAAATATTTTTCTTTTGCCTGTAGTGCCATTTTATAAACCCTTTAAAAACGCAGATAGTTCTATCATGTTTTACAACACATACATATATCTAATTACTATAAAACTGCACACTGAATAATATAGTGACCTACGACAATCGTGCACCAAAGCTCGTCCTTTTGTTAAAATTATTAAGGGACACACAATGTTTTTTTTTTTTGTGGTTTGTCGCTTTATTATGAAGTTTGCAATACTATCACAAAGGCTATGGCATCTTATCAGAAAATTTGTTTTAAACAACTACTATATTTATACAATTTATGTACACGGGAGTCAATTCCAACTGCAGACATAAACTTACCGTTTGCACCACTAATAGATTTAAAAGTTTATATAAAATTAGGAAGAAATTGCGTAGGAAATTTGTTTCAGTTTTTAAAGTTAGGTCTGCGGTTGAAAATGACTGACAATACTATGATTTGTGTTAATGTATAATTTTTAGTATTGCATAATCTATACGAATATTAAATCTACTTATTTTACATCACCATAAATAGTTTTCCTTTATGCATTTATAGAGTGTAAGACACATCATACAACAATGAATTTCTCAATACCATTCAGCATTATCAATGTAAAAAATAAACTGTCCGTTTCTTTGTGCATGTATTAATACTTGCGAGAGGTGTTCCACACACGCTTAGGCCGTACATTGTGGTTTTATTCCTTTATAGAAACCATTATATATAAATTCTTGCAAGTTAATTTGTACGTTCAGTGTTGCTAGTAAAATCAATTAAAATATTTAACAACTCAATTTATAAAATTACAGTGAGTATTATAAATAGAATTTGATGTCACATATAACAACGGGTAATATTTAAGTCACTCGTCAAAGTATAAAAAATATAGATAACTCAAAATAAATACATAATGATACTGTGTCGTCGAGATTATTGAACATTTTTTTCTTTTTAACTACTTTGAACGTTTAACGGATGTTATATTTTTTAATGTAAAATTTTAACATTAGAAATATATTATCCGAATCATATGAAATAAAAATATATTTGAAGCTATAGATTGACAGCATCAGTGCAGGACTTTGTAAACGTAAAGGCAGGATTATAGAAGGAGTCACTGAAAAGATTCTTCACGGCAATTCACACAAATACAATATTTTTTTAGCTTTACTCCAAATACTGAATTATTTTCAATAATTAAATAAATTTGCCATGCTGGCCACCACATTATATTCGGTGTACGGTACATCGTTCCGTGGATGTCGTAAGCCACACCTATGGGAAATATCAGGAAAATCTTATTGCTTCCGATAGACGCATAAGGATGCGTAGACGTCAACTTTTGTCTAGACAAACTGTTAGATTCTTTTTTTAATTTAAAAATGGTTAGGAAAAACCAATATTTCGACTCAAAGGTACTGTTTAAATGTTTCCCAATAAGCGCGTAGAAGGTTGTAGATATACTTTTTAACTGAAGTATTTGCACTAGCTGTTTACTTTCAAACTTATTCATAAGGTAACAGTCAATTAAATTTTGTATTTTTAGCGAGTACACGTCACAAAAAATAAGTACAAAATAAGGCCTACAAAACAAGTTATTTCGGGAACATTTGCTTCTAGACGTGAAAAAGATTTCCCTAAAAATTAGACACAAAGTCCTGGACTGACATCCCGTATATTGTGCACTGTTGTTGTGCTGTGTTACTCTGTAAATTCATTTGCCAATGTTGGCGAGTAACTTAAAATAATTTAAAATATTACACACATATTCATAATAATAAGGAATTAATTTCATATTCCATAATACAATTATCAAGAGTCAAGTCAAAATATAATAACAATATCTGATAATATTCTATCTGAAGACGTCAAACGTAAGTCACGAGTCATACAAGGAACAATATTTAAATCAGTAAATATTTTGATTAAATCTACATAACATTTTATACTGAAATTATGGCACCTGGGAAACAATTATTTATATTTTATGTTCAATGCAAAAATATGTATAATATGGGTATTTGTGTCTCCCGTGCATACATATCATAGTAATTCATCAATAGACATATACTCACGCAACATAATGCCACATATATTTACAATAAATGCATGCAAACATTCATGAACTTATTCAATAGTTACATTATCATATACGATAATTACATTTTATTAATTATGTCAACATTTATATGTCTATATGCCACAAACATATACTTGAACTATTATTGGCACTGCACAGGTTTTACAAAGAATTCTGAATGTTCTTTGCAATATTGGATTATGGCTTCATCCCATGGATTATTCAGAAAAATCATTTTTATTTACTAATGGACAAAAAGTATATTATATTTTGAGATAATAACAGTGATATATGTATAGATTTTTATAAACAAGCCGGCACCTAAAGATTTGTTCAGGCTATAGGGAATACTTTTAGTGTGTATATGTTTTTAAAGTATGGTCACGGAATAGTAGAGTTTATCTTCTATATTAAAAAAGGATTGGTTATTTTTTAAACGTATAAACAGAAATTCTGAAATGGCCAGTATTAGCAGTGCTAAGCGAAAATGGACTATGATCAATGACAATACTTTGTTAATGAACTGACAATCATATCAGAGTCAAGACATAAACAGTTCAAGTAGGTTCGAAATTTATATTTAGACATAAAATAGTGAAGATAATTAAATGGAATGTCTGTACAATATCTAACTTAACAACTATATAATATATTTGTTGCTTCTATATAAATTTTAATTCATCAAATTCAAATTATTGTTCGTTTTTAATAAAATTTATTGTAAAATATAAAATACCAGGTAACACTGGGAAGACAAAAATTAGATCAATAAAATACTAAAATTTATTTGCCGCAGGAAACGACAGCCTTAGATTTTTTTGAAATAATTATTTCTCCTAAAAAAAGAAGGAGTATAATCAAAGGTAAAACTTTTTTAACTGTACAATAAAATTAATTTGTGTGTAGATAGGAAAAATACAAATAATATAACGAGGAAGAAAATTTTACTTCATATTTTTTTAATAATGATTAATAAAAGTGAATTCTATTCATTATTTTTGACATTAGAAAGTCATGAAATTGAATTTCATTTTGGGGTTAAAAATTGATGGAAACATTTACGTATAGCGTCATGGATTCATCAAAAAATATACAAACAAAAATCATTGATGTTTCTCAAACAGCACATAAATTTATCAGTAGTTTGTGTGCCTTTGCCTGTTTTATTTTATAAACACAGTTTATAATTCACCAGAGTCAAAATCCCCCGGGTTTGTAATTTAACACGCGTTATATTTTTAAATATCGTTGGTCGACGGACATAAGTTATATTCGTTTTTGACTTATAGGTAGGAGTGTTCGCGTATGTTACATCTAGTTATAGAATAACAATACAGTATAAGGTAGGTTTTGTACTAGATCAAGTTCCGCATCGCTAGCCAATTTTACTCGACAAAGATGTCTTCCTTGACGTTTCCATCCGTGTAAACTGCGACCGGTGCGGAGTGCGAGTGGGCTGGGTGATAAATTGGCTTAAAGTGGCTTACAGCGTGGCGGGGTGGCGGGGCGCGGGGCGGGGGTGGGGCCGGGGCCGGGGCGCGGGGCGCGGGCGCGGGCGCGGGCGCTAGGTGCGCGGCGCCACGGCCGCCGGCGGCGGCTTGGGCGGCAGGCGGGGCGCCAGCCTGTACACATTCAATAAATAAATATCTTGCGTGTAGAGTCATGCTGCAACTATATTACAGCTGTAGCACGAATGACTCGGCTCGACCGGGGAACGACTACGCTCTCACAGACGAATATTAGCGTAAAATAGCAGCTTAACGCAATATTGCTGTGTTTCGCACGATGACTGGAGAGAATCGGAGACCATTTTAACAGGAAACGACGCATTCCATCCTAGTCCCCAGGGGTGACAAAGCATACTGCATTTTGATCCTTCGATCGATGATAGATGTATAGTAACTTGGTGATAGATGTGTGGCGGCGCTATCGTCGCACCACATACGTAACGCGCCCAAGTACTTCAATAAATATAGAATAGAATAGCTCTGTACTACCCACACAGAGCATTGGCCGCTACCCGGGCAGACATTCTGCCCAGCAAGAAATATCTCCCCTTTTCCAACCACGATCAAAAATGACATGACTACTCTGACGCCTAGGAATCCGGCTGGGTAGATACCATATTTTACATATTCTGCTGCTAAACAACAGTGCCTGTGTGTACCAATGTAAAGAGTAAAGAAGAGTTCAGTATACAGACCTTGAGGAATTCCATCTTAGTCCTCAAAGAAAGCTACGAGTTAGAAAAATAAAACATTTTGAGAACATGTTAAGTCTGCAAGCACGCACTAGAGTTGCACAGCAGACTGATTGTTGCCATGACTCTTTTACAAATTATAGGAAAATTGTGCCCAGCAGTAAGACGTATTCATACTTTACATATCTGTTAAGTGGGGAATGCGTATCGTTCCTGTAGATAAAGTAAGTAAAATAATTAAGATGGCATAGCCTTAACGTGTTTTGCTAGCATAAGCAAGTTTTCGTGTCTTTGTATAATGTTTGTGTTTACACGACAGTTTTTTTTTTACATTCGCTACAGCAGCGCGGAATACGTAGAACAGATAACTAATAATTACAGAAAGGCCTGCTCTGCCCAACAGGTTTTTAATAGAGCGCAACAAACGGAATATTTTACATTTTTTGTACTAACAACATGGTGGGCTGTGTATAATATGTGTATTCTAACGCAGTTATGACGAGCGTGTGTACGTGTATATGTACTTACGCGACGATAGGGAGCGTATGCTCTACAGATGTGTACATGTGTACTATGGTGGCGATGACGTGCGTATGTCAACGTGCATGTGTGCCTATGCGGAGATAGCACAATGCATGTGTATACGTGTTTACTATGCATGTGTGTATATGTGCAATAATACTGGGGCCACAGTAACGGGAAACATCAATGTCCATAAACGCAACAATTGTTGTTTTAATTTTAACGCGATAAACTGAGTGGCTACACTTTAACGGTCAACGTCATTTCAATTTCAATGCCTTTGAACGGCGTTAAAGTTGGCGTTAATGTTCCTTGAATTTCAAGTAATATGGACGTCGACGCTGCTACTCTATATTTGATGATTGTAAATTTTTATTATGAAATTTTTTTAAATTTTTATAATGATGTATGAATATATTTTATCATTGCCAATTGAGAAAAATAATTTGCGATGTACGATTCTTAAAACTTTTGAGTCTCGGATCCCACAAACATGGCTCTGTTTGCAGAATCTTACGAAACGTAATAACCTTTTCATTATTCCACTCCATCATAGCCATACGTTCGACCCCGTTGCGCTCACCGTGCATAATGAGACAAACGTAGTGTGGTCGCTTTAACGCGTTAATTCGTGCGTTAATCTCTTTGATGTACCACGACTCGAGTTATCGCCAAACGGAAACCGGCATTGTTAGCGCTGCAGCAGCGCGGAGTGTGCGGGCCGCAGCAGCTCGGGCGCGGGCGTGTGTGTGTGCGTGTGTGAGTGTATACTGACGCGGCGGTGTGGTGCCCGCGCTGCAGCAGCGCGGAGTGTGCGGGCCGCAGCAGCTCGGGCGCGGGCGTGTGTGTGTGTGCGTGTGTGAGTGTATACTGACGCGGCGGTGTGGTGCCTGCACTGCAGCAGCGCGGAGTGTGCGGGCCGCAGCAGTTCGGGCGCGTCCGTGTGTGTGTGCGTGTGTGAGTGTATACTGACGCGGCGGTGTGGTGCCTGCGCTGCAGCAGCGCGGAGTGTGCGGGCCGCAGCAGTTCGGGCGCGTCCGTGTGTGTGTGCGTGTGTGAGTGTATACTGACGCGGCGGTGTGGTGCCTGCGCTGCAGCAGCGCGGAGTGTGCGGGCCGCAGCAGCTCGGGCGCGGGCGCCGGCGCAGGCGCGGGCCGCGGTGGCAGCGGTGGGGGCGCCCCTGTAGCAACTGCGGCCACCACACCACCACCCGCGGGAGATCCACCGCTGCTCATGTTGCCGGACTCGCTCCAGGACGTCTGACGAACATCGAATATTCTTTAGTGGTCAGAACCAACGTTTATACAGAAATTGTATAATGTATAGGATATTGTACTGAAAGAAGATGTAGTGACAAAAATTGAGAAAGGTATGCTGAGATGGTTTGGTCATGTTGAGAGAATGAATGAAGAACGATGGACGAAAAAAGTGTATAAAGCGAGTGTGAATGAAAGTGTTGGAAGGGGTAGACCTAGGCGGACATTTCTAGACCAAATCAGGGACGTCTTGAAAAAAGGTCAGGTCAAGAGTACCCTAAACCGTAGAGCATGTATGAAGGGAATAATGAAAGCGGACGGAGCGAAACAAGTATGTAAGGATCGTAGCAAGTGGAAAGAAGTGGTCTCTGCCTACCCCTACGGGAAAGAGGCGTGATTATATGTATGTATGTATGTATGTATAGGATATTGTATTATACTGATTGACTTTTTACCGTCTGAAAATAATATGGTGTTTTTGTAAGTGGAAAAGAAGCTATCTTCGAAAGTATTTTGTGAAATATGACTGATAGACAAAATTTCTGAAAATCCAAAAAAATACATAAAAGCCATTCATCCTACGGCATTTGCGTAAAACTATAAATAAATTACATTATTTTAAGCGGCGTAGACTACGATCGCTAGTGAATGAAAGTTGTGCCGCGAACGAGACGCATGCACATTTCTTTCGTTCTTTCGGCATTCATCGTCGTTATCTAGGCGCCAGAAGACCGAGTGGGAGAGGCCGACACATCGTTGCAGTACTGTTTGGTGTAGCCGATCCCAAGCCCGGATAAAAGAGGCGTGGATTCGCCGGAGTTTGTATCCGGTGGACTAACACACGTTGTTTCGGTGCCGGAGGATCATATCCCGACCCTGATGAAAGCTGGACGCCGTCTCGCATGTGTATGTGGGGCAGTCTACGTGAAACTCCAGGGTTGTGGAGGTAAATTTTTTGATACTCCATCAAGCAAAGAGGCAGAAAACAACCCGAAAGTCATGGATACCAGGGCCATAGTTACCGGTACAGCGGAATCACTGGATGCCAAGTCCAGTGACGAAACGGCCTGCACAACTGAGCCGAAGCCACCAGTAGAGATCAGACTCAGCAGCAGCTCGCTGAGTGAAGAAGAGGACTGCATTTTTCCGTCAAATTCCGACTCGACTTATTTTTGGGCGGAGACGAAGAGGCCACGATTAATGATGGCGTGCCTTTCATCCAGAACTAGACTAGTGCAGACCAACCTCCACCACAGCGAAACTGTGTCGGCTCTATTAAGCAAGTGGTTTAAGACTTAAAGGACGGCCAAAGCCTTAATCCAGGAGCCGTGGGTTGGGGCTGGTAAAATCAAAGGCCTAAAAGTTATTCTAGAACTCTGAGCACGACAAGCTTAGAGCACGTATTTACACTACTAAAGATATCTGTGCACAACCATTAACAGATTTCTGTTCCAAAGACATGTATGCCATAGCAATACATAATACACAGCAGGAAATATTAATCGTCACCTCGGTCCCTCCCCTTCATGACCTCGACAGGCTGGTGAATCTATGCGAGAGGACTAGACTAGAGATTGTAATCGGGACGGACTCCAACGCGCATCATCCCCTCTGTGGAATGGAAAAACCCAACGAACGAGGTAAGGTATTAGTTGAATATCTTTAGCACTAACCTAACCATTTTAAACACAGGGTCCGCACTGCAACTTTCATAAACAAACTTAGTCACACAATAATTGACCTCACACTTGCAACAGAAGAAGCAGCTAAACTAATCACGGTATAGCATATGTCGAGAGAGGCTTCATGCTCAGACCATAGATGGATCTGCTTCGTACTACAGGTCGACCACCCCGCTGCACCACCATGGAGAAATCCCCGCAAGACTGACAAGTACAAAGTACAAAGTACCTTAATAAGCTAACGTCTTCGCTTGCGGGTTTTGAGGGGATAAACATTATAGCAAATCAGTCGCTCCTAGAAGAACAGGTAGTATGTCCAGAAATCACTCCACCAAGGCTTGCTGAGGGAAAGCAACCGTGGTGGGGTAAAGAACTAGATAGGAAACGCAAGAAGGTAAGAATAAGCTAATAACGGGGAGGGTACTATATTAGCGCTACTAGACTTTTCTTGCGCATTTGACTGTATAAATATTACTTTATTATTGGCTAAATTAAAATATTATGGTTTTTCCGAAGATAGCCTTAATTGGTTTGATAGTTACTTCAGTCATAGAACCCAACAAGTTGAGCTGAAAACAGAAAACGGTATGATTCTTAATTCAAAACCGAAACAAGTCAAACGTGGGGTTCCTCAAGGCTCGATTTTAGGGCCATTAATTTTTATACTATATAGCGCTGACGTCATTAAGAACCTAATACATTGTAAGCATCACATGTTTGCAGACGATCTTCAGATATATATATTTCATGTAAACCTAGTGACACTTCCTCCGCATTTCAAAAAATCAATGAAGATTTGGCACGCATAGCTCAATGGTCCGCAACAAATACTTTAGCACTTAACGCAAGTAAGTTAAAAAATTTGATTCTTGGCACACAACACAAAATAGAAAACATAGTAAATAAGGGACAGCATATATCGATTAATGGTGAAGTAGTAAATAGGTGAAGGAAGCTAGAATTCTTGGATTAATTGTAGATGATGAGCTCAAATTTGAAAAACATATCTCTGAGGTCGCAAGAAATTGTTTCTACCGATTAAAAATTCTTTATCAAATCACTTCCCTCTATCCCTATTCACTAAGTACGAGTATTAGGATTCAGCTGGCTAATTCTCTGGTGCTGTCAAAATTTGACTACATGGATGTTGTTTATGGTCCTCGCTTACTCGCTCGAACAGAAAACACTATTCAGAGGGTTCAAAACGCATGTGCTCGGCTTGTTTTCAGTATATCACCCCGTACTCATGTCACACCTTTTCTTAATAATGCTAATATGATAAAAATGAAAGGTAGACGCAATTTGTATATGGCTTGTTTATTATTTAATTTATTAAAATATCGTACTCTACCCTATCTCGCAAATAAACTTGACAACTCCTGTGAGACGTAAAAATATTAAACAAGGCGGTCTAAGTGGTCTTTAAAAGTTCCAAGCTGTCGTATTCAGTTATTTCGGGGTAGCTTTAGATACGCAGCCTCAAAATGCTGGAACGATTTACCACCCCCACTGCGTAGTTTGACATCATTATTGGTTTTTAGAAATAAAATACAAAATCCATGTTCTCAATATACAAAAACGTATATAAATATTATTTAAAGCTGCCACCAAATAGACATAATGTGCTCATAATTAGCAAACGTCACACATATATTCTAGTAAATTTTAGTAGTATATAATAGAAGTAGTAATAGTAGTAGATTTTATAATTATTATATTGTTGGAAATAAATAATTTGCGATGTTTGTTATTATAAAATCAGCAATATCGGCATCTCACTTTTTCATTTTTTCTTTTTTACTCACTATGTGTTTATGTGTGGTAGGTGCAACAAGTGTAGCATCGTAATAGTGGTACTGGTTGTTGCATATTCGACCGTACGTTACTCACTATAGGGCGCACTGAAAACCAGCTTCGTGGATAATACCACGAAATAATGCTGAGTGTAGCCCATTTATACCAAACCCACACACATAATAAAATTTTGATTGTAATGATTTTATTTATGTTTATATTTGTTTCGGTCTGTAGTTATAAGTTTTTTAGTGCATAATATCTTTTGTAACATGTGTGTTGGTGTTTGATGTAATAAATAATTTTTCTTTCTTTCTTTCAAAAGCCCTAAAAATAGGGCCATAAATATCTCAATGGATGAAGACTGGCTACTATATTAGAAAGCTAAATCTGAGTACAAAAAATGTATCAAATATTGTTCGACATTGATGGCGTAAATTTTGTGGTAACATAGAAACCTGTGAACAAACGAATCGGAAAAGGAAAATCTCTTTAAATAAACCCGACGGCAACTACTCAACATCGCCTAATGAAACCCAACGCATCCTAATTGAAACGCACTTCTTCCCAGGTTGCTGCGTAACTCAGGAGGTGAACCGGCGTGTAGATGCAGTGATACCAACAACCGAAGACTGGAATTTAGTACAGAGAGTGATCACAGTGGATAAAATCCATTGGGCCATTCACAGTTTCCTTCCCTATAACGCGGCAGGACCCGACGGCATTTCCCGGCACTCATACAGTGGGTAGGTAAAGGCCTAATAGTCAGACTTGTTGCCATAATGAAAGCTTTTCTGGCTTTCAGATATGCTCCTAGGGGACGGAGGAAAGTGAAAATTACGTTCATACCCAAACCAGGTAAGAGCGACTATACGGACCCAAAATCTTATATACCCATTAGTCTCACCTTCTTTCTCCTAAAGACGATGGAGAGGGTGCGTGGAAGGGATTTAAAGGGGTCGGCGTTAATGAGATTACAGGATAAACTACTACTACACTACACGATAAACAACACGCCTATAGCTTAGGCAAATCGACACTTCACCAGGTAATAACAAAGATTAAAGGGCCCATTCAAAACAAAGAAATATGTCTAGGATCCTCAATAGATATAGAAGATGCTTTTGACAGAAGGAACGTCTCCAGCATAAAAGTTGCACTAAGTAGACATAGAGTTGAACCGGCACTGATTGACTGGATAGTAAACATGCGCTGTTCACGAACAATAAAGATTGCTGGTAAATCTCAAGTTTTCACAGATGGTTCTAAAACAAATGAAGGTGCAGGATCTGGAACTTTCTCTGAAGACCTCAATGTCCACATATGTACACCGCTGGGTACCCACAACACAGTCTTTCAGATATCATCATATGATAGGAAGGTAAAAGACTTCTCCATCAGAATACTGACCGACAGTATAGCGGTACTACAAGCTCTGAGTTGAAATGTGGTGAACTTGGGACTAATAAATAATGAATGCCAACAACGATTAAATGAGGAATGTAAACACAACAATGTCTCTACAATAGATAAAGGCACACAGTGGATCCAGAGGCAACGATGCAGCAGACGAACTGGTCAGAAGAGGATCGGCTCTGGCCACTGTAGAGGGTCGGAATCAGTCATACTTCTGTAATCAACACGCTCAGCTTTAGAAAAATCTGGTTGACTGTAGACAAGCTAGGGAGACCCTGCCTGAAATGAACAGTCGTTTAACCAAGGGTTCTAATGAGACTAAACAAGCCACAGATCAGGATAGTAACAACTGCTATCACAGGACATGACTCATTTAACTAAAGTTTCTTTACCATAGGTGTTATAGATAGTCCCCTGTGCAGGACATGTATGGGGGAGGAAGAAACGGCTGCCCACGTATTGCTGATATGTCCGGACGTCGCTGCACACGAGGCTACATCTACATCTCAGCACTATAATGAATTCATATTTCTAATAATAATTTTTATGCCTATCGTATACTGCAACATCTTAGGCGTATTTAAAAGATCGAAATGAACTTATTTACAAACCACACTGATTGATATTTACAAAATTATAGGTACTACATTATTGTTAATTACAAAAAGTTACCTTTTTAGTGATATCGCAGTAATTGTTCAAAATGTCTACCGTTTCTTTTCAAATACAAACTAGAACGACTTCGTGAATTGTCTGTTAAACTTTCACTAACAATTTGTGTACACTAATCGTATTAGTTCGGCACACAAATAAGTGTTAGGTCTGGTGATCTCGCCGGCCAGTTCACAAGTTAACTACGACCTATCCACCTATCACCGAATTCGCTGTCCATTTGCTCAGAGGAACTTTTTCCAACATTGTGTTGATGACGGTACGTATCATTTGCAGATACTTTACTTCCGCCAATTGACCTTTAGTCCATATTAGACCAATGATGTGGTCGTTAATGATTGCCGTCCAAATGTTAACACTGAAACGAACTTGATGAGCATGTTCTTTTATTTTGTGTGGATTTTGGAAATTCCACCAGTGCTCATTGTGCACGTTGTAAATTTCAACGCAGGTAAATATCGACTCGTTCCACCGTCTAAGTTTTCACCAGAAAAGATATAAAATCTTACCATTGCTAGGTACTCGACATGAAGAGTATTAGTACATGTTTTCAATAACTATCAGCGGGCGGCCCATACACACGCGGAAACATAAACAATACGACGTCACGCCCTAGCCAATCGCAGGTCACTGAAATGGGAGCGCGGGCGGCCTTGCGCCTGCGACCCTGCGAAAGGACAAGGACAAAGAGTCCTACGGCGGGTGCGGCGAGTGCATTACAAATTCATTGTTTTATTGCAGCTCGCGAAGTAGGATGCGTTTGATTTGAATTTCGACAGTTTTTGATTGATTTATTCATTTATTTCAAAGCTTTTCTTTATTATTTTTTTAAGTAGGAAAAGTTTACTTCAAATTAATAGTATTTATTGATAGATCAATTTTATAATTTGAAAAAAAAAATTTTCGAAACATTGTAAAATTTCAGTGCCATAGACTTCTACTGCGTTTACTTGTTACACCCTATTTTTTCCAGATGGTAAAAAAGTCATCCAGTACATGTGCGTATTTTTTTCGTAGTAGAGCCATGTTGCAGCTATATAGTTGTAGCACGAATGAGTCCGCTCAACCTGGAAAGGACTACGCGCTTACAGAATACAAATGATATTATCAAAAAATTATATTATTTTTAAATAATAATAAAACATAATTTGGACAGAATTTTTGGTTATTCTATACAACGTAATATTTAAGCTGTAGATTCTGAGTCCAACACATCGGATTAACACATGTCACATTTGTAGATCCCCCAGAACAATTATTTTTAAAATGTATTCATAAGAATTATACAACTAAAATTCTAAAAATTTTATTATAATTAGTCTCGTTACTAAATTATGATAATTAAGATTATACCAGAAATATATTACGAGAATTTACTACAAATGACGACCTTCCGCCATTACGCTACTTTACTATTAGAACTACGTGGGCTTCGCAGGTCGATGTAGTTACTTGACAGAATTATTTCATTTGTAACATTTTTTTTAAAGATTTCTACCTTAAAATTGCCAATTTATTTTAAAACCTCTAAAATGTGAGTATTCCGATTTTGTATCTATCTGTTGATTTTAAAATATAATCAGTAACAACATATTGTTTTTTTTTTTCACTAATTAAATAATTTTGTAATAGTGCCATCTACACCGTATGTGTGTCAAGTACTACGCCGACCTGCGAAGCCGATGTAGTTTATTTAATAGCGCTGTTATTAATGCCGCATAGGTTGGATAAAATAAAATATTACTGACCTTGGCCTGACCACAGGTCTGACAGAGTTGGTCTGATACAATGTCGGGATTTGAGATGTTAAAGTAAGTGCTTAGTTCGCATGCAATGCGAAATAAAACGTCAGTGTGACATTTCTATTTATATCAAGCGCGCAAGTAGTTTTCTTATTTTTGAGGTTTTTTTGAATTAAATGTTTATAATTGGAAATATGAGATAATTGATACTAATTTTATTTACGGTTAAAAAGCAAAATGATCTAAACCCTAATTTGAGAAATTAGAACAGTTAAAGATTTACGATATTAAAGAAAAAAATTAAATATGCCAATAACTTTCTGTGTAGTGGCGGTGTAAGAATATCTACTACTCCAAAACATTCTATGGGTGTCGTAAGAGGCAACAGAGGGAAACTAAACAAAAATATCTTCCTGGTAACAGTTAAATAAAAAAAATACGGTTGTCAACATGCTGGCCAATGTGACAACTATGGCTAATATTCCCCATATGAGGCAATTTGTGGGGGTGGTCTATGTTTAGCGGTGGTCTTTTGATAGGTTGTAAGGATAATGGTGCCAATGACGGTATCGATTTTTGATTTTGGAAATTTAATTGTCGCTTGATAGTCATTTTTTGTTGCAACATGTTTGAAGTCAGTCAATATAATATTATTTAAACCTTTAAATATTATCGTAATATTTTAAATAGTATTTTCGAGTGTGGAAGTCGTGTGTTAGTGATGATATTGATGAGATAGTGGATGAAGTGGGGTGTGGATGTAGGGGGGCGTGGGGCGTGGGGCGTGGGGAGCGGTACCTGGTGCAGCGGGGTGGGCGGCGCCGCGGAGTCCCGGCGCCGGCGAGGCGGCAGCGGCGGCGGCAGCGGCGGCACGGGGGGCACCGGGGGCGAAGTGCCGCACCCCTCCGTCGCTGCAACAAACGATTATTGACGCTTACTAACGTGCCGCACTCACCCAAATTAAGTCTTGGCCTCCAACAATGAAAGACACCATGTAAAGCAAGTTTCGCAGCCAGTGACTGGCGTCGAACTCGCAACACGTCGTGGTTACCATGATGCTAATTATATCGCCAATCTTCCGCGCAGTTGTGAGTATTTTCTTGTGATGACGAGTTGGACTCTTAAAAAAGCGCGTCAACGTTACCATGACAAATTAACACGAGTCGATAAAATCACGCCACGAGTTTTAATTATATATTATAAAAATTTACTCTTATATATTGAATAAAATTACTTACAATGGTGCGATGTAGACGGGGACACCGCCGATGGAAAGTTAAAAGCCGCAGTTCTAGAAATATACAACATTTTAATAATTGTGTTAATCATAAAAATAAATATTATTCTGGGGTAAGAAAATCCATCTCTCCCGTTTTAGTTGGGATAGAATCAAAATCGCTTGGCAGGTGGATGACGATCGCAGTGTCAGATTAAGGCTGCCGCTTACGCCATTCTGAGTATTTTACATTCGGTGTAAGCGAATTGGACCTACCGCCACTTGTGGGAAGCAATAATATTATGTCATCTTTTCGGACAACTCACGGGATGAGATAGCTGATGGAAACTCTTACGCCGTCACTGCACGGCAAAAACTTTGGCGTAAACTTGTGCTACTATAATATATAATGCGCGTTGAATTTTGTGAATATCTTCGTTTCCGAAAACATTCGCAAACTTATCTTCGTAATTATCAAAAAAGGCAACATTTGTACGATGGGGCTGGGTAGGCTTGGGTAAAAAATATCGATGTATCGAAATGTCGATATTTTGTAATAAAAATATATATCGTCGATATTTTAAATCACAATATATCGACATATCGATATTTATTTTAGAGTATCGAATTCGTATATTGTATCTATATATATATATATAAGAAAGAAAGAAAGAAAGAAAAGTTTATTTGGTACATAAATCAATCGTTTACAAAAAATATTTACAATAAAAGAAATACAATGTACATGCACCAAATAGGTTTCCACTCAGCATGAGTTCACGGAATTAATAAACTCCGTGAATGCTGGTTTTCAGTGGAACCATAGGAGGATGATAGATGGCGTAACAAAACAGTGATTAATATGTAGCAAACACAATCATATAACAAACACAAAAAGCCTCATATAACAAAAACAGAAAGCAAAATAAAACAAAATTAAAAAACAACAAAAATAGACATACAAAAAAATCTGAATTACAAAAATGAAAGAAAAAAATAAAATAAGACAATAGAATTAGTTACAAATACATGCTTGAGCTGTATGCAAATATTAGTGAGTTATGTGTGGTCACTACAGTTATGCCTTAATTGTGCTTGTTTATTCTTCCAATTATACGGAAACTTAAGTGCTGGACTTTTGTGTTGAAAGGAGATACTTTTTTAAGTTGTTTTTAAAAGACTTAGCAGATGTTGAGTTTCTGATTGGTGGAGGGAGGTCATTCCAGCACTTAGTAGCAGCAAATCGGAAACTACCACGGAAAGCAGCTGTACGATACCGGGGACAAATGAGCCGCAACGCTGATCTAACATAACGATATGAAAATATTAGCTTTTCGAATAAATACGAAGGTTCTTTGTTCCGTATAACCCCAAAAAGCAATGTGGCGAGATGAAGTGTACGTCGAGTGGTCATATTCATCAAGTCGTGCCGGTTAAGAAATGGAGTTATGTGTGATCGTCTCGGGATTGTAAAGCAGAATCGTGCGCATGCGTTTTGTATCCTCTGTATTGCTTTTTTTGTCCTTGCATACAGACATTCCCCATAAACGGTGTCAGTGTAGGATAATTTGGACAAAATAAGCGTTTCACATAATTTAATTCGCATGTCTACCGTTAAAAATTCGCGAATCCTATATAAAACCTTAAGTCTGTAGAAGCAGTTACGCATAGTTTCTAATATATGACTCTCAAACCGCAACTTTCCATCCATCACTAAGCCAAGGTTACGAACTTCCAATACACGTTCAAGTAAACAACCATCGATAAATATTTGCGGATTTAAAGCAAGGATAAAATCAGTTTGCTTTCGCCTTCCCACGATCATATATTTTGATTTGTCTGGGTTGAGGACAAGATTGTTGAGATTACTCCAATTATTAATAAGATTCAAGTCTGCGTTAACGTTCTTAGTAGCATTATTGGTGTCATTAGGCTTGAAAGAAATATATAATTGAAGGTCATCAGCATATAAGTGGTATTTACAATACTTGATAGCAGTAACGATATCTGCAATGTATATGTTAAACAACATTGGTCCCAAGATGGAACCCTGTGGTACCCCTCTGGCAAGTGCCATTGTAGCCGATTTCATTTCAGGCCCATAGTAATTGTCAATTTTGACGTATTGCTTACGATTAGAAAGATAGCTCGCAAACCATTTTATTGTAGTGGACTCGAAACCGTAGTAGGCAAGTTTTGAAAGAAGTAGCGTCGGGTTTAAGGTGTCAAAAGCGCGTGAGAAATCGAGCATAACCAATAAAGTACTTTCTCCTACATCTTATGCTGTTAAAATGTCGTCTACTACATCTATCAAAGCAGTCGCGGTGCTTCGATGTTTTCTAAAGCCTGACTGTTTGGCGGGTAAGATTTTATTTGTTTCTAAATATTCGGTCATCTGTGTACAGACAATTCTCTCTAGAATCTTTGACATAAAAGGAAGGATACTTATGGGACGAAGATCTTTATAATCACTCGGATTTGGTTTTTTCGCAATTGGCCTTACTGAAGCTACTTTCCATTGCTCGGGAAATACGCCTGTTTTAATGGATTCATTGACTATTTTTGCTATTACTGTTAGGGTTCGTGGGAGTGTCAGCAGTACCATATTTAAGGTGATACCATCATCACCAAGTGCGTTCGAATTAAATGACTCTATTACTTTTAAAATCGTTAAGTCATCGACTGTTTTAAGTTCAAAAGTATTACATCCAAATCTATCGAATTCGTAGCGACTTAAAATTGACAAATTTATATTCTTTTCGCTGCTTTTGGGAAGTTTGAGAAAATAATTATTTATTTCATTAGGTTTACAAAATTGATGGGCTAGATGATTGTCATTTTTCTTAAAATTTGCTACGCTCTGTTTAATATTTTTCCATAGTAGCTTAGAATCTTTTTCCGAATTAATGTATTGATTAAAGTAAGCCGATTTTTCAGCCTGAATTGCCGTTTTTACGATGTTTTTTAATTCTTTATAATACTTTTTATGGGTGTCTAGATTAGTTATTCTACTCCTAGCATGTGATTTATCACGTAGCTTCATCATTTGTGTTATAGTGTACGTGATCCATGGATATGATTTTTTTTTCAAGTAAACTGAACGGAATGGTGCATATGCATTAAATAAATCCAGCATTGTCTTATTGAAACTATCTACCATACTGTTTACATCACCAGTTATAAGGCTTTCCCAGGCTATTGTGTTTAAATCAATGTTAAAATTTACCATATTTATTTCCTTAAGCGGTCTATAACTGAAGGGTTTAGGAACTTGTTTAATCTTTTTAATATTCAATTGACAGGTCAAAAATGCGTGGCTACTAAGCTCAGGAATGTAATTCACGGATACTTCACAAACATTCATAGTGGCACATATAATATCTATTAAAGATTCGCTGTGTTCTGTGAAATGTGTAGATTTGTTTACAAATTGTGTAAGATTCATGTAACTGAAAAAATTATTTAGCTTTATAGTGTTTGAATCCTGAGAATGTAAAAGATTAATGTTAAAATCGCCAAGCAATACAGTTTGGTCATAACTACCTAAAGAAGACACTGATTCTGTAATGGCATCAATAAATAAATCGACGCTAAGCCATGGGGGGCGGTACGCAGTACCAATCGCTACTTTGATACCGTTAATATTTAGACCAAGCCACATTTGTTCTACGTTGTTATTGGCGGGTTGAGTGATTTTGCGTACATTTATTCCGTGACTTATGTAAAACCCAACTCCACCACCACGATTTCGTATTTTTGGAGAACGTGGAATGTGTATTAAACGATAACCTGGCGGCGACGGGGCACGCTGTTCTTCCCCTTTTTTCAGCCAAGTTTCGTTAATGGCCAAAATATCGACATTAAAGCGTAACACTACAGCAAGAAATTCATCATGGCGCGTTCCCAAGGACCCAGCATTTAAGAAACCGATTGACAATCTCTTATTTTTGACATACATATACACAGTTGCAAACGTCACTTCACTGTGCTTGCAGTGCGCTATAAATTTACATAATAGTGTTGCATGACGCCATCTTAGGCAGTAACCAGAATGTAACTTCAGGTAAATGTTCACTTTGCAATATAAAAAGTGTGAGTGTCTCATTTGTACCTTAGTGAGTGTTATATTTGTTGTCTGTGAACAACCAAGCATGTAGATTTGTTTTGGATAAATTGAACATAAACTCAAAAACATATAGATAGACATTTGTGATAAACAAGAGTGATAATTTTTTTTACTAACACTAATATTTGTAACATAAATAATAAGAAAATAAAACAAACAATAAAATATAACAATCATTAACAACATTGACAGAGCTACAATTTGATACATTACTGTAATAAAATAATTTATAATTAACATAAGAGAATAAATTATATCTAATGCTCTAATCCTTTTTTCAATATTGCGAAGTATGCATATTAGGCGAGTAATTAGAGGAGGTTTGCTTAATCTAAATAAATTTATATTATTTTTATTCTCGTAAAAAACATAAACTGAACTAAATAAATTATTGCTAATGAGTAAAAGTTGATGACAATGCACGAACCATTTTAATGCCCAAAAACTTTAGCAAGGTCGCTTTCGAACCGCAGCCGATATCGCAGCTCCCCATTATCTTTCCGTGCGAAAACTTTTCCTTCCCTTGTCCACACGTACTTCCAACCAACACGTTTTGCTTCAAAACGCGCCTTGTAAAACAGCTGGCGGTTGTATTTTGTCAACCTTTCATTAAGGTAAAGTGGACAGGTGCCGGAATCGAGTCCCAGCCCGGCAGTAGTGGAGTTGCGACGAACTCGAGCCGCCGCCAATAGACAGTCCCGATGCGTGCGTCGTGCTAACCGCGCCACAATCGGGCGTGGCTTGGTATTTTTAATATCAGCGGGCTCACGACGTAATGGACCCGCACGCTCTGCGCTGACAATATCACGTTCCTCAAGACTTACGCCCAGCTTTGTTGCTACCGCCAGTACGAGGTGTATAGAACGCTCACTTTTTTCTTCTGGGATACCAGCGATTTCAACATCATTACATAGTAGCTCTTGATCCCGGTCATTTATCTCCATTTTCAGATCAGCAATAGTGTTCTCCAAAAGAGAGACGTCGTTAGACGGTTTGATATGCTGGTTTTTTTCCACCACTTCCATCCTAGCTTCTAGGCAGTCTAGTCGCTTGTTACAAGAGTTAATAGCAACAAAGAGACTCTCAATAGTACCCCTGAAATCCTGCATATCATTACGCATCTCCTTTATATCTTGGCGTAATAACCGTAGTTCATTCGCCAGTTCGGCTGTCGCCATATCCGATGCTGGTACAGATGTTGTTTGTGTTTTCTGTTTTTCATGAGTACGGTTACGAAGAGTCACATTTGTACTACATGTCTCCTCGTCGTTACTTTTGGGAGATTGTTGCAAACCGTATTTTATAGGTGTATTAGTATTGTCGGTCTTCGGTTCCTTACTAATGCATTCCTGACATTTCCATTTCTTTTTATTTTCAGTTGACATAATATTGTGAAATCGTTTTTCTGAGACGCTTGTGCACAAAAGGTCATAATGCTTCGAACAAATATTGCATTTCAAAAACTGTTTGCCAACGATCTCCTGCGAACAGCCGTTACAGTAAATCTTATTTACTACGGGTGGCGCCATCTCCTGCTCGTATTCTCAAAGAGATTCGATGCGATCAATTAGATAATAAACTACGCCAAACTGAGTCACTTAGCGTTTTCACTAAATCCCTCTAGATGTCGTTATCCCAACATTTACTACTTGGATATAGATTTTTAAATTTTTGTAACGGCTTTTGAAAAATAATATTTACTAAACGTTTATCCGTGAGTATAAACCAAACAAAACATTAAAAGTTTAAAAGATATAAATAGTAACTTACACGTTGGTTTATAGTTTTTGTGCAAAAGTACTTAACTTGTAATAATATGTTTCTAAAACAGTACACAAGGAAATCATCAAATATTTGCGATACACACTACAACTTTCACGGATAACACTTTCACTGATGAGTTGCAACCTAAATCACTGAATTTTACAACTTTTACAATATATACTTTCAAAATACAATTTATAAAACGAAATATTATACAGAGACTAATTGTTACTTGAAAGCCGGCGCCATCTATATATATGTATATATTGTATCGATATATTTTAAAATGTTGTAACGTTTTTTTCGTCGACCAACCGTCAGTAGATAAAATTTTGGACCTTATCTTTACATCATTTAAATGATGACGATATATCGATATATCGATATTTATCACGCGATATATATCGATTCTGTTTAAAAATATAGATTCGATATATATCGATATATTTTTTTCCCTTTGCCCAACCCTACAGCTGGCCCCAAAAAAAAATGGCCCAGAGTGACACCATGATCAGGATAATTAACAATTTCTTGATGTTACTGGTGAAGAATTACACCAGGAGTCTTTATAATTTCTTGACCGGTAATGATAACATAATAGAACAAATAAAAAGGCAGGTTAAGGGGAGTGCATCCATTGATTGCCTTATATATAGTAGGCAACCGCAGTTTTTTATTATTTTGATTTGTTATCAGAAAGATGCTGCTGCCTATTTCCTGTTTAAATTTCCCTCGTCGCCTCTTACGACTCCCACGAAATGATGTGGGGTAGTGGATTCTCCCACGATGTCACTACACGGTTGTTATTCCTACTTTATCTGGCTATTAGTGTCCGAATTGCTAGACAACAATTTTTGTTACGTCGTATAGCCCTGCTGCAGCTATATTAGCAGTATAGTTGTAGCACGAATGGGTCGACTACACCGGGGAAGAACCACGCTTTAACAGAAATACCAGCGTAAAATAGCAGCTTAACGCTGCTGTGTTTCGTATGGTGAGTGCAGAGAACCGGCGACCCTTTTTAGTGGAAAAGAGACATTCTATCTTAGTCCTCACACGTGACAACGCATCTGCATTTTAATTCTTAATCGATAATAGATGTGGATGTCTATGGGTCACAGCATCCACTTACCACCAGGTGGACTGTGTGCTCGTTTGTCACCCTATCCTATAATGAAAAAATAAAAAACAAAAGAAATGAACAACTGAATTACCTCAGTTCAGGGTTGTTGCATTGCGTCAGCGGGCTTATGGGTGGCGCGGGAGCTGGCGAACGCTTCGGCGACATGGCTGGCGTCCTGACAATGGAATCAACTCCGTTACTTTTCTCAGCAAAGAATTGTCAACTAACTTCACTTTTATTACTATTACAGCTTATAAAAATCCACTACATAGGCCTCCTTCATAGATTGCATCAGAGGGGGGATTTTGCCATAGTTGCCACGCTTTGGCAGGCGGTTTGGCAACAGCAGTTTTTTGTTTTTATTCAGCTATTATCAGGAAGATGCTGCTGCCCATCTCCTGTTTTAGATTCCCTCCATCGCCTCTTAAGACACCCACGGGATGATATGGGGTAGTGGGTATTCTTACACCGCCACTACACGATTAAACTAATTTCACTTAGATAACGTAAATTAAAATCAAAGATAACATTGTTGGTATACAAAAAAAATTAGTTGAGAAAAAAATTAAGCCTGACTATATATTTTTTCATTTGATGGTAAGTTAATGCAATCCATCTATAACTGCGGCCAACATTTTACAAAGAAGGCTACCAAGAAGGTCACCAATGAGGTCTAATATGGCAAGTCTTCACAGCCTGTAATTACGCAGCAGTGCAAGCACTAACTATTTGACAGCAAAAATAGGTAAGAAAGTGCTGTCTACCCAGACAGACTTCTAGACAGAAATGAACTTCTACCACCAGTAAAAAAAAATTAACAAAATAAAAGTTAAACTCATTATACAAAAGTCTACTTACGTCGTCAACAACTAAAAATATTGAACCTGTTTTTGCTAAATACAGAACTTTTTATTGACATAATATGATACAAGCGAGTTTAGATATCGTATATTTATAAACGTTACTAGCATAGTATGCAACTTTGGCATTCTATAGAACATCCAATTTTTAGTACCTACACTTGTTTCTAAATATTGTCTTACAATATAATTCAAATACAATAAGTAAATAGTATAAATCCGAAGTGGCTGGACCGATTTTGACGGGACTTTCACTGGCAGATAGCTGATGTTATAAGGAATAACTTAGGCTACTTTTATTTTAGAAAACGAATTAGGGTTCCGAGCAAAAATATTAAAACCCTAGATTGAACGTGGACAAAGTCGCGGGGAACAGCTAGTACTATAATAAAACTCTAACATGACGTCTGTTTGAACACGGATCACGCAAAAAGCTGTGAACCGATTTGGATGACACTCACTGGCAGATAGCTGATGTTATAAGGAGTCACTTAGGCTACTTTTATTTTAGGGTACAGAGCGCGGAACAGCTAATAACTAATATAACATTTATTAGCCAAAGTTTAAGTTATACATATATACAAAGCACCGTACATATGATACTAAACTTACTTATGTTTAATTTCGGTGGTAATTTTTGGTAGAACATGTTCGTCAAATTGGACTTTAGAAGTTAAGGTTGGACAGGAATCGGATAATAAACGTACATAAATAGTTACATACAAGCAAATAATATTATCTTCTTTTCAGGACTAAAATCTGGATAAGAGATCTCTAGATTTTTACTTTAAAAAATCACAGTGTATTTTTTAAACTCAACTCGTTTGAAATAAAAGATATTAAGTAACAAACAGCATTAATACATTAACGGTGACATACAGATAATATCATGTTACATAATTATCACAACAGACGGCTTTTGGTAATAGCAATATTATATGTTTAACATCGTATTTACACAGCAATAACACTACAAATTATATTACAAAAAAATTAATGAAAAGTACTTAGCCTTTTCATTTTTAAACAACTTTTGTAACAAAAACGCATATTAAAAACGATATCTATTTGTCTTTCCGACTGTATTTAATTAAAATACTAAATGGTAATAGTTCTTAAGTACAGTAGAGCCTCAATAATCCAACTACCAAAAAAACAATCACTTAAGTTAAATTACTTTCTTTCTAACTCTCCTTCTAATGGAGCGTACGGATTATAGTTAGCAAAAAAAATGATAATAAGCATCTTTTGAAAAAATATATTTATTGAGCATAAAAAATATGTAAGTCCATATTTAAAATATAAAATACGTTAGGTTTAAGTAACTCATGATATACTAATCTATTTTAGTCTGACGGGTTCTATTTATAGGCCAAGAAACGGCAAGTCTCTTAAATTACGCAGCTTGATCTTTTCGGATAGGGACAGGTCTTTTTTGTCAGACCAGTCCTATCAAGTCTTCAGTGCTTATATAGCTTGTGAATGAGCAAGCAGAAGAATCGTCAACAAAAGACTCGTCATTCCCAGGTGCCTGGGAAAAACGAGTGTCTGCCGTGAGGTCCAATAATGTAATAAACGTAATAACGCAATGCAAAAAGGTAACAACTGTGTATGTACCTGAACAGGTCATGATGTTTGGGACTTGGCAACGGTCTGTCGGGCGGCTCTGGCGGCGGTTCGCAGTTAGCTGTAAATTAAGAGTAAGATGAATAAAAAACCTTCACATCCTTTGGAATTAGTAAAAAAGCTTCCATGTATTAAAAATTTTAATTGTTGCACTTTCTTGTCTCCCATATTACATTTATTGCTGGCGTAATTTATATTTATATTTAGGATAAGTTATATACGCCTAATGTATCTTATAATATCCGATAGAACAATGAATTCTAATTTATACAGAAACAGCAACCGACATAATATTAAGTACTCGAATTTTAATATAAGTTGTTGTTTCTCATTGAGCTTCTCTTTGTCTTTGGCCGACGCGTTGCCACACCGTGCGCGGAGTAGGTACAGTTGTGCGCGGGCGTCGCTGAGATAGTGCGTGCGAAGTGTAACGTAACAAAGTGCGCATGCGGCGTTGCCACGCCGTGCATGCGAAGGGAACATACCGCTGTGCGCGGGCGGGGAGGCGGCGCGGCGCGGTAACAGCGGCGGCTTGTCGGGCTCCGCGCCCGCTGCGCTGCCACGTGGCAGCAGTGGCGGCACACGCTCCTGCCACAAACATAATTTTCTTTGATAATAAAAGATGAGTAGTCTGATTGGGTGCAGGTGTAATCAACATTTATAGTCTAAATTGCCTACATTCTAAAAGGTATTAAACTTTATTATTTTACTTCTAGGACACATCTATATCAGATTTTAAGATTCTAGTTACCTTTATCCATAAAACTATTTTATACCGTATAGCCTATAAATTTAAAGAATAAAAATTACAAACCTGTTCCTGTCGCCGGCAGCCGAGATGTTCCGCACTCCTGGAGTAGAACACCTCTGCGTCCACTATGGCGCTGCGCGGAGACAGCGCCGGTGCACGACGAGTCAGCGTTGACGAGTTACTCCTACACAAACATTATTGCTGTTGTATTCATCACGGGGGGATAATTTGCCATAGTTTCCTTAACTCAGCGAGATATGGAGGCGCTATGATCGTAGTATATCTACATGATGGTAGAATACGTAATGATTATATACGCAGCAGAAACAAAATATCGGATCAGTAAACTAAAGTTGCAATGGGCCCGCCCTACAACACGACGAACCGACAAACGAATGGATTAAAAGCCAAGTAAGCGGCTTGAACTAGATGGAGGGACGACTTGGTAAGACATGCAGGAAGTCGATGGATACAGGTGGGTCACGATCGCTCTCTGTACCATTAGTTGGGCGAGGCTTGTGTTCAACAGTGGACATGTGAAGGGGTGTAATGATGAATGATGATGAGAAAATAAAGCCGTGTTTTAAGGAGGTAGTGGATTTACGTAGTAAAAACACACTGCAGCGTATATTTAGCTGTAGTAGGAACAGATCAACTGGAGCTGAAAAGAACCACGATCGCATAGAATACCAGCGTAAAATAGTAGCACGGTGCTGATGTGTGTCGTAGTGATGATAACCGGCATTTGTACCGGTAACGAGGTATTCTATCTTAGTCCTTAGGGGTGAAAATGCATCTGCATTTCGATTTTAATCGAGAAAAGATATCTATGGGTATATCATCAGAACTGGTCTGTGCTGGTTTGTAAAGTAAAAGTAAAGATACTTTTATAACAAATATGACTTTGGCAACCATATAATGCCGATTCGATTTGTAAACGTCGATTCCAAATCCCACTAACGGAATGATGGGGTGATGATAGGAGTATTACAATGCGTCGCTTTTTTTATAGGATAAGGGTGACAAACGAGCACACAGTCCACCTGATGGTAAGTGGTTGCTGTGGCCCATAGACATCTACATCTATCTTTGATTACGAATCAAAATGCAGATGCGTTGTCACCCGTGAGGACTAAGATGGAATGGTTTTCAGTAAAAAGGGTCGCTCCAGTTCTTTACACTCACCATACGAAACACAGCAGCGTTAAGCTGCTATTTTACGTTGGTAGTCTGTGAGAGCGTGGTCCTTCCCGGTCGAGCCGACCCATTTGTGCTACAAGTATACTACTAATATAGCTGCAGCATGGCTCTACCAGTATAGTTTTTGAGTATTCGTTTTACTGGCTACATGGCCTCTGTAGGGTTCGTTAGGCAGGTTTTCGTAGGACATACCTTGTGCTGCGGATATATGCGAAAGCGTTCCCGTTATACTGTCGATATGCAACAAAGGTAAAGCGACACAGGGTTTAGCTGGGTGTAAGTCCGACATAATCCACTCTACCCCCACCAGACGGATAGGGTTCTTCCCTTGAAAAACACTACAACTGCTGCATTATGTTTTCAAATTGTTGATTACTTACCGGTCATGCCTTGGTGAATGATTGTCGCGAGGTGAAGGAGGTTCATCGCGTCCACTGCTCCTGTAGAAATTGCAATATGGATACCCAGTTTAGAATTTGCGTGTGCGGACAAGATCTTATAATGAAAGAAAATCTTGCTTTTCTAACCACCATTTTAACAGACCTTAATAAAAAGGAGGAAGTTTACAATTGGACTGTATTTTTTTATTTGGTGTATGTTATGCGATATACTTGTCAATTGTGCAACGATTTCCATGATTATTTTTTATTATTAAATGGGTAAACTTCAGGGGACTGTCAAAAAAATTCACCCCTAAAGTTCGCAAAATAGGGAATGATGTTTAAAATGTAACTATTTGAGATTGTGATATTCTTCAGTCCGCGCAAAAGGGTAATAGCCTTTTAGGGTTCCGTACCCGAAGGGTAACCAACGGGAACCTATTACTAAGCCTCCGTTGTCCGTACATCCGTCTGTCTGTCAGCGGCCTTTATCTCATGATTCGTAATAGGTAGATAGTTGATATTTTCATAGAATGTGTATTTCTGTTGCCGCTATAACAAATAATAAAAAAATAATAAAAAAGGGCTCCCCTATTAGAAATGTGTATTACGATGGTACAGAACCCTTCATGCGCGAGTCCGACTCGCACTTGGCTAGTTATTTTGAATGATATGTAAAGCCAACTTTAAAGAACTGAAAGCGATAAAATAATTTCACATTGTGGGATCGGGGCTTTAATTATTCTGTCACTATGTTCATATTCACTATGTCGTAACATCAACTTCAGAAATTAAAATTATTTTTCAGTTCTTTGAAGTCAATTTCTACTTTTATAAAAAGTTAATTTTTACTCAAAAACTATTGAAGTCTTTTATAATCGACATTGGTTTAGGAATAACAATCTACATCAACAAATGTTTAAAATCTTTTAGGCAGACTTATCTGCATTACGTCTCTTATTCGTGAAGAGATGCAGCTGTCTATAAGCTACATCATCCACTTAACACCAAATGGATTGTGTGTTCGTTACTCACGCTTATTTCTATAAAACGTTTTTTCAACGGAAAGTAAATTTGCACTTTGTACTTGTAATTTCAACTATTTTTTTTTTCGTAAGAGATTTCATGGCTATTTCATTCAGTAGATGTCACAAGAGGCAACTACGAAAAGCGTCATTTCTGGCATGGTGTTTCCACTACATCGCTTCTGAAAGAATTTTTTTTTCACGCCAGGCGTGAAACCACTCTTCAAGCGTGGCGATTATGGCAAATTTGCTGTACAAGAGGCCATTATTTAGCAGTGCAGCAAGGAGTTTGTACTTAATATTACATTTTTGTATTTATAGTACAAGTTTTTTGGTATCAATTAGCAAATACTCGTAATATTGCATCATAATAATAATAAATATAAATTAAAAGTAACACTGGTAAAACCGATGAATATTATTTAGTTATACTTGCCTTGCATTCAGCACGACGGTGGATTTGCTCTTATCGAACAGCGCAAGGCCTTTGTCGAAGAGACTCAGTTGTCCAAGTTGTCCTAGGGAGCTGCTTGAACATCTTTCCAGGCGTGGACTAGTCAGGGAGCCTCTTTCTTCACTTCGAGATCCTTATTAATTAACAGATTACGTTAGTAGGTGGTAGGATTCCTTTTATGGCTAGGTAGTCTGCCTGAGTAGTAACTTGGGACCACTCTTACCTACAATATAATCGCCACGCAACGAAACAACGATCAGTAATAAAAAGCTAGATACACAAGCTCATACGTAAGTTCTCTAAAAACTGTCGCCAATTGTTTTGAAGTAATTCTAGTAGAAATAAATATATACATTAATGTAAATTCAACCTTAAATGCAAATCAAAAGCGCACCCAAATGTTCGAGTGGGCGCTCATTCGGTAAGGACATTTTTTGTCACTGATTGTGTCTTGTTTTTTTTTTATTAGTGATCGATGGTCCGAAGGATATAAAGAGCAGAATAGGCTATGGTTTCCTATTAAACGCTATACGGGACGTCTGACTTCAGCGTAAACGTTTCGAATGGCGTCTGAACGCCAGGCACAGCGTCAGCGGTCAATACATATCTTAGCAGCGGACGACGTCTCGACTTTCGATTACACAACAGTTAAGTAGCCGACAGTGCCTCGCGTGTGGTTGTGTGTGATATTTATTTATTTACAAATTGCGTTACATGTGACTTAGACTAAACAAAACATGCAAGTTCTAACAATCACATGCACCTCGAAAGGCATAGCAATGAACAGGAGAGGGGCAGACACTTAAAAATTCTTTTCCTCAATGTATTCATTAATTGAATAATTACTTTTTTTAATAAGTATATCTTTTAAAGATCTAATGAATTTATTAATATTTGTTTCGGCTTTTATGTATTCCGGCAATTTATTATAAATTTTTATTGACATCGGGTAAGGACCTGTACTGTGTAATTTTAATTTAGATTTTGGTTGCAAAAGGTTATTCTTATATCGAGGTACGTTGTGTCGGGGTGCGTCTATGATTTTGGTGTAAAAACTTGGGTGTCTTTTTACAAATTTACATATTTCTAATATATATAGGCACGGTAATGTTAGAATTTTGAGACTTTGAAAATGAGGTTTGCAGCTTTCTCTTTGTTTGATATTTGCAAGTACGCGTATACATTTTTTCTACTATTGACTTCTAAATTATGATCGCTTAGCCATTGTTTTACTTTGTTTATAATTATGTCGATTCTTTGATTAAGTTTGGTACCACTGATATAAGGAAACACAACGGAAAAATCGTCGGCAAACATCACACAAAGCTCATCAATAATCTTGGGGAGGTCATTGATGTAAATAAGGAAGAGGACACATCCGAGTACGGGCCCCTGAAGGATAGAATCCCGAACCGGCTGGGCCCTCGACCTGACACATGTTATGGTTTTTGAATCTACATTTTCTATTTCGACGTACTGTGGACGATTGCTGAGAAAGGAAGCAAACCACTTATGAGCTACACCACGGATACCAATGTCATAAAGTTTATTTAAGAGAATGTTATATTTAATTTTTTCATATGCTTTTGTCATGTCAAATAAAATTTCTATTGCGTATTTTTGATCGTTTAATATGTTCGACTTCATTAAAATATTTAAATGCGGCCAGGGTTGTCGAGCGGTTTTTTCTAAAACCATTTTGGGCGTCGTCGAAAATATTGTACGTTTCACAAAATGAGTATAATCGTTTGAACATAGCTCTTTCAAAAATTTTTGAAATTACGGGTAAGAGTGTAATGGGTCGGTAGTTATTGGGGTCCGTTTTTTTTTTGTCTTTTTTATGTATTAGCTTTATAATAGCAATTTTTAGTAGGTCAGGGTGTACTCCTTCAGAAAAGGATTGATTTATAATTAAAGTTAATGACGGAACTATTTCTTCGGCACATTTTTTAATAAGAGTGGACGGCAGCTCATCAACACCGAAGCTAGATTTTAATTTTTGTTGTCGCACCAATGACATTACGTCTCGTTCATCCACTGGGGTTAAGAACATCGAGTGCAGGGAGGGGCGCTGGGGCGCATGACGGGTCGGCCGCGTGGCGCGGGCGCACTGCCTGCCGCGCCGCTCTCGACTGAGGCGAACAGCTCGTTAAAACCATTAGCAACCTCATGCGGGTCAGATATTGGTTTATTGTTGATATGCAATTTCATATTTTCATTATATTTTTTTACATTAACACTTTCACTGTCCGGTTTCCAGACACAATAGTAAGACAATAGCAGTGCCCTATATGTAGTGCACGGGACAGCGAAAGGGTTAACATGCTTTGTTTTTTTCATTTATTAATTGCCACATACATTTAATTTTATTAGTTGCTTTATTCATTCTTTTAATTGATTGTAATTGTTTTGATTTTATTATAACTTTTCTTTAAATATTTTTTATATTGTTTGTAATAATTTTGTAAAATTTTATTTTTCGAATACATAACATGAATTTTTAGTAATCTTTTATGTTTACAAGATTTTTTAACACCGTAATGTTAGCCATGATTTATATCGTTGTTTATTATAAATTTTTAATCGTTTATATGGAATACAATATTCTAGTGCATCGTGTAAAATTTTATTTAGTGATTTGTAATTTTCGTCAAAAGTTTTGTTATTTAAAATGAACTTTTTCCAGTTTGTATTTTGTAAATATTGTTTGAATTTATTTATATTATTTTCATTGTATATTCTTTTACATATATAAAAATAAGGATTGTTATTTTGTTCTGATGGAACATTTTTTAATTGTAGCATTGCACATTTGTGGTCTGAAAAGCCTAACTCTAATACCGTAGCACTTACGTTTTTTTGACTGAAATTTGTAAATATCAAATCTATACATTTTTCCAGGTGTGTGGGTTCTTTTATAAGTTGCTTAAAATTTGACTCTAGCATGGTATTTAGGAGTTCTGATGTATGTTTTGATTTTACTAATTTATTCACATTAAAATCGCCACCAATAATATTTTTTTTATCTATATATATTTTTTATGACATATTGAAGAATTGGATTTAATTGACTGTAAATATGTCTGTCTCTCTACTGTTCCAATATAATGCAATTAACAATATATCCAATTTCGAAAGTTCAACAGCACAAACTTCAATAATATATTCAATAGACATGTACATAATATCCGTTCGTTCAACGTATTCGATGTTGTTTTTTAGTAATATGCATACACCGCCGCCGATATAGTTATCTCTGTGGAACGCTGCAGCCAAGTGGTAATCGCTAAGTTGCACGTGTGAGGCCTTATTTTTTGTAAGCCAGGTTTCGGAGATACAAATTGCTTGGTATTCATTTTTGTGGTCATCCAGGACCGATTCTAATAAATCTCTCTTATTAAATAAGCTTTGCATGTTTTGAAAAATAATGTTAAAAGTAGGTGCTGCACTGCTCACGAAAGTTATAACTTTCTTTATTTATGTTTTTCGAAGGTGTATTCTCTTCGATTCGTTTTCTCACTTTCAGTGTTTCCTGTTTTCGATGCATCATTCACTTCGACATCGACATGTGACTCATCATTATTAGTGTGTATTCCTTGCCGTTAATCAAAAGTTTATTATTTCTCAGTATAGCATGATGGCCTTGTTTTCTGGCTTCATGCATTAAATTTCTTAACTTTTTGTCTGGCGTGAAGTTTCGTCCAGGTGTTCAGTGATGGCAAGTCCTATATTTCTAAAATATAATCTGTTATCAAGGATATAATGAACCATTTTTTTTGGTAATTAGTTCGATAACAAGTGGTCTTCTATTTCCCTTTTTTCCAAGTCTATTTATACTTTCTATATACTCTTCCAAATTAATATTTAATAAATTCTGAAATATGTAAGTCACACGGTTATGCAGTTCGTGTTCAGTCTCCCAGTAGTTTTCATCCAATCCGTATAGAACAAACTTCCTATTATTTTCGAAATTGTACAACCTCTCTGTATGCTGTTTTGATTGTAGTGACATTGTTTGCTGTAATTCGTTAATTTCTAACTGCAATCTATTTGTTTCATTCTGGAGATCTTTTATTTGTGTGTTTAGTACGTTTATTTCTGTTTTCATAGTATGTTGTTCTGTAGATATAGTATTTATATGTAGTGATATTTCATTTGTTACTATAGTTGAAATTTCTTGTAATAACATAGTTTTTAATTCTGATAATAGTCTATTCTTATTGTTTTCCAGTTTTTTTTTTCTAAAAGTTCTTCTATTTGGGTAAGCAGTAGTGAGTCAATTTGACAGTTGTAATTTTTCAAGATGTTCTCCGTACACGTATTCCCCAAAATACTTTCATCATCATCATAGACCATGGTTGTATCATACGAGCTTGTTGTTTGCTTCCTTCTCATCGTCACATTAGCCTCAGTTGTTGGTGAATGTTGTGGTATTTATATATAAAATGGATATAAATTCAATATTTTTGGCGGCGCTTGTGTTACTTGAAGAAGAGGCACAAGACGACGGTACACGAAGAAAAATAAAGGCAACAAGGCACCGATTATTTATGAAGAGAAATGAAGAAGGATGTTTCCAGCTATTGATAATGAAATTAACATTATTTTTATGTTCCTTGTCACTTTTATTGTATTTTGCAATATAACATTTAATTGACTCAATCAATAACTCGTCTTTTTATTTATTAAATTTTGTCATTTTGTACTGACACTAGCCACGACCTTCACGCTGCAATGGTTCAAAATAACTAGAGACGCAGCGCAAAGCGTCTGAACGCCGCCTACGACATCCATACGCCGACATCTGCGTTTGAAAGAGACCACAACAGTACACATACAAAGTAAGCATCGTAACGCGGCGTACGGCGTGACGCTGTAAGCGGCCGATGGCGTTTATAGGAGACCACCGCCATATAGTATATAATTACAGGCTGTGAGACATTCTATCTCAGTCCTCAGACATGGCAAAGAATATTTTTGAAGTTGATTGCAGATGTCTACTGCATTAGCCACTTACCATCAAGTGGACTGTAGTATGTTTGTCACTTCAATTTATATTTAAAAAAAAAACATTTTAAAAGTTTTTAATGAGTGTTTAGCGAAATTTTCATATATATGTTAGAATAGTGTTAAAGCTGCGCAAGGTACAAAAATAATGTTTTTGTTTTACATCATGTACAAGATGCAAAAAATATTTCACTTTAGATCATTGGTTAGTTTCTTTCAAGTTCGCAGAGGGTTGATAAAAAGAGTTTCTAAACACAACAAATTGCGGCCCGTTAATTATTTCTGAACGAAATGACAATATTGTCGCCGCGTTGGCTCGCCCGCCCTTCCTCGCGCTTGACAATAGCTGCGAGCCTCATACCACAAGACTCTGTATATGACGCCCGTCATACAGATTGCGATACGTAAGCGAACGACAGTTACTATTAGGAGACGCTTTGATAATAATAACAGACTTTAAAGATCATGATATATTTCCAACTGTAGTGTAGCCCCCCTGACAGTATATGTTAGTGTAAAGGTAGAATAAGTTTAAGCAGTATAATTAGTCTTGAACTGAGTAACACGTCATTCTTTTTATTCAACACCTTCCGACATTATTCTATTCTACATTCACTTTGTTGCCTTTTATGGCACTTACGACCTTTTTATAATATTTATCAACTCTCACCGAAAATACTTAAGATCATTCATTTGGTTCGTTAGAAGGTACCTTTGTCGTCGTGGTGCAGCTGCAGCGAAGCCACAGACGCGCCGTCCCACGTGCCGCCGCTCGTTGGCGACAGCTGCGACACGCCTGCCGACATCACATCGTATACACCAAATTCAAGTTAATCATAAAAGAAAAAAATTGTACAGATAGGAGGATCGCATAATCTAGGAGGTTGAGTAACTGATAACAATCTGCCACTTTTCATGCGTATGTGAAATATGAGACAACCTTCGATTTCGTCTACATTTGGACGTAGCTGCAACACAGTCCAGATCGAGAATCTGAAGTATTTCTTCTACAGTAGGGCTACGTTAGCTGTCCGAGTACAGAACCAGAATAGGAAGCCTATCCAATTGCAGAAAAGCTTAAAACAGGGTTATCAAATCCATGGAACTCTTCAACGCCGCACCATTGGAAAATGTTTTCAAGGTAATGACTTGTGCTAAAGAACCATAGTGCTATCGTCAATGACCTCAATAGCTTCTCCCAATGGAAACGCCTTGATATTCAATGATAGGAACATAATACAAAAGCTATTCGTAACACACATAACCATTGTCTTCTTTATCGCATCAGTATATTCACCTGAGACAAATTGTTCAAACTGTTATCACATGAAAGAAGTTGATGCAGATAGCTTGAAACCGTGTTTACCGTAACAGGTAATTTAATAATGATATTCAAATTGAAAAAAAAAAATGCTACATTTATTACAGTTTAAAAATGTTGTAGGTTACACATTTGTGCTATTCAGAGTATATATTTGCTGGAGTATTGCTAATTATTCACTGACTTTATTAACAGCTTCTTTTTCTATTCTGATATAATTTCTTTTTATTTCTACTAGTCACATTACGGCCATTAGTTATTTATTAGAGATGAAATGTAAATGCACTATTACCAAAAACGTTTACATATTAAGCTATTGTAATCTCTGTTAATGGTCCTTCAATTATTAAATAAATAAATAATAACGTTCTTATTATATACTCTATAAACAATAAATATTTAGCGACAAAGTAACAAGAAACTAGCCCCATGCATTTTTATTTTTAATTTAATCAGCAACCTTGTGACATTCTTTATACCTTAAATTTACCTTACCTTAAATTGTTGGTCTTTCGAGCCGGATATCAGCAACCTATTAATTGTTATTCACGTTGTAAAGAACGGGGACAAACTTTGAATATTTTTGAAAGCTATCAACTGCGCGTAACAAACGCACGTGCTAGCAAAGAAGCTTTAACTAGTTCGACTTTACACCTTTTTTTAAGAAACTACCTTTGGCTTGTCATTTGACAAAAAATGGCTACAACTGTGATTTGAACTCAAAAATGTTCACATCACTAGATTATGCGGTCGTGAAAGAGCAATAGGAAAAGTTAAAAAAATAGTAGTAGCTTTGCAAACTTACTAAGATTATCATCGTTGCTGGATGCGCTTGAAGCGGAGTGATGAGCGTCGTGCGAGCGCCGCGACACTTTCACAGGCTTCAGCGACAGTTCGGGGTACTTGCGCGGCTGCAACACAACATGCCTCTGACACTTTGTTTTATATATACAAATCTTGCATTTTTTCACATTACTTATGTCGCAAGTTCTTCAAAAATAAATATTATGGTTTTAAAATAAAATATTATAAAATTAATACAAAATGACATGATCCAAGTTTTATAAAGAAAATGTCAAGTACGAATAAATACTCCAAACCAATTTCAAACAAAAAAAGGTTCGTGCTCTAAATTGGCACACGACATTAGAAAACTGACAATAAGTAAGATGGTAACTACCCCAGTCGGGACGTCCAAGCAGAAAAGCCCATCCATTATCCATTACAGTCTATAAAAGCAGTGAACTTTAGAGTGAGCCTGCCTCACAAATTGCCTCATGGGAGAACTTTACCATAGTGGTCAAGCTTGGTAGGCGGGTTGGCAACCGCAGATATTTTTCTGAAGGCGATTGACTGCCTCATTACCTTACTAGTAAAGGTAAGAGTCCCCAGTTTTCTCCTCTTACCATCCAAAGCACAGTAAGATGCTGCAACCATAATACAACTGCAACGCAACGTGGTTCTACCACGTTGTTTAAAATTTTCTCATTCATATTATCATTCAATTATTTAACAAATACTTACAAATTTAGGCATTTGCTTCACTGGCGGCCGTGGTTCAATCTCCAGACTCTTAGCATAAAGGTAGTTAGTAACTGAATTTTCGTCCATGTCCGGAAATGGGTCTAGCGATTCTAGAAACGCCTGCAAAATAAAAACGTTAATATAACATACAAATACGCGGTTTATATTGCTTGACATTAAGTATATTTATTTCTCTCTATTATGTCCATGTCAATTGGACAATAAATATTAAGTAGTAAAAATGATTAAAATTACATTTTAAGATAATGATCATGAGACAATATTAATATTTTTTACTTCCATCTTTTTTATTCACTTAAGATTAGTGTACATATTATGTGCAATGCTTACCCTCGTTCTAGGTTCTACTGTAAGGCAGTACGGTTGATTTTGGTACTGTTGAATCTCGCCCGTTATTTCCGCCACTTTTCTCCGCTTAGAGAAATTTATCAATTCCGAGTTAGGAAGGAAATCTGTTAAAAGAACATCAATAATTGATTTTACAACGTAAGTTTAAAAGCATTTTGAATTTTGAAAGTTCTTTAGCTTTTCATCGCTAATTAGAAAGTTCCGGCTCTCATAGACACTCCATAAATAGGATGAGAATAAAGTTAGTTAAAATTTAAAGTTACAACCTATACGTCTCACTGCTGGGCGCAGACCTCCTCTCATTTCTGAGACGGTTTTAGGGCAAGGAAAAGTCCGCCGCGCTGCCCCAATGCGTGTTGGCGAACTTCACATGTCTTCGAAAAAATTTTTTTCTTATTTCTCAACTATGCAGGTTTCCTCACGATGTTTTCCTTCACCACCGGACCCGTGGTAAATCAGCACTTAAAATTGCAATTAACAATTTCATTGGTGCCGGCGAGGATCGAACCAGGGTTGCTCGCGTACTGTGAAACTTACAGCGAGCGCTAACCATCTTAGCTACCACGGCTCCGATGGACGTGAATAGAATAGAGTATTGAAATAGAAGAATATTGAATGATGCTATTTTTGGTATAGCATGCATGGTTGCATAGTAAAAGAATATGTTATCCCATTTCGTCTTGTGGGTGTAGTAAGAGGCGAATATAAAAATGTATTAATTTATTCATTTTATTTCATGTAACATTCATTTATTAGATTAATAAATATGTAATAGCCCACGGCTGAACATGGGCTTCACGGATAGATTCATATGTGCCATTGTTCCTATACTTTGCAAGTGTTGGCAAGCGCAGATTTTTTATTATTACGTGCGGGGTGAGTAAAAACGCCGATTAGGATGAGAAATAACACACAGCAAGTATATAATCACGCCCAAAAACCGCTAAGCTTTTTTGAAGAGATCCTTAATAATAGTAAATATCGTAGGGCGATTTCTCGTTTTCACTTCCCGCTGTTCGCTATCACGTTCCAGAAATCATTAATTCTCCGATCGCCGGCGCTAGATTTTATATACCCAATAAGAGAAATGCAAAACATTCTAGGTAAAGTCAAATCATTCAAACATCCCCTCTCTCAATGGGAAATTACTAGAACAAACGCGATTAACAACGTGTCCAAAAGAGAAAGAGCTTTTTTGGCGAAGACGAGGTTACGTTTCGCTTGCAAAAATAAGTTTGAGCATTTTCTATTTTTACGCCCACCCATTTTATTTACTTGACATTGACCCTTATAATTGAACGTAAAGAGTAATTTGCCGTACATCGATGGACTTTATATTGGAATGTCATGCTTCAGGAACGTTCTGTCTCAACATTATTGATATTTTGAGTTGTACAGTCCACACGGATAAAGAATAGGATTAGAAATGGCGGCTCATCGAGCCCGCACTGTCAAAATGCACAGAAATAAGCTAATACCGGTATATCGTTATAACGTTATATTATTCGGTTGATTGGAATTTTTCTAATAATAGGAAAATATTCAAAAAGAATTGTATACGCAAGTAGGTACATACATTTTAAAATTACAACTAACGACCGGCCCTGGGTTCGCCTGGGTGGGATCTATTAATGTCGCTTTATTTAGACTTAAGATAATCATTAGACTATTGATTTTATCTTAACAATATTTCTATTTTAATAAAGTCACTATATTTTGCGGATTTACACTCTATTTGTTCGTGAAGTTTTATTACAATCGGTTTAGCCATTACGAAGATTTGGTCGGACAGACACACAAACAAAAATTTTTATAATGGTTACTCATGTCTCAATATCGTGTAAATATATTATACAAAAAAAATTAACAAACAAAATTAACACTAATTATGAAGAAAACCACCAGAAACCGTACGGAACTTTTTTTGTATGGTATTTTGTTATCATTGATTCCAATTACAAGTTGGACTTAAGTTATAGAAAGTACGTAAAACGCATATTGCAACGTATTTTTTTTTTGCAATCTTTACTGGCGGGTGTGAGTATAGATAGCGCCAGTGTGCGAGATGGAAGTAAATAGAGACGACGCCATTTTCTATCCCATTCTTTAACTGCACGGGTAGTATTGTGTAAGATGTTGTTGTCCCATGGGATGACTGAGTAATGGATTCTTTGACGATACCAATATACAGCGGCCAGAATGACCGCAGTGTAGTTGCATGGCATATAGTGGTGTAGACCATCTTATATAGTATGCCAGAGATACCTAGAAGATGGTCTTCAAGAAATTTCTCAATCAATTTGCAGAGTATGATTTAGAAACACCTGGACGGAAAGAGCCGGGACAAAAGATTAATACAATTATTACATAGATTGGAATAGCTTTGACGATGATATTCAGGAGAGCCACCAGAAGGCTTGTTATTGACAACATATAAATCAGACAGATCAGTCAGACACTAACGCAGATGTATTTTCTGTAATGTAAGTGCTGTTAGCCAATGCGGCTGTAACAGCATCATCTGACACAGGGGCACATCTTTAAGGCCGCGAGCTATTGCACAAACGCAGAGGGAATATTGGCGAGAACTAGACAGGTTTTAACTTAGACATAAATACAGATACCGAGTGATTAATGTAGCGAAAGCATTCCTGTACGAAATAGAGGATTTGCAATAATATTTAAGATAGGGTAAGATGCAAGGTTTGACACGGCGACACTCACAGCACACAACTAAATCTTAAGAGAAAGGATTGTGTTTATGCTTCTTTCTACTCACCAAGATTGCCCTCTTCAATGTGCAGAATGTTTGTCAGGTACATGCCAAAGAAGGGCACGCAGGGTGGGTTTATACTCCGTAACCGCTCTTGGTAACGCCGGAAATGGTCAGAGTTTAGCTCACGGAATTCTTCCAGAGCACGTATTAGCCTTAGAGGAACCATCTGAAAGAAAAAAAAATCAATTAAAAAAATTGCGTTGCGAGTGTCAACCAGCAGCCTTTTCAAATGAAAAGATTGGCCGGTCAAAGCAGTCATCTTAGATATAATTCTTGATAAGAATAGAATAGAATACTTTTTATTCAATATAGATTATTACATAATACTTATTGAAAGTAATTTTTTTATTTACCACTGGTTCGGAAAATACCTCTGTCCTGGGAAGAACCAGCAACAAACCCACCGGGACTTTTTTTAAAAACATATTTCACTTAACAATAATTTTTTTGTACAAACTAAATTTATAATATAACCAGCATGGTGGCGATCACCTCATTCCCAGGGTTTATTTTTACACTTGTCATTGCCCCATAAACGAATTACTAATACTGAGGAGTCTAGTAACTGGTATTACAAGCTTATGTTTGTTCCTAGTGTTTAAAGTATGAACATCTTTATTGTTATCAATACATACATAACATTTTCATAAATATATTGCGATTCCAAAGTTAATATGTTTATTTCTTTAAATTTTTCTCTAACGAACTCATTCAAGTTATAAATCGCCCGTACGGCTCTCTTTTGCAACACAAATATAGTTTGGATGTCAGTCGCATTACCCCATTTCAAAATTTCATAAGACATCACACTATGAAAGTAAATAAAATAAACTAATCTAGATGTCTTAACATTGGTGAGACTTCTAATCTTTCTTACAGCATATGCTGCAGTACTAAGCCTGCTTGCTTGTTTATATTAAGCTTTGCGTCAATAGTAATACCAAGAAACAGTGGTATCCACAAGACTCAACTCCTCCCCAATTAAGAGCACTTTGGTATTTGAATGTAACATTAGGTATTGTAAATTTAATACATTTTGTCTTATTACCGTTTAAGAGAAAATTGTTCGCGTTAAACCAATGTACTAATTTCGATAGAGCATTATTTACATTGTCAAAATTAATTGACTGTCGTTTGCGTTTGAAAATTAATGAGGTATCATTAGCAAATAATACTATATTGTGATAGTTGCCTAAAAGATAATTTTAGTTATTAATATAGACTGAGAACAGGAGTGGGCCAAGAATCGAGTCCCGAACGCCCATTGCTACTACTGATCCGGAGGAACCTTTACCATTGATAACGACTTTATAAGTTCCGTTATTTAAATACGAAATAATAAGTCTAAGCGCAATATTTTTGACACCGTAATGTTGTATTTTCCTGATTAATATCTCATGATGAACACAATCAAAAGCCTTGGAAAGATCACAAAAAATAGCTAAGGCATTTTGTGAAGTCTTCCAGGCATTAAAAATATATTTCATAAGCTCGACACCTGCGTCAGTTGTCGAGCCACCCCTTGTGAAACCAAATTGATATTTATGGAGTAATTTTTTTTTATTTTTTTTTTAACAATTTATGGAAAATTATCTTTTCAAAATTTTTACTGAGAGTTAGAGTAGTAAAGAAACAGGTTCAAAAATTAGCGGGGTCCAATGTAAAAAATCAAGATATGCTTATTATATTGAAGAGATCACTAATCCACTATCCATTACATACGACAAGCCACGTAGAAAGTTTTGCGGAATTGATTTTATTTTTTGTTAAAGACACAGGCAATAAATAATTATTTTTTAACATTCTTCAAAAAGGAAAAGGTACTCAATTCGACTTTATTTTTTATTTTATTTTTTATGAGTATTACTTCATAACTTTTTTCTTTGTGAACCGATTTTGATAATTCTTTTTTATTTGAAAGCTAGGGTGCTTCTCATGCGGTCCCATATAAATTTGAACAAGGTCTGCCAATAGTTTTTGAGTTAATCCTTAATAACTTTTATTGAAGTCGGTGGTACAACATTTTTAATTTTACCACTTGTGAAAAGTAAAAATATTAATGTTCTTATTTCAAAACTTCTTTGTATTTTAGCGAGAGAAAGATTTGGTCGCTAATTTTTTCACTTTGATGGGGAATCCGGTATCGATTCGATAATGCAGTTTTTGTCGCCAATAGATGCACTAGCAGTGTTTGAGCAATAGAAGAAGTGAGACGGACCCGAAAGTGTTTTGAAAAATGGTCTAGAAACATGAAATTTTGTATAGATGGAGATTTTTTTTGAAAATATTTAATAATAAAAACTTTGATCATAGAACTTTTTTTTTTTAGTTTTGCAATACTTTCTAAGTTGCCTACGTACAATAAAGCAGTGTATACAGAAGAGTGTGGTGATATTTCAGATTTGTTTCATATTACATCAAACTTAATATATTAATCCGTTGCATGACATTTCATAACGGTAATGTCTCATCACCACACTGGCAAACTGAAACAGGAGATGGGCTGCAGCATCTTCTTCATAACCACTGGAAATAATAAAAAACTGTGGTTGTATGTCTGCATCCAAGCATGGTAACTATGGCAACATCCCTAAAAGAAGAAATGGGTATCAACCCCTACAGTATATAATGACGTATACAGAGGTCGCTAGAATAAATTGTGTCACACTTCATCGGCATAGATGACCTAAACCACGGCAGTTTAACCACGAATCGATTAGATCATATGCTCTTGACTTGTAAATTCATAAAACTAGACGACAATATCAGATTATCACACACGTCTAATACACCGCGAAGCATTCTAGTAGAGACATTGCATTGTCTTGACTCAGTATCAAGCAATCATTGCCTCCAAAGCATTTTAAAAATCCATGAATATAATTGTAGATTGAATGCACTAATAAATACCGCTCATATATACCTGAAAAGTAGCTCGTAACCGATGTACAGAAGCGCTTCCACAAGCCGCGGCCACCGCCAACACGCCATTAAAATTATTCAGATCACGTAATGCAATGGCTAACTCTAGACATCTGCAAACTATCGCAGCTCGCTCCTCCAGGTTTTCACTCTCCACTATCCACTTCTCCATCCACCAAGAAAACTGGTAATAAGAATTTTTTTTTAATTTTTTTTAAATATTCTATTTTTATAATAACAAGAGTAACAAATAAGCACACAGTCTATCCGATGGTAAGTTCTGCAAAGAGATATCTTCATTCATCTTTGATTAAGAATTACGATGTAGTTGTGTTGTCACCTTGATGACTAAGATAGAAATCATACTAATAAAAAGTGAAAGTTTCCGGTCTCGCTCATATATCATACGCTACACAGCAGCATTATGCTGTTATTCTAATATAATATTAGTTATTTTGTACAAACTAGATCCTCGAACGAGCCTACTCATTTGTACAACATAAATAAACATAGCTTTATAATACACAATTTTCATCTTTTTTTATAGGATAAGGGTGGCAAACGAGCACAGTTCACCTGATGGTAAGTGGATGCTGTGGCCCATAGACATCTACATCTATCCCCGATTACGAATCAAAATGCAGATCCGTTGTCACCCGTGAGGACTAAGATGGAATGCCTCGTTTCCAGTAAAAAGGGTCTCCAGTTACCATACGAAACACTACTAATACTACTAGCGTAAAATAGCATCTATAAGCTGCTATTTTACGTTAGTATTCTGTGAGAGCGTGGTCCTTTCCCGGTTGAGCCAACCCATTCGTGCTACAACTATACTAATAAAATAGCTGCAGCATAGCTCTATCACGTAAAATCTTTTAGAAAGTTCACATTAACTACAGTACTCCGATATTTTATTGCAATTAGAAAAATTGAAGTTAATAGGCTGTAACAATAGATTGATACTAGCAACACCTGAGTAACAAAAATATAAACAGGCAACAAACAACATATAAGATGTCATGAATCACTTTCTATATTGTCCTTCGATAACTCAAAATAAACATTTTCTTATATCTATGACAGTTTAAAAGCAAAAAAAAACTTACATTTGTGGTATGTTTTATTATCCTAAGCAGGTTTGGGCTGGTTTTATGCTTATCTTTTTTGGTCCATACTGCACCCACAAGCTCCGATGGTTTCACCTAGGTGGAAAAGGTATTGTAAGAATGTTACGAATAAGTAATTTAATGAAAAGCCCTAACAGTAAAGGGTATATTTTTTATAGGATAAGTGTGAGTAACGAGCACACAGTCTACCTGATGGTAAGTGGTTGCTGTGCCCCATAGACACCTACATCTATTTTCGATTACGAATCAAAATTCAGATGCGCTGTCACCTGTGAGGATTAAGGCTGGATTTAATGCTCGACCGACGGTGAGCGCTGACATCGGTTGAGTGTAGCTATATCAATGAAAACCTATTAACGGCTACAGTGCAGCGCTGATAAAGTACTACGCGCGTACGAGGACAGGCGGTCGAGCTCGTCGGTCCGACATACGTCGGTTGACTGACGCGTTATGGCGGTACATGCGTGCGTTCAGTGCGACGCTGACAGAGTGACCGACTGTACGCGCGTACGCATTATCGCGAACAAAACTGAACATTGATACATGAACATCGTTCTCGCAACTTCAAATACAGTGAACAAAATTCTCCTCCAATTAAACGGTCTACAATTATTGGGTGCACATGATACATATGACTCCGTCTTTTATGCCGTAATAATTTGCGTAAATAGTACGCACATATTATAGAGTTAACAAATGGATTAATTTTTCTTCGTAATTGAACACGTCTAACAAAGCTTGCCGTCAATTAAACACTAAACGCTTGGCCTCGACCGACGATCAAGACGTACCGTCAGCGCCTACGGTACGTGCTGACCATCGGTCGAGCACTAAATCCAGCCTACGATGGAATGCCTCGTTTCCAGTAAAAAGCGTCTCCGGTTCTCTACATTCACCAAAAAAACTTTACCTGCACACTAGAATTTTCTCCTGTATTGTGTGGGCAGTTTACACACATAAAGAAGTCAATCATTTTTGGGCCCACTAGAAATTTTCGCGACACTCAATGGTATTATATACAAAAAAAAGATACCAATTTATTATTGTAAATAGCCTAAAGATTTTATGAAAATCTAAGCGGAAAAATCTAAAAAAAAAAAAAGAGTTGTTTTGATATTTATGTTCATGTCATTGATTCTCGGTAGAAACTCAACTCAACTTGAGTTGAAATTCACGTAACTCGAATAGTACTCGAGTTACGCAACTCGGATTGGCAGAACGAAGCTGTGTCAGTTTGTTACAAATTATTTTTATATTTGTTCCTCCATCCAAGATAATTATTATTATTACTTAACTTAATAGGTAGTTATATATTATTGGTTTGAGTATTGACAATCTTCATAAAATAATATCACTCTAACTTTATGACGTAACGTAAAATTAATGTTATTAATAATTTAACTGTCATGAATTATACTTAATCAGCTTATTGACATTACATAATATATCAATAAATTGCTCGAATTAGTAAGTCGAGTTCATCACTAACTTGTAGACAGACACTGCATTGACCGTAAGATTAAGATGCGGCTCGAGTAGAATTTTGTTACTCGAGTCACTCGGCATTTATCATGTCACTAGTTGTACGCGAATTTTTGAGTTATTCGAATTTACTATTTATAGTCCCTGCATCGATTGAAGTTTATCACTCGGGTTAGGAATAAATAGGTGCGTTTATTAAATAAGTAATATGTGGCAATATGAGATAAAATATAAATATTTATTATTTATTTATTTGTAGTACTTCCATGTTTTTTATTTACTACAGGCAGAGACAAAAGAGTATGGATTTGAAGACAACAGTCTTATATCATATCTCTTATCTTTGAAAATGTCCTTCTAATTCCTACCAATATCATAAATGGACATGTTATCATCAAGTTATTTAGAAAAAATCTTTTGAAATGATGATTGAAAATAACAAATACAATTAAATTATACATGTGTTTTATTACTTTGTATTTTATTAGTTTAAAACATCTTAATTACTTACTTACTACTTACTTCCTCACTATTTATCAGTGTATAATAACTGATAAAAATGACATTACCTAGTCATTTTGGCTTTTATGGTGTTTGAGTATGATAACTAATCAGTTAATATATTTTTAAACAAAGTTTTGACACCGTGCCTGTCTATCTGTTCTACTATTAATAGACTACTTTTGAAATTATGATTTACTATTGTAGATGCAGTTGCATTATAATTTGTGTTTTTATCCTTACACAACCAGTTTTTTTTTATAGGATAGGGTGACAAACGAGCACACAGTCCACCTGATGGTGAGTGGTTGCTGTGACCCATAGACATATACATTTATCCTCAATAAAGAATCAAAATGTAGATGCGTTGTCACCCGTAAGGACTAAGATGGAATGCCTCTTTTCCAGTAAAAAGGGTCTCCGGTTCTCTACACTCACCATACGAAACACAGCAGTGTTAAGCTGCTATTTGACGCTGGTATTCTGTGAGAGCGTGGTCCTTCCCCGGTCGAGCCGACCCATTCGTGCTACAACTATACTACTAATATAGCTGCAGCATGGCTCTACCACGTTCAAAAAGGTCAAAACACTTTCTTACTATATAGCGTGTGTAGGTAATATTATAAATGTATATATTATCCCTGAGTCATCTTGACTTAATACTTAAATGGTATTTGGGATATGTATACACACAATCAATCAATACATGTAAAAAATAGTATCCATACCACATTTGTGCAAAGACAGGCACTATACTTTGCCGGAACTACTAAAAGGATTTTCCATTGATATTAAAGTACCTATAAAAGCTGAATGTAACTACAACTTTGTTTTATACTATTAATTATTGAACAGTGCACTATTTTAACTTATAATACTGGTGAGAACTAATAAACAATCGCTTTTAGTTTGTTTTTAGGTTATAGTAATATACATATTTTATGTTAATTTGTTAGTACTCCGTTTACATTTCGTAAAACTAATATTACTATTATAATCTATAGATTATAAGAAATAAATCGATATGCATTCCATTAAGGGTAGCTAAAATTTGTGGTGGGCCCATTCTCCATACAAAAAGAAACTGTCTCCTTTCACAAGGCCATATTTTCATTCTGGACACAAGTTGCGAGTACTAAGTGGTATGTTAGTACTACAATTTGTTATTCTACCTTCTCTATGGGATCATGTTTCTTGGCTTGATTTGATATTCATTATATTGAAGTTACATAATGGACTGATGCAATAATACAAGTGTGACTATGTCCTTATTCGTATATTATACGTAAGGTTACTGACAAGATGTCGATTTGATGTATTTGCATTTCCTTATAATAAGACTAGAGCCCTTTTATTCTTTAACTTCTGTACTATAGATTTTGCTCGTACTACCTCATCTAGCAGCACGGGTGCGTGTGCACGTACCTGCCGGTAGAGCTGGAACTCGAGGAGCGTGAGCTGGCGCGCCAACTCGAGCGGGTGCAGCGCGAGCGGGTGCCAGGCGTGGCGCTCGGGATCCGCCACGTGGCGCAGCACGGGTGCGTGTGCACGTACCTGCCGGTAGAGCTGGAACTCGAGGAGCGTGAGCTGGCGCGCCAACTCGAGCGGGTGCAGCGCGAGCGGGTGCCAGGCGTGGCGCTCGGGATCCGCCACGTGGCGCAGCACGGGTGCGTGTGCACGTACCTGCCGGTAGAGCTGGAACTCGAGGAGCGTGAGCTGGCGCGCCAACTCGAGCGGGTGCAGCGCGAGCGGGTGCCAGGCGTGGCGCTCGGGATCCGCCACGTGGCGCAGCACGGGTGCGTGTGCACGTACCTGCCGGTAGAGCTGGAACTCGAGGAGCGTGAGCTGGCGCGCCAACTCGAGCGGGTGCAGCGCGAGCGGGTGCCAGGCGTGGCGCTCGGGATCCGCCACGTGGCGCAGCACGGGTGCGTGTGCACGTACCTGCCGGTAGAGCTGGAACTCGAGGAGCGTGAGCTGGCGCGCCAACTCGAGCGGGTGCAGCGCGAGCGGGTGCCAGGCGTGGCGCTCGGGGTCCGCCACGTGGCGCAGCACGGGTGCGTGTGCACGTACCTGCCGGTAGAGCTGGAACTCGAGGAGCGTGAGCTGGCGCGCCAACTCGAGCGGGTGCAGCGCGAGCGGGTGCCAGGCGTGGCGCTCGGGATCCGCCACGTGGCGCAGCACGGGTGCGTGTGCACGTACCTGCCGGTAGAGCTGGAACTCGAGGAGCGTGAGCTGGCGCGCCAACTCGAGCGGGTGCAGCGCGAGCGGGTGCCAGGCGTGGCGCTCGGGATCCGCCACGTGGCGCAGCACGGGTGCGTGTGCACGTACCTGCCGGTAGAGCTGGAACTCGAGGAGCGTGAGCTGGCGCGCCAACTCGAGCGGGTGCAGCGCGAGCGGGTGCCAGGCGTGGCGCTCGGGATCCGCCACGTGGCGCAGCACGGGTGCGTGTGCACGTACCTGCCGGTAGAGCTGGAACTCGAGGAGCGTGAGCTGGCGCGCCAACTCGAGCGGGTGCAGCGCGAGCGGGTGCCAGGCGTGGCGCTCGGGATCCGCCACGTGGCGCAGCACGGGTGCGTGTGCACGTACCTGCCGGTAGAGCTGGAACTCGAGGAGCGTGAGCTGGCGCGCCAACTCGAGCGGGTGCAGCGCGAGCGGGTGCCAGGCGTGGCGCTCGGGATCCGCCACGTGGCGCAGCACGGGTGCGTGTGCACGTACCTGCCGGTAGAGCTGGAACTCGAGGAGCGTGAGCTGGCGCGCCAACTCGAGCGGGTGCAGCGCGAGCGGGTGCCAGGCGTGGCGCTCGGGATCCGCCACGTGGCGCAGCACGGGTGCGTGTGCACGTACCTGCCGGTAGAGCTGGAACTCGAGGAGCGTGAGCTGGCGCGCCAACTCGAGCGGGTGCAGCGCGAGCGGGTGCCAGGCGTGGCGCTCGGGATCCGCCACGTGGCGCAGCACGGGTGCGTGTGCACGTACCTGCCGGTAGAGCTGGAACTCGAGGAGCGTGAGCTGGCGCGCCAACTCGAGCGGGTGCAGCGCGAGCGGGTGCCAGGCGTGGCGCTCGGGATCCGCCACGTGGCGCAGCACGGGTGCGTGTGCACGTACCTGCCGGTAGAGCTGGAACTCGAGGAGCGTGAGCTGGCGCGCCAACTCGAGCGGGTGCAGCGCGAGCGGGTGCCAGGCGTGGCGCTCGGGGTCCGCCACGTGGCGCAGCACGGGTGCGTGTGCACGTACCTGCCGGTAGAGCTGGAACTCGAGGAGCGTGAGCTGGCGCGCCAACTCGAGCGGGTGCAGCGCGAGCGGGTGCCAGGCGTGGCGCTCGGGATCCGCCACGTGGCGCAGCACGGGTGCGTGTGCACGTACCTGCCGGTAGAGCTGGAACTCGAGGAGCGTGAGCTGGCGCGCCAACTCGAGCGGGTGCAGCGCGAGCGGGTGCCAGGCGTGGCGCTCGGGATCCGCCACGTGGCGCAGCACGGGTGCGTGTGCACGTACCTGCCGGTAGAGCTGGAACTCGAGGAGCGTGAGCTGGCGCGCCAACTCGAGCGGGTGCAGCGCGAGCGGGTGCCAGGCGTGGCGCTCGGGATCCGCCACGTGGCGCAGCACGGGTGCGTGTGCACGTACCTGCCGGTAGAGCTGGAACTCGAGGAGCGTGAGCTGGCGCGCCAACTCGAGCGGGTGCAGCGCGAGCGGGTGCCAGGCGTGGCGCTCGGCATCCGCCACGTGGCGCAGCACGGGTGCGTGTGCACGTACCTGCCGGTAGAGCTGGAACTCGAGGAGCGTGAGCTGGCGCGCCAACTCGAGCGGGTGCAGCGCGAGCGGGTGCCAGGCGTGGCGCTCGGGATCCGCCACGTGGCGCAGCACGGGTGCGTGTGCACGTACCTGCCGGTAGAGCTGGAACTCGAGGAGCGTGAGCTGGCGCGCCAACTCGAGCGGGTGCAGCGCGAGCGGGTGCCAGGCGTGGCGCTCGGGATCCGCCACGTGGCGCAGCACGGGTGCGTGTGCACGTACCTGCCGGTAGAGCTGGAACTCGAGGAGCGTGAGCTGGCGCGCCAACTCGAGCGGGTGCAGCGCGAGCGGGTGCCAGGCGTGGCGCTCGGGATCCGCCACGTGGCGCAGCACGGGTGCGTGTGCACGTACCTGCCGGTAGAGCTGGAACTCGAGGAGCGTGAGCTGGCGCGCCAACTCGAGCGGGTGCAGCGCGAGCGGGTGCCAGGCGTGGCGCTCGGGATCCGCCACGTGGCGCAGCACGGGTGCGTGTGCACGTACCTGCCGGTAGAGCTGGAACTCGAGGAGCGTGAGCTGGCGCGCCAACTCGAGCGGGTGCAGCGCGAGCGGGTGCCAGGCGTGGCGCTCGGGAACCGCCACGTGGCGCAGCACGGGTGCGTGTGCACGTACCTGCCGGTAGAGCTGGAACTCGAGGAGCGTGAGCTGGCGCGCCAACTCGAGCGGGTGCAGCGCGAGCGGGTGCCAGGCGTGGCGCTCGGGATCCGCCACGTGGCGCAGCACGGGTGCGTGTGCACGTACCTGCCGGTAGAGCTGGAACTCGAGGAGCGTGAGCTGGCGCGCCAACTCGAGCGGGTGCAGCGCGAGCGGGTGCCAGGCGTGGCGCTCGGGATCCGCCACGTGGCGCAGCACGGGTGCGTGTGCACGTACCTGCCGGTAGAGCTGGAACTCGAGGAGCGTGAGCTGGCGCGCCAACTCGAGCGGGTGCAGCGCGAGCGGGTGCCAGGCGTGGCGCTCGGGATCCGCCACGTGGCGCAGCACGGGTGCGTGTGCACGTACCTGCCGGTAGAGCTGGAACTCGAGGAGCGTGAGCTGGCGCGCCAACTCGAGCGGGTGCAGCGCGAGCGGGTGCCAGGCGTGGCGCTCGGGATCCGCCACGTGGCGCAGCACGGGTGCGTGTGCACGTACCTGCCGGTAGAGCTGGAACTCGAGGAGCGTGAGCTGGCGCGCCAACTCGAGCGGGTGCAGCGCGAGCGGGTGCCAGGCGTGGCGCTCGGGATCCGCCACGTGGCGCAGCACGGGTGCGTGTGCACGTACCTGCCGGTAGAGCTGGAACTCGAGGAGCGTGAGCTGGCGCGCCAACTCGAGCGGGTGCAGCGCGAGCGGGTGCCAGGCGTGGCGCTCGGGATCCGCCACGTGGCGCAGCACGGGTGCGTGTGCACGTACCTGCCGGTAGAGCTGGAACTCGAGGAGCGTGAGCTGGCGCGCCAACTCGAGCGGGTGCAGCGCGAGCGGGTGCCAGGCGTGGCGCTCGGGATCCGCCACGTGGCGCAGCACGGGTGCGTGTGCACGTACCTGCCGGTAGAGCTGGAACTCGAGGAGCGTGAGCTGGCGCGCCAACTCGAGCGGGTGCAGCGCGAGCGGGTGCCAGGCGTGGCGCTCGGGGTCCGCCACGTGGCGCAGCACGGGTGCGTGTGCACGTACCTGCCGGTAGAGCTGGAACTCGAGGAGCGTGAGCTGGCGCGCCAACTCGAGCGGGTGCAGCGCGAGCGGGTGCCAGGCGTGGCGCTCGGGATCCGCCACGTGGCGCAGCACGGGTGCGTGTGCACGTACCTGCCGGTAGAGCTGGAACTCGAGGAGCGTGAGCTGGCGCGCCAACTCGAGCGGGTGCAGCGCGAGCGGGTGCCAGGCGTGGCGCTCGGGATCCGCCACGTGGCGCAGCACGGGTGCGTGTGCACGTACCTGCCGGTAGAGCTGGAACTCGAGGAGCGTGAGCTGGCGCGCCAACTCGAGCGGGTGCAGCGCGAGCGGGTGCCAGGCGTGGCGCTCGGGATCCGCCACGTGGCGCAGCACGGGTGCGTGTGCACGTACCTGCCGGTAGAGCTGGAACTCGAGGAGCGTGAGCTGGCGCGCCAACTCGAGCGGGTGCAGCGCGAGCGGGTGCCAGGCGTGGCGCTCGGGATCCGCCACGTGGCGCAGCACGGGTGCGTGTGCACGTACCTGCCGGTAGAGCTGGAACTCGAGGAGCGTGAGCTGGCGCGCCAACTCGAGCGGGTGCAGCGCGAGCGGGTGCCAGGCGTGGCGCTCGGGATCCGCCACGTGGCGCAGCACGGGTGCGTGTGCACGTACCTGCCGGTAGAGCTGGAACTCGAGGAGCGTGAGCTGGCGCGCCAACTCGAGCGGGTGCAGCGCGAGCGGGTGCCAGGCGTGGCGCTCGGGATCCGCCACGTGGCGCAGCACGGGTGCGTGTGCACGTACCTGCCGGTAGAGCTGGAACTCGAGGAGCGTGAGCTGGCGCGCCAACTCGAGCGGGTGCAGCGCGAGCGGGTGCCAGGCGTGGCGCTCGGGATCCGCCACGTGGCGCAGCACGGGTGCGTGTGCACGTACCTGCCGGTAGAGCTGGAACTCGAGGAGCGTGAGCTGGCGCGCCAACTCGAGCGGGTGCAGCGCGAGCGGGTGCCAGGCGTGGCGCTCGGGATCCGCCACGTGGCGCAGCACGGGTGCGTGTGCACGTACCTGCCGGTAGAGCTGGAACTCGAGGAGCGTGAGCTGGCGCGCCAACTCGAGCGGGTGCAGCGCGAGCGGGTGCCAGGCGTGGCGCTCGGGATCCGCCACGTGGCGCAGCACGGGTGCGTGTGCACGTACCTGCCGGTAGAGCTGGAACTCGAGGAGCGTGAGCTGGCGCGCCAACTCGAGCGGGTGCAGCGCGAGCGGGTGCCAGGTGTGGCGCTCGGGATCCGCCACGTGGCGCAGCACGGGTGCGTGTGCACGTACCTGCCGGTAGAGCTGGAACTCGAGGAGCGTGAGCTGGCGCGCCAACTCGAGCGGGTGCAGCGCGAGCGGGTGCCAGGCGTGGCGCTCGGGATCCGCCACGTGGCGCAGCACGGGTGCGTGTGCACGTACCTGCCGGTAGAGCTGGAACTCGAGGAGCGTGAGCTGGCGCGCCAACTCGAGCGGGTGCAGCGCGAGCGGGTGCCAGGCGTGGCGCTCGGGATCCGCCACGTGGCGCAGCACGGGTGCGTGTGCACGTACCTGCCGGTAGAGCTGGAACTCGAGGAGCGTGAGCTGGCGCGCCAACTCGAGCGGGTGCAGCGCGAGCGGGTGCCAGGCGTGGCGCTCGGGATCCGCCACGTGGCGCAGCACGGGTGCGTGTGCACGTACCTGCCGGTAGAGCTGGAACTCGAGGAGCGTGAGCTGGCGCGCCAACTCGAGCGGGTGCAGCGCGAGCGGGTGCCAGGCGTGGCGCTCGGGATCCGCCACGTGGCGCAGCACGGGTGCGTGTGCACGTACCTGCCGGTAGAGCTGGAACTCGAGGAGCGTGAGCTGGCGCGCCAACTCGAGCGGGTGCAGCGCGAGCGGGTGCCAGGCGTGGCGCTCGGGATCCGCCACGTGGCGCAGCACGGGTGCGTGTGCACGTACCTGCCGGTAGAGCTGGAACTCGAGGAGCGTGAGCTGGCGCGCCAACTCGAGCGGGTGCAGCGCGAGCGGGTGCCAGGCGTGGCGCTCGGGATCCGCCACGTGGCGCAGCACGGGTGCGTGTGCACGTACCTGCCGGTAGAGCTGGAACTCGAGGAGCGTGAGCTGGCGCGCCAACTCGAGCGGGTGCAGCGCGAGCGGGTGCCAGGCGTGGCGCTCGGGATCCGCCACGTGGCGCAGCACGGGTGCGTGTGCACGTACCTGCCGGTAGAGCTGGAACTCGAGGAGCGTGAGCTGGCGCGCCAACTCGAGCGGGTGCAGCGCGAGCGGGTGCCAGGCGTGGCGCTCGGGATCCGCCACGTGGCGCAGCACGGGTGCGTGTGCACGTACCTGCCGGTAGAGCTGGAACTCGAGGAGCGTGAGCTGGCGCGCCAACTCGAGCGGGTGCAGCGCGAGCGGGTGCCAGGCGTGGCGCTCGGGATCCGCCACGTGGCGCAGCACGGGTGCGTGTGCACGTACCTGCCGGTAGAGCTGGAACTCGAGGAGCGTGAGCTGGCGCGCCAACTCGAGCGGGTGCAGCGCGAGCGGGTGCCAGGCGTGGCGCTCGGGATCCGCCACGTGGCGCAGCACGGGTGCGTGTGCACGTACCTGCCGGTAGAGCTGGAACTCGAGGAGCGTGAGCTGGCGCGCCAACTCGAGCGGGTGCAGCGCGAGCGGGTGCCAGGCGTGGCGCTCGGGATCCGCCACGTGGCGCAGCACGGGTGCGTGTGCACGTACCTGCCGGTAGAGCTGGAACTCGAGGAGCGTGAGCTGGCGCGCCAACTCGAGCGGGTGCAGCGCGAGCGGGTGCCAGGCGTGGCGCTCGGGATCCGCCACGTGGCGCAGCACGGGTGCGTGTGCACGTACCTGCCGGTAGAACTGGAACTCGAGGAGCGTGAGCTGGCGCGCCAACTCGAGCGGGTGCAGCGCGAGCGGGTGCCAGGCGTGGCGCTCGGGATCCGCCACGTGGCGCAGCACGGGTGCGTGTGCACGTACCTGCCGGTAGAGCTGGAACTCGAGGAGCGTGAGCTGGCGCGCCAACTCGAGCGGGTGCAGCGCGAGCGGGTGCCAGGCGTGGCGCTCGGGATCCGCCACGTGGCGCAGCACGGGTGCGTGTGCACGTACCTGCCGGTAGAGCTGGAACTCGAGGAGCGTGAGCTGGCGCGCCAACTCGAGCGGGTGCAGCGCGAGCGGGTGCCAGGCGTGGCGCTCGGGATCCGCCACGTGGCGCAGCACGGGTGCGTGTGCACGTACCTGCCGGTAGAGCTGGAACTCGAGGAGCGTGAGCTGGCGCGCCAACTCGAGCGGGTGCAGCGCGAGCGGGTGCCAGGCGTGGCGCTCGGGATCCGCCACGTGGCGCAGCACGGCGGGCGGCGCGCGGTCGAACACGTGCGATACGCCGCCGCCACACTCCAGCTCCGCGCTCCCTCCACTCTGGAATGTTTTTATTACATTTTTTCAAAGGAAGATTTAACTTACAGCCTTTATGTATCCTCGCATTAACCTCTCAGTGCTGGCACTGGTTATTTATGGCGCAAAAACCGTGGCAACGTAGTAACGCGAGGAATCATCCTCACTTCCCTCCCAGGGAAGACAGGTACTATCCAAATAACGTGTCAATAAGCCCGTCGTAATATGTCGTATAATTTTAGGCTCTTCCCCCCTCCCCTCCACGTCACCACCGAAACGCATTCGGCCACTCAGAAAAAAATTAAATTAAAAATTATCTGCAGCAGTCTGGAAAAAACACCTTTTTTTTAGTATGAAAGATACTTCCGTTCAGATTATAGAATAGTACGGCTATAAATTTATTACTAACCAATTGATTTTCTCTGGAAATAGAGAAATTACTACACACCACTTTACACAACCAGTGTGTGTTGCCAATGATGACCTATGGAACTAAGACGTGGTCTTTCACTGCTGGCTTTCAAGCTCAAAGCCGTTCAGCAAGCTATGGACAGGGCTATGCTCGGCGTTTCTCTGCGTGATAGACTTAAAAACTAGGATATCCGCAGTAGAACCCGATTAACCGACATAGCCCAAAGAATTAGTATGCTAAAGTGGCAATGGGCCGGCCATATAGCTCGAAGAACCGACAACCGATGAGGAAGAAATGTTCTCGAGTGGTAGCCTCGTACCGGCAGGCGAACTGCAGGGCGTCCCCCTGCTAGATGGAGTGACGACCTGGTAAGACATGCAGGAAGTCGATGGATGCAGGTGGCTCGGGACCGTACTTTGTGGCATTCCTTGGGGGAGGCCTATGTTCAGCAGTGGACTTGTGAAGGGCTGTAATGATGATGATGATGATGATGATGATAATAATTATGGTTTTAACAGTCATATTAAAAATAATTTTAATAATACAAACCCTATTATAAAACTTTGTGTTCATCAATTTGTAATGCGAACCTTTCTCTGTACAGTCTTGAGGACACTCTGCACCCACTTCTTCATGGGTTTTCCATCGACGGACTCCAAAAATTCACGAAGCTTTTCTAATAGCGCCGGCTCGCGTTCAAAATCGTAGAAATGCTGGTCCACCCAATGTCGTAACACGTTGATAACTCTGAGAATCATGATAAATATAGGTTATCAATGTCAGACATAATAATAATAATCACATACTCGAGAGTAAACAAACTCAAAATTTTAATATGGTTAAAGGTTTACATTACATCCTCTTCATTTCCTTTAATATATAAACAGTCCACTGCTGGAAAGGAGCCTTTCCCACATTATAGAGAATAATTAGCATAACTACCATGCTTGGAAGGCAGATTGGCAAATGTTATTGCCGTGATATTAGTCACATATTGTAATTTTCAAAAGGTTGTACTATTTCACATATGTAGAATATTACTAAACCTCTTTTACATATTACGAAGACGAGATTGTCGTTTTGATATTGCGACCTGTGAGCCAATACCATTTAAAATTATTTCCTTATATCTCTCGCGATTAGATCAAAACTTAATATTGTTTTAGTTTTAATATGACTACCGATTATCTTTTTCTATGAATCACATGACATACTACTAAGACAGATTCCAACACTAGAAATAAGGTAAAAGTTGTTAATTAATGATGTCTAATTACGTTTAAAAGAAAAATAGCTTTATTATGGTAATGTAAATATCCAACAATAACTCCTACATAATAATTTCTCCAAGTAATTATGTTACAAGGCCCACACTAGGGTTGACTACTTCTAGTAAATAATGTTAAACACACCTAAATTTCACCGGCTGCTGAAACTCTTTTCTGTACCTCTTCCAATCTTCTCTTGCTGTGTTTTTACTTAATTTTTCGACGTCACTGCTCACCGTACTCTCCACGCAATCTGGCAAGGAATTGCAAATATTAGGTGATAAATGTAGAAAATCTTAACAAGATAAAAACTTAAACTATTTTGTTAATTAACACGTGTATTTGCACGAAAATCAAATTAGATAATAGAGACATCATGATACTTTACCAATTTCAATATCCAATATTGATGAGTTTGGACTAATGTCTTTCTTCAGAGGCTTGATCCTTGAGACTAGCGTGCACAAATATTGAATACATTTATATTTAATAATTAAGTATAATATATTATTTATAAAACAAAATGTTGAACATATTAAAACAGAATAATTATATGATTTCATAATTAGAAAAAAAATTTCTAATTTTAAAATGAATGTTTAAATCTAAATGAACAAAGTTTATCAACACTGCTTAAATATTTCGTAATTTAAATATTTTCAAGAGTTATGACCTAGATTAGACATAATTTTCTTATATAGATCAGTCGAAGATAACAGAAATCAAAGATACATGCAAGAAGGACAAGGAAAACAAAACAATAATTATACTGAATCATTCAGATATATATAAATCAAATTTTGATATACCTGTTCTTGGTGCATCATACACTTCACTTGGCTCTGGAATGCGAAACCGCTCAATCAACAAGTCTAACAGCTCACTCGGGGAGCAGAACGAACGGTATGTGGTCAGGAATGTTCGCACCAGGTTCAAGTCCGCGTAGATATGATACGTAAGCCTTTCCACTAGTTTCAGAAGTGTGGCACCCTGAAAGAAACAAATTTTTTCTAACCTGTTTATTTCGCTATTTTACATAAGAAAGAAAACACGTAAAACAAAGGGATTTAATAATATTATGTACTAGGAAATATCGAAATTAACACCTTAGGCCTAACGAGTCGATACCTAGGGCTAACGAGTCGAGACAAAATATCAACACGGTGACTTGAACTGCGAATGCGATTAGTCTAGATCTCTATTTAATGCGCGCACTAACTTCAAAAATAGTTAATTGTAGTGCAGGAGGGGCGAAGTGTAACCCCTTAGCGCTAGCGTTGCCCATCAATTTTAGCCGACATCAAAAAAGGAGGTTCACAATTCTACTATATTTTTTGTATGTATGACAAATACGCGATATATTAGTCAATATGTCAAATTTTTATTAAATAGTAAGTGCAAGTAAGTGAAACTTAGAATGTTGTTTGTATGTATATTTTATTTTAGGGCTATAACCTACTTAATAAATCATGCTCCTAAATACAAAATCAGAATGGCGTTTATATTTATGTTGCTTCTTTAATTACAAATTATATTTGCCCACAAAAGCTATATACTCGTATTATGTGATGTACAGCCACATGTTTCATACTTTTTGTGAAGTTTAGGTTTGGTTGGGTTCTTAAACTCATTACAAATTGCAGCCCGCTAATGTTTTCTACCGACTTCAAAAAGAAGGGGGTTCTCAATTCGACTGTATGTTTTTTTATGTTTGTTACCTCATAACTTTTTTCTGGGTGAACCGATTTCGATGATTCTTTTTTTATTTGAAAGCTGATGCTTCACATGTGGTCCCATATAAATTTGATCAAGGTCTGACCAATAGTTTTTGAGTTATTCTTAATAATATATATTGAAGTCGGTTGTACAAACTTTTAATTTAAAATTATTGCTCATCGGCTCGCCCGCCTAACCTCGGCTTGACAATAGCTACGAGCCCCGTACCATAAAACCCTGCATGAGACGCCTGCAACACAGATTGCGATACTTAAGACTGTAGTCCTTGAGCGTGGGAAGTTCTAATAGAACACCTACAATGACTTTTTCTAGTCACACAGACGCATCACGCAGTGTTAGTATACGCACCATTGACAAGAATAAATTACTTTTGGAGCTTCGCACAAGTTACACATTTCGTCTTCGCACACATTGTATGTAGCCATTTGCAATTTATTCTGTGTCATTTGCTTGTCACATAGCGAAGTCCGCGAGCCCGTAATTAATAGCTGACGGCAAAGGGTGGGGCCAGAGTGTACGCTTTCTAAGTATTATTTTAACTATTATTTTTTATTTATGAACAAATTTAAAATATTATCAATGTTTTGTGTAATACGGGAAATGTGAGTTTTCATAAATGATCTTTTTTACGAAGATTAGACGAGTTTTAATAGTTTCTAAAATTATGTTGAGATCAAATATACATTGTCCATTCATTCATTACGAATCAAAGTCAAACATATCAAAGTCAACTTCTGAACAGAAGCCTATCCAAAGGATAACCTCATAAGGGGGTATTTTTCATAGTTTGCACTTTTGCCAAGCGGGTTGGCTACCGCAGTTTTTTACTTTGGATCTAGTTGTTGTTAGGAAGATGCCGTTTATCCATCTCCTGGTTTCCATCTGCCTTTTACCACACCCACGGAATGATTTGGAGTAGTGAATATTCTTTCAACGCCAATAAACATTGTTATTACTATTTATTTGTTATTATTATTTGTTACTTATGTTATGAATCACGTTTTTACTAATTAGAGAATTGGAAAAAATATTTAAAAAAAAAGGTTTTTTTAAGTATAAAATGTCGTGATTAATTTCAAACTTGCCATTATATATATAGGAAAAATATATTATGCATATTTCATATGAATAGGTGTGTTCGATAAAGAATATCTAGCAGAAATTATTTTTAAATAGATCCATATTAAAATAATGTAATAAACAAAAAAAATTACTATATATTCTATAGTATTTTTTTTTTGTTTTAGCGGCGTTTCGCGCGCTTCTCAAACTCAAACTCGCCACCCGCTCGTCATTGTAGGACTTACTATAGGAAAATCCCCAAAATTTACACGCACTTTAAATGTTCGCAAAAGTATCGTCTAGTATACGCCAACTGACTTATTTTGAGCGCGTGTTTTTTCAGTAGTTATTTAAAAACATGGAAAGTTTAATAAACATAAAATTTTGTCACAATCCAGTTATCATGGAAATATATAAAAATAAGGGTTGTTTATTAACGACCGATAAAAAAATGTGTATATTAAGTAATTAAGATTTTTGTATTTTAGAAGGTTATTGCAGGTGTAATCAATCCACATACAATTTAAAAGTATTGTTTTGTTTATATTTAATTTGATTATTTTTATGTTGATTTTTCTGACGTAAAATAATTTATATACGTTTGAATACTGATTCTGATAACGCACTTAATGGGAACCACAGAGTTATTGTTACATATTGTATTTTGTCGGCACTAATGAAAAGCCATAACATTAGAAGACAGGCTAACTTCTATATTAGTTATCAATCTAAATTTAATTAGTGCAATAATAACCTCGGCATCAGATGTTACTAAAAATTGTTCACGTGGTAGAGCCATGCTGCAGCTATATTTGTAGTATAGCTGTAGCACGAATGGGTCGGCTCAACCGGGGAATGACCACGCTCTCACCGAATACCATCGTAAAATAGCAGTTTAACGCTGCTGTGTTTCGTATGGTGAGTGTAGAGAACCGGAGACCCTTTTTACTGGAAATGAGGCATTCCATCCTAGTCCTCACGGGTGACAACGCATCTGCATTTTGATTTGTAATCGAGGATAGATTTAGATGTGTATGGGCCGCAGCAACCACTTACCATCAGTTGGACTGTGTGCTCGTTTGTCATCCTTATCCCATAAAAAAAATAACCTAAACGTCATCGTAATCGGATGGTAACCTCAACAAACAACCCGACGAGTCGATCAGGACAGGACTATTCTAGAAGATCTAAATTGATATCACAATGTGTGGACCCCACAGAGGGTAACCCACTGATCAACAATTCACTCAAGGATCATAGATCCCCACCGCACCGGTTGAGTCGAGTCCTAAAACAAGACTGCTTACTTAGCGTGTTTCCGAGTGGTTCATATGCTTACATTATTAATTTGATTTTTTTATTCTAATAACATTCTTTGAGTTTTCCCATATTATCTACCTGAAATAGATATTAAAATAAATTACTATATTATTGAGTACAATAGTGTCTGATAATTACAAAAAACTCATACCTAGTAAGTCTACTTACTCGAAGAATACAAATAATTTTAGCAGTCGTGTCCGACCCTCGCGACCCATCCTTATGCTATGTCAAACAATAGATGAATCGACTCGACTCGTCCACTGGCAGAATTCTATCAAGAGAAGCCATAATTTCAAAGACGAAGAAGAAGACTCGACTCGTCAAATCGGGCTACGAACATACGTGCAATTACCTCGAAAATTGAGGCGGCACTTAATTTTTTTTTCACGCGTGTTCTCTAATATAAAGCGAATTACGGAAACCTAACCGTTTCATACTAAAATGTATGGAAAGCGGGGAGAGATTTCTGCTAAAAAATGAATGATATGGCACACTGAAATGATCGGGAATAAGAAAAACCACATGCACGGGTTTTTCGAAGTACTCTCCGTTCAACTAAATGCACTTTTCCATTCGTGGAAATCAATCATTAAAACAGTAATTCCAGTCTGAAGTTGATGTGAAAAAATGGCTGATTTGTACGCTTCCACAGCTGCTTCCGGGTCTTTAAACCGTTGACCGCGTAATAAACCTTTCATTCGTAAAGAGATCGTTTGGGCTCAGGTCAGGACTGTACGGAGGATGGCTCATCAGCGCAACGTTTTCCTTCTTCAAAAAAGCATTTGTCTTCCGAGCCGTATGGGAGCTCGCATTATCGTGATGTAAGATGATGCGACGTTTCGGGTTATTTTTTCGGAGTTCGGCTATCATTTCTGGCAAACAAACCGTGATATACCATTTAGCGGTAACCGTTCTGCGTTCCTGTAAAGAAATTGTAGCAACATGCCCCTTTTTCGAGACAAAAGTAGCGACTTTTCATTTTCTTTTTCTTTGACACGCTGCGGGAGCGAATCACTTTCGTTGGTTTGACCTCGTCTTCGAAGACCCAAACTGCTGACTGATGTTTTCTTTCAGGTTCGTATGAATAAATCCATGATTCATCATCTGAGGCGATATTATAAACGGCGTTTGATTTCCCTCCGTTGAAGCGTTGCAGAGTATTCTGGCACCAATCTACACGAGCCGCCTTTTGCTTCTTACATACAGCTTATTATGTAATATCGACTGAATCGCAGTCATTCCGATACTGATAACAGCCCGAATCTGCTCGTATGTCACATGACGGTCATCTAATATAATAGTTCACACAGCTGCGATGTTTTCAGACGTGACCGCTGTTCTTGGTTGACCTACAGAAGAAACAGTGCTGAGCGACACACGACCGTGTCGGAACTCGGCAAAGCAGGGGTATATTGTAGTTTGACTTGGTGCTTCAACATCATAAATCGAAACGAGTTTGCTGAGACATTTATCTTGAGATAAACCGCGATGAAAATTGTGATAAATTATGGCTCGGAAATGTTAACGCGTGAGCTTCATTTCTGTTAACGACGTGTCAACTTTAAACCAACATAGTGTTTCTTTTTAAAAAAATATGTTTGAATGTCATTAAGATTCTAAGAGGCCAGTATTCAAATTCTAAAAAAGGTTTTATTGTAACTCAATCCGAAATATTCTGTTCCCGATCCTTTCATGCCCCTCGTATTTAGGCTAGATTATTGCTTTTTGGTTTGAATTAATAAAAATAATGAATGGTGAATGTGTTATCTATACTTTTATCTCACGTTTCAACCGAAACTATTTTCTAAAATAATAACGAAATAGCCCAGAGATTTAAAATAGAAAAGGCCGTTTTAAGTGTTTTTACCATTGTTGACCATTTTTTTTAAACAAGATTTTTTTTTTTTTATAAATATCACGCGGTGAAAGTGAAGACTCATCTATTAACTAATTGAGATTTTCAGATAGTCAGTTCTCTAATATTTTTAAAACCGTAATGCCTATTTTCGCGTTTCTTAAGGACCGGCCTCTTAAGCAACAGCCGTTATTACGAGACGTATTCATAATATTTATCAACTCTCACCGAACAGACTTTAAAGATAAATAAATGAGATTGATACCTTAATAAGAGGCACTGGTGAAGTATTAGGTGACGCTCGTTCCTCCAGCACGATATTGTCAGGCGAGTCGGGCACGGCAAATCGATACAAATGGACCGGTGGCAGTTTTAAAGGATGCCGTCGTTCCAGGTCTAGTAATATGCTGCAAAGTAAATATTTTTTTAGGCAAATGTTTAAATTACTTTACAAGACTTGTATATAGTAAAAACAACTACCAACTAAGGTCAGTACTCAGAGACTATCTCATAGGGAAATATTAGCCACATGTGGACAGTTGATACACTTCGCAGGTGGGTGAGCAACTGCAGGTTATTTTGTTGGAACGAAGTTCCTTATCGGACGGTACGGGTTTGGCGGATGGGAGCTAAGCGACAAAAAGTGTAAGATTTTTTCGTCACTACCCCTTGTGTCATAGTGTAGACGGTCTTGGCGGCGAAATAAGGAAGTGAGATCGAATAATATCCATCTCTCTCGCACTTTTTCTTATCTTACCATGAAAGAAATATTATTATTTTATTTCAAATGACGCTTCATTTTAATAGACGCTAGTAATTCATTTATTTTGTTAGTCAATAATATAATACCTACGTTTATCAATAATAATATACTACGCAAGGAACTTCGTTCCAACCGAGTGTTCCACGACACTCACGCATTTTTTTATTATTTTGAGTGGTTATCAGGAAGATGCTGCTGCTCATTTCCTGTTTTATTTCCACTGCTGCTTCCTACGACACCCAAGGGATAATAATATGACTAAAATTTGCAATTAAATATTTCATTGCTGCGGAGTTGCTCGTGTACTTTGAAATTAACAGCGAGCGCTTAGCGCATGAGCTCCACGTGATTAATTATTTGTAGTTTTAGCTTATGAGTCCGAAACAAGTTGAGAATTCCTTACCTGTCTAAACTGCGATCCAGCATGGGCTTAGTATTAAGCATGACAAGGTCGCACATCCAGTTGCGCTTTTCAGCGCAAGAGGCGGCCGCCAGAAGCACGGGCGGTCCCACGCGTGGGCACAGCTCCACCATATGTCGGCCCTCTGCACAGTTCTTCAGTTATGTAACTTTCATCACGAAGAATTAAGAATTATAACTATTTTTGACAAATAAATAATCAAGCACATGCTCAAAAAATCACAAGTGAACAAAGTTATAAATAACACACAATAACTTAATTAAAATTCTGTACTTCTAACATTGTATATAGCATGTTTTTTTTTTTCAATGTTTAAAGCATGGTATTAGTATGTCAAGAGTGAAGAAAAAACTACACTTATCCTTAAAACAACATTATCTGATCTCAATCATGATAATTATTAAATGATAAATTGCTTAGGCCTAATGAAACAATGCTAGAATAACTAAATTTGTTAAATAAAAAAGTAAGTAAGCTTTTACCATCTGTATCAGGTCTGTCAACCAATTCTAATTTCCGCACGTGTAATTTTTCTTTAAGTTTCAACTGCTGGCCGCCACTTCCACCGGCCGTTAAACCGCTGCTGTTGACAGCCACCTTAAAAAAGTTAAATAGATATAATTTAAAAAAAATCTGACTCAAAATATAATTTACCTTATCTTGAGAATGATGATATACTTACCAAACTGGTTATAGGTTTACAAAGTAACAGTAAACCATCGAAAAGATACGCCCGACGCTCTGCTATCCGTTTCCCTGGTCCTATCTTCGAAAGTGTATCCTCTGAAGAAATGAAAAGTCATTTAAAATATGCCTTTTCTGTCCATGTCTATTTTTAAAGAAACACTCAAAACTCCCTGACCTCTTATGAACTCATTGCACCATTGTCCCACGTCGCGGTTGTCCCAGTTGTCGACCAGCCGAGCTAACTCATTGCACTTTTCTATCGCGAGTTGCCGTCTCGCTCTCGCAGCCGTACGTAATGTCGCTTCCCTAAAATAAGATTATAATATTGTTAACGACCATAAAAAGAAAATGCAATACAAAAATGGTAAGCTTACCTGCCTACTTTCTTAACTAAACTCTGAAGCGACCAACCAAAGCTTTTTTGTAAAACAAAATTATTTATAATTATAATGTTCTCCGGACCGACTTTAGGAGACTAGCCATATAAGATTATAGTGTCCGAGTGTATGTGCAAGCACAGGTGCACTCTCTATTGCCTCAGTCTCATGGTACGATGGGACGGTAATCTAACACGACCAGAGAGAGATGAGGAGCTGGACAGAGGTGTAACACCACACCGATGGTACAGCTAAGCAAATGGATGCTATATTGCGGTGCCATGGCTTCGAAATGGCGCGCTAATTTGTTCCGTGTTTGGATATTTATTCCTGTGCAATTTATCACTAGTAGTTATAGTTTTTATTTTCTATTGCATTTGTTGTTGGCATATCTTTAATACAATGGGACATTTAGATAATTATTCGTTACAGGACTACACTACCACCATACTTTTTTTTTTAATCCTTTATTTCATTCAACTTAGAGAACGTTTACAATCGCAGACTTAATGCAATACATTGACACAAACTAGGCTGTGGCATTTTAAATGTTGATACAAAATTAATAGAGAGTGTACTTACATCTTTGGTCCATTCCCAAGGGCTTTTATTAACAATTTCTTTATTGGGTGAAGATTGCATTCAACCTGAAAGTGGATTTTTATAGATAGAAAAGCAAAAAGAACTTCTAGAATCATGGCATACAATATAAATAACTGTATCTACCGAAACTTGAACAGTTGGAAACCATAGAATACTGCAATACATACACAATAGAACGGAGGAGTGGGCAGTGCCCGTGTAGCCACTAACATGTCAATTCACACCTATAAATATCAACACATCTCTTTTGACGTCACTGTCCTTAAAGTTGGCAAAAAATTACTTCCAATACATTTTACGTTTTTGCCAACTTTAATATAATGGACTTCCGCAAAGTAACGCCTGATTCTATTAATTGTCACTGTCATTGCCCAATTTTTGTGTCAAGCATTGCTGGGCTGAATTTATTTCAAAAATGCCAATTTGTGCAATAATTAGGGGTGGAAAAAACAGACGGGTGTGAAATTTGATTAAAGTGTAAGTCAATAAGACAAAACTATTTATATTTTGTGAATTTCAGAAACAAAAATAAAGAAATACTGTTGTGTAAAAACAACAGTACTACTAACAAAATTTCACTGATACCGGTAAACCGAGAAATATTGTCGCTTGTAAAATTGTACTTTGTATAATGACAAGCTAAATACATGCGGTCGAAAGCGGTAAAAATGGTAATTCAGTGACCTACGAATGCATTGTTATAACATTTTTTATTAAATTGTAATTTTGTTCCCTCTATAGGTATCATTGAAAATTTTTAATAGTTTTTAGATTAAATCTTCTGATTACGTAATACACCCAATCACCCAAAGAAGGTTGGGTAGACCCATTTTGTTTTAAAAGTAAAAGAAATATGTATTTTCTTCCGATTTTGCTCTTGCCTGGCGTTGGCTTACCAATACTGTACTATTACTATTAGTACTTTTATAAATGAGTTAAGATATATTTTATTTACATAACCCATTTTTGCAGTTTTCCTGGGAATTCGAACATAAAAAACATAGAGAGAAGCCACGGAAGGCTTAGCTAATAATTTTTTCATACTTCTTATCCATACATCACAAAATATATTTGAAACATCTGAGAATGTGATGGCTCGAAAAAACGAGGCTACAGATGACAGCACTGAAGACGAAGAATGTTAAGCTCGAAACTTGGCAAAATCGGTTGAGTGGCTTAGCATATCCTTTCACAGCTTTTTTCCCCAAGTTCGCGGTTTAACGGCTGTGTTAGTTTACCTTTTTAACTTAAGCAAATATCAAATTATCTCAACTTTATCAAAATCAGTTCAGCAATTTAGTCATGAAAGCTGGAAAGATTTTCGCATTAAAATAGAAAAGTATTTATTTTCTTTCTGCAGTTTGGCAGTAGATTATATTTTGTCTTATATTTTCTGAGGTAAAATTTAAAAATGATATCATTAAACAATAGATAGTGTATATACTCAAGTTATACCAGTGGTTACCGGTTACCAGTAAATCACATCAACAACAAGACTACATCCCTAGCTGTGATACCATTATATACTAGACCTAGTTTGCATAAACGCACGGGCTAATATGATGCTACGCATCTTAAACGTGCTCAAAACTTTTTATTTAGAATAAGAAAAAAATAATACTTACTGCGATTGTAATTGTAATTAGTTTGCACATTATTTACAAATAAATATATATTAAAATTTAAACGATTTCTTTTTTTAATGATGATCGTGAATAACGATCAAAAGTTTAAAATGTGCAAATTCACTCAGTCTGTCAATCACAGTTTATTCCATCTCTTTCTTTTCAGAAAGAGACGATGTGTAAAGATTCTTTGTGAATCCGTTATTATTACCTTGGAATAAAGTCTGACTTTATGTAACATTAAAATGCGTTTGTAACATTTATTTATTGAAATTTGTAAAACCAATGAGCGAATTCGCTTTCTAGTAGTGATAATACGACGTAACCGCTTCTATGTGTGCTCCCGGCGACACCAGTCCGCGTATAAAATAAGACTGCCAGCCATTCTATTGTGTATTATAGTATTCTATGTTGGAAACCTCACAATGTATTTTTAAGTTATTGCTTTCACAATGGCTCACCTGTTTAAAACTCTCCCGATCTTCCGAGGCCGGTGCGATTTGTAACAACGCTAACACGTAATTATGGTAGAGAAACACATGGGCTACAGGTGCGAGGAGCAGTTTTGGCAGATAGTACTTAACGGCTAGTCTGAAACCGTGACCCGCCGTGTCTAACCTCTCTGATAACTGAAAAGAAAATAATTTTGTTAAATATCACACATCAACCCGCTGCTAAAGTCCACTGCTGGTGTTATGCTTGGCAGTTTCGTTGGCGAACGCAAGACTATAGTCTGTTCGGCGAGAGTAGATAAAAAAGCAAGGTTCCTAATCCTAAACTCATTAGAAATTATGGCCCGCTACTTATATATATAAATGATAAATATTTAAAAAGCCGCTGATCGAGTCACCCGGCCGTCCTCGCGCTTGACAACAGCTGAGTGCTTCGTACCACAAAACTCTGCGCTTACGGCAATAAGTGACGCCCGTCACACAGATTGCGATACTTAAGTGACAGTCGCTATTACGAGACATTTTCATAATAATAATTAACTCTTTCCGAACAGACAGATTTTGCATCTTCATCTCTACTCCCAACTCTGGGATTCTTTATCAAGGATATTTATGAAATGGATATACCGCTATCTATCGGAGATCATGAAAGAGGTATGTATTTCTAGCATTCCCTTTGTTCTTTGTTCTCACGACATTCACCAGATGAGACAGGGTCTTTTAAGATATGATATAGTCTCTTACGTCCTCACTATGGTCAAATTCATCCTATGAAATTCTAAGTAAATAGACAATCAATACAGATCAGTGATTAGAGAACATGTCCCCCGGCATTAAATTACTGAAACCTACCGAAATCGACGCCCTATAGAAATCTCACGGCAACTAGTTCTATTTTTACAAAATTGTATTTTCGGTAAAATACCCACCACTGGATCATCCACTATATTTTGTAACGCTTCTCGCGATTCTTTACGCGTTACAATATTTGCATAGCGGACATACGCACGAAACTCTTCTACTTCAGCCAGCTCTGTGAAAATAATAAAAATTATATTATAATTACTATATTTTTACAAAGCACTGATATATTGAACAAAGCTATTACTGGTAAATAAACAACAAACCTTCGAAACAGCTGCCGATGTATGGAGTTGGCGAATCTTGTGACATTTCCATTGCATCCTCTAGGTTACCAAGCAGGGTCACAGTCAGTTCGTAAATATCAACTATGTTCCCGAATATTAATGATATTGCCTGCAAAAAAAATTATGTGGTAAATTTTCAAATAAATGGAAGACATCAATTGCATGGGAGATATTATGCCACAAGTGTGAAACATAAAGGCACTTATACCTCTTGCAACAGCCTTTATACATACTACTACTGGGCACAGGCCCTTCATTTCTGAGTGTTTTGTGGAGCAATTTTTTTCGGCTCGCTGCTACAGTGCGTGTTAGCGGACTTCACATGTCCTCGAAATGTTTTATTTCTTAGATATGCACGTTTCCTGTGTGTGTGTGTGTGTGCGTGTGTGTGTGTGTGTGTGTGTGTGTGTGTGTGTGTGTGTGTGTGTGTGTGTGTGTGTGTGCGCGCGCGCGCGTGCGTGTAGCGGAGTGCACTGACCCGGCTGTCACGCTCGAGGATCTTCTCGAGCTCGTCCTTGAAGACGCGTATGATGAGGTGCAGGTCACGCAGGAAGTGGCGCTCGTCGGCCAGCAGGTCGCGCACCAGCTCGGCGTACGTGAGCGAGCCGCGCCGCCCGCGCCGCTCGCCCGCCGCGCCCGCCGCCAGCAGCTCCGGCTCTTGGTAGAACATGTCCATCAGCACCTGCACACCACACCCTCCCATTCACTATATTATACATCTTACGTAACAGAGAGCGTTTAAAGACAAGGAAGAGTCCACAGCGAAGATGCAACCAACGTATGTAAAAAAAAATATAATTTATCAGACATGCAAGTTCCTCACGACATTTGCCTTCCTATTCCAATAAATATATTCCTATTTCCAAGCACGATAACTAATCACTTACTTTATTCAGTACAGATTTTTCATGCCATTCTGAATGGCAATTGGTTTATAGCTACATGCTACATTGCTACAAGCATTATTACGCCTGCTGTCTTTGTGTACCATGTGTATGTTATTAAGAACACTGCCTTATAAAAATAGCAAGAATGTTTGAGAAAACACATTCCTTTAGTGGAAAAATGTTGGATTTGTAGAAATATAAATATTTCTATGTATGTACAATGTATGGACGATATATAAATCTATAGGTGAAGTTTAATGCCACTTTCAAGACCAAAATATATTTTCTTTCTTGCACAATATTATCACATATATTCACTAAGAGTATACTCTAAGGTCAAACCTTTATTTCTATGTTAGACTATATCATTGAGTTATATGTACTACGTACTAGAGAAGCCATTCCAAACAAAAATTGTATCCTACTCTATGTCTTCGCGCATGCGCGGGAGTAGTAGTCGCGCATGGGCGAAGACTTTAATTTGATATAAAATAAGATATTTATATAAAATAAATATAAGAATTTAATATAAAATATATTAATTTAATCTAAACAAACATATTTCTAAATAAAATGTAATAATAATTATTTTATGGAATTCACAAATCTTCAATTTGCGCAATATTTAGTTTGTGTGGATTGCACTACAGTTCAGTTGGACATAGTCTATGTTCGGTATGGCTTCTCTAGTACGTAGTACATATAACTCAATGGACTATATACTCATATTTTTACTACTACTTTTATATACTTTTTAAGAAATGATACAGAACATTAATGGTAGTTATATACTCCACTTTTTTTACTATTTTACTTTATTGTCTAAAATAAATTATTTTTATTATATTTATATAATAAAATATAAATATCAAATAGATAACCATAACTTTGACTCACTTTATCTGCACACATTGCCGTCTTTATATCACTGCATGTTATTGTCTGGTAGCCAGATTTCTGTGAGATTTTCTTCACAAATGTACCAGCTAGTTTTAATATATCACCGCTCACATATTCGAGAACCGCTGTCATGAATGCCGACACTGATGTGTCGATCTTGTAAAGAAGCACCTCCTATAACAAAAAAAATAGCAATGACTAAACCTGTACATTAAACAAGCCTCTATACTGAAGTATCTTAGTATATTATTTAAATCCATAATACTGGACCCCACTAATTTTATACCTATTTCTGTACTACCAACTCTCAGTAAAATTTTTGAAAAAATAATTTTAGATCAATTGTTAAATTTTTTTAATAAAAATAAATTACTCCATAAAACTCAATTTGGTTTCACAAGGGGTCGCTCGACAACTGACGCAGGTGTTGAGCTTATGAAATATATTTTTAATGTAATGCCTGAGAGAGTTCACAAGGTGCCTTAGGTATTTTTTGTGATCTTTTCAAGGCTTTCGATTGTGTTATCATGTGATATTAATCAGAAAACTACAACATTACGGTGTCAAAAATAGTGCGTTTAGTATTCATATTTAAATAACAGAAATCAAAAAGTCGTTATCAATGGTAAAGTTTCCTCCAGATCAGTAGTATCAATGGGCGTTCCTCAGGGCTCGATTCTTGGCCCATTCCTGTTCTTAGTCTATATTAATGACTTGCCTTATCTTGTAGGGGACAATCACGATATAGTATTATTTGCTGATGATACCTCTTTAATATTCAAAGTCAAACGACAGTCAATTAATTTTGACAATGTAAATAATGCTCCATCGAAATTAATACATTTGCTCTTAAACGGCAATAAGACAAAATGTATAAAATTTACAATACCAAATGTAAAACATTTAAATACCAATGTGCTCTTAAATGGGGAAGAGTTAAGTCTTGTGGATACCACTGTTTTTCTTGGTATTACTATTGATGCGAAGCTTCAATGGGGCCCCCTTATATCTAAATTGGCAGGCGGGCTTAGTTCTGCAGCAGCTGCTTAGTGCAGCATATGCTGTAAGAAAGATTAGAAGTCTCACCAATGTTGAGACAGCTAGATTAGTTTATTTTAGTTACTTTCATAGCGTGATGTTTTATGGAATTTTGCTATGGGGTAATGCGACTGACATTGAAGCCGTATTTGTTTTGCCAAAGGGAGCCGTACAGGCGATTTATATCTTACATTGTAATGAGTACCTTGTAGAAATATTTAAAGAAATAAACATATGAACTTAATTTATGAAAATGTAATGTATGTACATAAAAACATGAATAGCCTTGATAAGAATAAAGATGTTCATACTTTAAACACTAGGAATAAACATAAGCTTGTAATACCAGTTACTAGACTCCAATGAATTAGTAATTCATTAATGTGGCAATGTACGTTTTTACAACAAAATTCCAGAAAATGCACAAACAAGTTTAAATGTTTTATTAAAGAAAAATTGTACAAAAAATGTAATTATAATATCAAAGAATACATAAATGAAAAAACGAAACCCTGGGAATGAGGTGATCACCATCACGCTGATTCCATTAAAACTCATTTCAAATTTGTACAAACAAAAAAGTCCCACTGGGTTTCTCGCTGGTTCTTCACAGGACAGAGGCATTTTCCAAACCAGTGGTAAATAAAAAAACCTGCAAAGTGTGAGTCAGACTCGCGCACCGAGGGTTCCGAACAAATCTGTAGGTATATAAGTTTAAAATTATTTAAAATATTTTTATTATATGATGTAACTTAAAATTTATGCTATTCGCAATTTTTACTTTATCTGTGCTATAAAACGTTACATCGTACCAAATTTCAAGATTCTGAGTTCACGGGAAGTACCCTGTAGGTTTTGATTCCCTTGCGAATGTCGAAAATTTACGGCATAAACAGCTGTATCTTTTGATTGCGTTGGCTTAGAAGTTTCGATTTTTTCACAGCTCTAAGGGACAGTAGACTTGAGTATTTGATATGAATTTCAGCTTGATACCTCCACGCGTTCCTGAGAAAAAGGCTCTTGACAGACAGACAGACAGACAGATGGACAACAAAGTGATCCTATAAGGGTTCCGTTTTTTCCTTTTGAGGAACGGAACCCTAAAAATGACTTTCAGTAAGTATTATTTAATAATCTATATTGAATAAAAATTATTCTATTCTATTCTATTCTATTCTACAGATAACTCCCTCCTCAGGTGTTCCTCAAACTCACTTTCAGAAATGGAAGGGTAAGAATTAATTCCATTTAGTAACAAAACAAAATTCTGTCACTTTTTGACAACAAATTAAAATAACCAGCCAAGTGCGAGTCGGACTCGCCCATCAAGAGTTCCGTAATATCGTAATACGCCTTCGCCTTCTAGTATGGGAGCCCTCTTTAATTTTTGATTTATTTTAATTTTTATTATTTATTGTTATAGCGGCAACAGAAATACACATTCTGTGAAAAGTTCAACTGTCTGCCTATTACGGATCATGAGATACAGCCCGCTGACAGACAGATGGACGTACGGACAACGGAGGCTTAGTAATAGGGTACCGTTGGTTACCCTTTGGGTACGGAACCCTAAAAATCACTGAACTGTGAATGGTACTGAGTTTTTATTCAGCAATAACAAAATTTAAAGAAATCTCTCATACTTTTTGTAGCAGATGATGAAGCTTATCAAGTGGTAAATGCAGCCGACGGCGACGGCTTGTTGCAGCTTCACGTGCATCCACCAGTGCCCATTTGTCCAAGGGCGTTGGGAAAGTTCTAGCCACTCGTTCTTCAACATCCTTGGAAAAAAACAAATCATTCCGAAATTTTTAATATAGTACACTTTTTAACATAATTAAATACCAACTTATTGCAGAACCAAATATATAAAAACTAAAACATGAATGACAACCAACAACATAGCAACCATCATTATTATCATCATCATCATTATTATCATCATTCACAGTGAACTTATTGCTGAATGTAGGTTGTAATGAAGTGACTAAGAATGCTGTGCTGTGGCAAATTTCATGATACATTTTCTACAATGCAATATGCTTGAAAGAGTGGTAAGCAATAATCATATCAAGCATGACAGTTATATCAAATCCTTCCAATGTTCTCAGACACAAGGAGTGGACAGAAAATTAAAAAAGTTAAAAGAATATCCAGGTAGCTATTGGTCCATACAAACATACTCCTCTGATATTCTTTCTGGATAATGGCACTAGAGCAAATAATTTTTACAATACAATCTATAAATAGCACCAGCATGTGCTATGTATATGTGCTATTTTTATGAGTGGTAGAGCCATTCTGCAGCTATATTAGTAGTATAGTTATAGCATGAATGGGTCGGCTCGGCCAGGGAAGGACCACGCTCTCACAGAATACCAACGTAAAATAGCAGCTTAACACTGCTGTGTTTCGTATAATGAGTATAGAGAACCGGAGACCCTTTTTACTGGAAAAGAGGCATTCCATCTTAGTCCTCACGGGTGAACGCATCTGCATTTTGATTCGCAAACGAGGATAAATGTAGATGTCTATGAGCCACAGCAACCACTTACCATCAGATGGACTGTGTGCTCGTTTGTCACCCTATACTATAAAAAAAATGTTCCTATGTTTTAAATATAATATTTTAAAAACTTTACAAAAAGCTTTCTAAAATGACTAAAACTGTCCTGTTATACTGCTGTCAGTAGAAATCTAGTAAACAAATTTAATAAACATAAAAAAAGAAAATCACATAGCCATAGCCACAATCCTTATATTATTCTATATATTGCTCTTAAAAAAAATTAAATTAGGCCAGTTTCAGCGGAAGAAACAGGGGAATATGGGATAAGTCGTAAGTAGGGTGTAACTCATCCCTTACAACACTTGATAAATTGGAGAGATTGATTCCCTTATACCATTACCATACAGCAAAAATTAATATATGAAAACAAGTTTAATGTATGTATAAAAGCCATTGCAACATGACTTGTGAATGAGTCATACAAAGGGCACACTTCAAGACCACTTTCGACTTCTTTTTCTTTAATTTCAAAAACAACACCAATGATAACAATAGTTATTGTTTTTTTTTAAATATGCTGAACATCAGTGAGTTTAAACATAATACCTGGACGGTGAGTGGTGAAGGGACTGCACAGAGCATTGCCAGTAACCGTAGACATAGTGACTCGACATATTCAAGTGCACTCTCCTCAGCTGTTAATGTGGGATGCACTTGCTCCAAGACCTAAAAATAAGCAAAAACAACCATAAAATTTATCACAGATTCAAATACATTATCTCACATGGTAGAACTATGCTGCAGCTATATTATTGCTGCAACACAAATGAGTTGACTCAACCAGGGCAAAATCACACTCTCACAGGACACCAGTAAAACAACAGTATAATACTGCTGGCAGTTAACAACAAAATAGCAGCTTAACGCTGCTGTGTTTCGTAAGGTGAGTGTAGAGAACCGGAGACCCTTTTTACTGGCAAAGAGGCATTCCATCTTAGTCCTCACAGGTGACAACACATCTGCATTTTGATTCGCAAACGAGGATAAATGTAGAGGTCTATGGGCCACAGCAACCACTTACCATCAGGTGGCCTGTGTGCTCGTTTGTCACCCTATCCTATAAAAAAAATGTAACAAGTGTAAAGAACTGTGGAACCTTTTTACTAGTAATGAGGCAGTCCATCTTAGTCCTTACAAGGTGACAATGCAAGTGACTGCTTACCAAAAGATACTGTGTTTGTTTGGCACCATTACTTTAATTTTAAATATGTAAATAATAGTTTAAAAAACTAAAAAAACATGCTTTTGTAGAAAACCAAACTAAAAAGTAGAAAACGATTTATAATAAGTTTAAAATAAGAAAATAGTGATTAACATACCAAATTCATTTTATTGTAAAAAAGCATGCAGTGCTTTTTCAGATATTTTATGATGACGCTAATTTTACAAATATCCACAAAAATATTTAGAACAAATGACATCAAGCACCCCACATATTATATTTAAAATATTTTTTTTTTATTTTAATCACCATTCTTATTTTATTAAACTTTTGAAAATTATTTTCTACTTTTTAGTTTGGTTATCTACTAAAGCGTGTTTTTTAGTTTTTTTTTTAAACTATTATTTATTTTCTATTTTCTAGTGCCGCTAACTACAAAAGTGTGTTTTTTTAATAAAGTTCTTTTACGAGGCTTACAGTAGATTGAACTGGCAGAAATTATAGTTGTTTTATGAATTATTCACAAATCCTGAGGATCCCGCCAAGGATAATGGGACACACTATTTAAATTATTGCATTGTCATTGGTCCTTGATAAATGTGCGAAGTTTCAAATCAATCCGATGTTTTGAAGGGGATGAAAATTATTTTTATTTGTATAATGCACATGTATTAAATTAGTTCAAGTTAATGTTTTATATTACTAAAAGTAATGTAAAAAAAAGATTTTGCCATATAGTGGCAATATAAGCGAATCCACTACTTCATATTATGCTGTGGGTATTATGAGGCACCAAGGGGAATTAAAACATAATGTGAGTAGCAGCATCTTCCTCATTCTAACTCTAAAATAGAAAAACTGCACTGGTCAAAACCGCCTGTTGAACGTGCCAACAACATTTAAAAATAAACTGTTGATAAGCTGCAATGAATGAATGAACTGTTTCAACCCTAAAAGCCTACTCTAACAGTTACCCTACAATCTTGAACTTCCTACATACCTCATCACGTTGTATCATTAAATACAGTGTGGGTTGTTCTTCACCATACTTATTGGAATATAGGATGGTCACAAAAGAACCTATTTTTGAAAAATTGTTATCTGTATACCACAAATCTAATGCCATTAGAGCTAAGCATTGTATTGGTTACTCTAAATCTGTTGTGTATATTTATTGTTCGTTTTCTTTCTTTAATTTTGTACACTAAATACAAAATGATAACAGAAGTACATTATCACTTAAATATCTTAACAGTTATTGAATTTCCTCTTAATAATATTCTATAATACAGAAAAATTTCAATAAAATCCTATTGTAATGGACTATTAACCACACAGATAGACAGAAACTAAGCTATATAACAAAGTCAAACAGTAAAAAAACAACTCTCAGTTTCAGTGGTGGTCAAGCACCATGTTCTGGATGTATACTTTTATTTTCAGATTATGGAAAATACTGAACAATAAAGTGTAATGTAATTTCTCAAATGCGGCTCAGTCAAGGTAAATGAATAAAAATATTATATACACACAGAGTGTAATAAATTTATAATACAAACAACGTTTTTTCACTTAATTAATTGCAAGATTTTATTTAGAATTTCAAAAAAACATCAACGATAATGACGTGATTTATGATTAATATGTCACAGACATACAAAGTAATGTGGTAAAGGACATAAATCCTTTTAGTAAAATTCTTTATTTATATTTAATTTAAAAAACGTAATTTATGTTTGCTATTACGTACAAAGTATATTGGTCATAAATGCCTTTTGAGTGTTTTGAATGAGGTAACTTTTGTCCTGACATATTGTACACAAACCTTGCGCAGCGAGTTGACGAATAGTCCCCGCCATTTTTCTGCATTCTCCGGGTCCTGGAAGTCGTAGCCTCGACTCTCCTCCACTGTCGGCAGCATTTTGACCCCCAGCCCTGTCTCCGAATCATGTAAACATTTGATATCACACCAACTTTAAATAAATCACCATTGCGCCTTTAGCGGAAACTTAACAGCTTCCCAATTCAATAGAACACTTTTAAAAATAACTCTTATATTTGGAAGAATTATAAGTGAAACAAGCGAATAATATATTTTTTATAACATAATACAGAATAAATTATTCTCAAGCTCATTTGATCGGCAAAACGACGCCATTTTCAATTTATTTACTATGTCATTGTTCTCTATCTCTACAACCAACTCCTTTACGAAATGGGTTCAGTAATTTGATTGGTGACTTTACAACATGACGTAATATCATAACGTTTAATTGGTGAACTTAATTCGATGACATTGCGTCACAGCATGAAGTGTAAGCATGAAAAAATCTCTGTTCTCGTTCGAAAATACTTTTTAAACAACAGCTACAACATATAATATATGCATATTTCTTATTCCAATATTTCGATAAATTGACATTGAATAGCGTAGAATAGGTACACTTTGCGCAAGTGATTTTAGTGGAAACGTAGACGTAGAAACAAGATGAAAATCTATACGATTACCAATCATTTGTTGGCAAAAATGTACGACATATTAATGTACGATTTTTTATTTTATAAGGCATATGAAGTTTTTGTCGAGATCTTGATCGCTAGTGAATTGATGCTAGTGTTTTATCACTTAAATCATAGACTGCGAATACACTAGCGTAACTAAGTATTAATGGAAACGATGAAACAATTGCTCCGTTTATAGACTTAACCCTATGGATGATTGGCGGTCCACCACTGTACGATTTAGAAGATGTTTTCTTCCTCGCACGACTTCCTTGTGGAATCGATTACCATCAGCGATTTTTCCGGACCGATACGACTTAGGGACCTTCAAGAAAAGAGCGTACTTCTTTTTAAAAGGCCGGCAACGCATCTGCAATTCCCTCCCTGGTGTTGCAGTTGTTCATGGACGGCGGTAGTCACTTACCATCAGTAATAAACTGGTGTAGCTCCGATGGTGATGTGAACCTCGAAAAAATGTGGTATCTGCTTCGGCGCTTTGGGGTACTATCGTCATTGGCTGTTTGCTGACTCAATCTTGAAAAAACTTCAAAATGTGACGCATTAACATAGTATTGTGAAAAAGTAATTATTCTTAGTATATTTGATACTGGCAAAAGTACAATAGTACGTGCCTATGACTAAAGAAAAAAACTACCGTATGTCAAGTTGACATTAGCGTTGTCAATTCAAATTGACAATCATTTTTTTTTTGGAGTTTATGGCCTGGCATCTAGACCTTTAGGCCAAGACAATCAACTTTCACGTCATAAGTGCTACAATATCTACGGATTTTTCCATAATTGTACGGAGCTTTTTAGTTCTATGCGAAGTGCTTATGATTACGAAATTTTGTACGGATTTATGTTACCGGCAGACCCCACTTCATACAAACTCTTATTTATCATATTACGAAGAAGAAGAAGAATGTATGGTAAAACATGCAGGTGTGATATGTGAAGGGAGCTTCATGTGGACGTAATGTGCTACCTTAGACTTTTTTATTATGTACATATTTTATCGGGGTTACAGTTCAACTGATGGGAGAAAAATACTTATAAAAATTAAAAATAAATATACTTATGAATTATCTGCCGCATTTTCTTACAAGGTCTCGTTGCAGTAGGAACATGTTGAAGCTCATACAAATTATATACAATTTTGCATACAAAAAGTGTTTTGTAAAAGCCAATTTTAAATAAAAATATTTAGATTTGAATATGACTTGGAGAAAGTCCATGTATGCAGGGGCATACATCGATTAAAGTAGCACAGGAACCGTGTTTTATGATATTCCTATGCTCATTGTTAGAATTATTGAAGATTGAATACACGTGAAACAACATTGCTAAGCTTTTATGTTATCCAAGTCCAACAGAGAACTTATGACTGTTTGCAGATAAAAATGACTAGTATTCCTTAAAATCTTGGAATTATATATCTTTGAGAAGAATTTCTGTTACAATTATCTCAAAATGAAAATATTGTTTATAAATGTAAATGTAAAAAGTATCTGATAAATAAAATTTATATACCCTACCACTTTTTACACCAAGTCTTTACTACAGGAATGTTAATTCATTTAATTATTTTAACAAAGAGGAGTCAAACTAGCCTACGACTTACCTGATGGCAACTGGTCACCTTCACTTATGGATATCTCAATGTAATAAATAATATGAAAATAATAAATTTAAATCTTAATCTTGAATAAAAATTTGCAATTACTTCATTGACATTCTATAAAACTACGTGCTTAGGTATAGAATGTTTGTAATAACTATTTAATAATTAGTATTCTTAACCGTAAAACAAGTAAATTTGCTTACATGTTATAAATTTTAAAAATACCTATAAATTTTTTATTATACAGCTAATATAAAAAAGATACAAATAATTATTACTTATCTTTGTTTAATTTTTATTTATGTAAAAATGATGCGCAAGATGGAAGTTTATCAACTAAATTGATGATATAATAAAGATAGGACCAATAAAATGTTATCATGTTGTATGAGTTTGAGTTGTATGAGTAGGTATATGGATCTAAAAAAAGCGAGAGAGGTGTGTCGGTATTGTGCCAAATGGAAGTCCGTATCCGTAGTCTCTATCTACCCACAGAGTACTTTTTTATATACTATTTACCTCTCTGTAAAACAGGTGTGAGAGCGTAAGTACGTACGTATGTAAAATTAAATTTATACGAACTTTACAACTTTAACTCGTAATTCTAAAAATACAGATTTCAATTTCATTTTATGCTCTCTGCATATGGCAACACCTTGCGTCAACAAAATTTCAGTTTCACTAAATCTGAAATCTTTTACATATTTAGTGTACATGATAAACATTTCCTTGTTTTTAAACATGCTCGACCGTAACTTGCATTTTGTTTAATGCATAAAGCGTTCGTAGAGTTGATATCGATAATTCTGTTGCCGGATCTCAGGAATTGCTAATAAGTACTTATTTGTAATGAAAAAGAAGTAATATAAATGATAGGCAATGATTCAGTTCATCTTCTTTTGTTTTTTGCTAAGAGTCGGAGTCTATTCTAAGGAGGTGAATAATGCTGTTTTTAATGTGACCCATAGAAACTTCATTTATGATACGTAAGTTTGAATAATTTATTGTTTGCTTATTTGTAATGTTGTTGTCTGTTTTAACATTTAAGCTATACTTAAGTATTGATCATTAGTGATTATTTTACTAGCTAAAAATATGTGTACTTTATTATTATAATATTATACACAAATTGTAAGCTTAAAGAACTTGTTATAGGCATGTGTACACTTTTATTTATTTTCTGAATCATATAAGTCGTTTGTAAAAGTTGGTAAAGCATACTGACTTAGCTTTACAAAAGCCTATTCACACTTGCCTTGAAGGCACTAACATTATAATAAGATGGAAAGACAGATGATGGGAGATTATTCCACTCCTTTGCTGTACTCATTATGAACGACAAAGCAAACAGTTTGGTTCAAATGCATGGTATGTTGACAACAAAGGGGTGGATACCAGCCGAACGTCTGGTGGTTCGATAATGGAATGGAAAGAGAGGTATTAAGTTTTTTAATATATAAATTTATAATTTTGTAATAATTTTTTATAGTATATATATAATATAGATATGGTAAAATATTTAAAACATTATTGCTAGTATCGAATCTGGTGAATTTCCTTATTTAATTAGACATAGTAAATTCATACTTTTAATTAACTCTGGTAGGTAGTACATATAGACCACTTATTTAAGACTTATTTATGCACTGCCAACACTTATATTATATATACATATATATTTTAATTGCAAAATTTCAACAATTGAGGACAGTGTGGAGCTGAGCATATTGGCTTTATTTAGGATAATTCAGAATTGAATCTCCTAAACAGAGCCATTCATTTGGAATATTTTCTGACCTCTCCATGTCTGACTAGGTTCACCATAATACTTATCAGGAAGCTATAGCATTATGGTGTAAAAAATATAGCTCTTAAATTTATTACACCATATTTTAATAAAAGAACATAAACAGTTGTTGTCAATGAAAGAAAAAAAATTATTTGCGGTCGGTAGTATCTAGGGGTGTTCCTTAGGTTCCAATTCTTGAACCCTTTCCTGTTCTAATTTAGTATTCTCTCTGAACAATTGTCAAATGCTGTATAAGTAATTTAATAAATTGTTTTGTATAAAAACCCAAAACAATTTATTAAATTATTCTTATTCTTATGTGTGTGTGCATGTCACTGAACTCCTAATAAATGGCTGGACCAATTTTGATGATTTTTTAATGTGTTTTATAGCTCCATGGATGGTTAGATTAACAATTGGACCTGGCAACTAGTGTGAAATTTAGAAATTACTCATGTGTAACCTGGGCGGATTGCTAGTTTAGTTATAAAGTACAATGGGACTGACATGATACAAATTACGAAAGGTCCTTAATTAAAATATAAATAAAAAAAACTTTTTTAAAATTAATCTTATAAAGTCCTGCTGGGTTTTACTTACTGGTTCTTCCCAAGACAGAGGTTTTCTCAAGCCAGTGGTAAAAGCATATATGCTTTTCAATACAGATTTTTCTTGCGTTCTATAATGAAATAAAATTATTCTATTCTATTCATATAAAATATTGTTTTATTTAATGTTTCTTTTTGATTAAGGTAGTAATTTTTACAAGTCAGCATGGCATTCACTAATTTATAGTTCTTGAAGAAGCTTTTTGTTTTAGGTACAAATATGACCAAATAATTAAGGTGATAGTAAATGACACAACTTCTCAAATACTGGACTTTTATGAGGTAAGTTTTTTTTATAGGATAAGGGTGACAAACGAGCACACAGTCCACCTGATGGTAAGTGGTTGCTGTGGCCCATAGACATCTATCCTCGATTACGAATCAAAATGCAGATGCGTTGTCACCCGTGAGGACTAAGATGGAATGCGTCGTTTCCAGTAAAAAGGGTCTCCGGTTCTCTACACTCACTATACAAAACACAGCAGCGTTAAGCTGCTATTTTACGCTGGTATTCTGTGAGAGCGTGGTCCTTCCCCGGTCGAGCCAACCCATTCATGCTACAGTTATATACTAATATAGCTGCAGCATGGCTCTACTACGTAATAAAATAGTTAGAGGTAAGTAAATAGAGGTAAGTTGAAATCCTATAAATCCTATCACTTACCATGTATATAATGTGGTTGGAGTATTGGTTTTATACAGTTACAGACAGTTTGCCATAGTTGCCACACTTGGCAAGCAGATTGGCTACTGCAGTTTTTTTGTCATTATCAGGAAGACACTGCTGCCCATGTCCTGATGTGTTTCCTTTGCCGCCTCTTATGGACACCCATGGGATGATATGGGGTAGTGGATATTATTAAACTGCCACTACACAATACAATGATATATGGTACAGTGGTTTTATATGTACAATTTACATACAGATACTTTTCTTCAATCAATGTATTCTGCTTAATCAATCTTCTATTTCAATAGATTAATTGATTAAATTGCATGCCTGAATAATAAGATTTATCTTAGGAATGTAAAATCTTTCAAAATGCAGTGATACAGTAGGTGATTCTTCTCACTAAAATACTCTATCAATAAGACCTCTCAAAAAACGAAACTCATTGTCAAAGATTATATAATCACTACATCCCGTATCCGGCAATGTAATGATTTGTGCAAATTTGTTAAGAAATGGCCAGATATATCTTTCTCATTCTAATGTTTAGAGACTGTTATTTTTTATTTTTAGATTTTATAAAGTTAATATCCTTATTTGATTATATTTTTAGGAATCTGACAAATGGCGCGGGTACCCTACTCGCGTTCATGCCGCATTAAATGACAGTCTTGATGGAGAATATCCTGTATTTATTACTGCTACTCAACAGAAAGGTGATGAAACTATTGCTTTGTTATGTACATCATGATACAATAATCAATATAATTAAGTTATTTTCATGTTTATTTTTGCTTTGTTTCTTTACCTTCATCAGCCTGTAAAAGTTCACTAACCAGGTATGGGCCTTCCGTGGTAGAAAGGATTTGCCTTAAACGTTACACTTGGCAGGTAAATTGACAATTGCAGCACCAGACGTTTCGCAACTTTGATACTGCTTTCCGTCACGTGTATTGTATTACCCTGGTATTGTACTCCTGGTGTAAACGAGATGGTTGTATTGCCATTTATTGGAAGCAATAAGATCTCTAACGACAACCATAGGACAAATTGTAATAATCATATTCACCTGACTGCAACATAAGTTTTATTTTATCATGCGTGTATGTTTGTTTAGTTTTTTTTTCGTGAGAGTTAGTAGTTTTTATTTAGTTTCGTAGAGGCTTCTGGGTATGGTATATCAATAACAGTCTCAATTCAATTGGTGTTGTCCTATTGACTAATAAACGAAGCTCTGACGACGACCAATGACTGAAACTCATCAAAATATGCTGAATACAATTCATACAGCCTGGGGAACAGATGGACTGTAGACTCCTGTAACTATATTCAGTGTCGCCCCCGCCAATTCAACATAATGGATTTGACAGACCACAAATCATATTAAAATAACTGATTCCTACCAAGGATGACTTGTGAAACTGATAAAATTAAAATGCTTTCTAATTTCAATAAAGAAAGTAGCTGGGCACTACCATCTGTTTTGCAAAAGAATTATTATTAAAATGTCATACACTTCAGTCTCCCTGTGACAATTGACAAAATAAACGAGTATGAGGATATTTGGGCGGCGTTTAATCCATACAACGTTTCGTGTTCCTCTTCCTAAATAATTAAATCAAAACACTAAAGCAAAATTTTTTAACGATTTGAACTATACCCACTAACTGCCATGTTCGTAAGGTTTTTTTCATAAATTTATTAATTTAAAAATTCTGAATATAATTCATAAACTGCTCAATTATTATAAAGCCATCCAACAAATTTAACAAACATCAAAAATAAAAGGAAAGTATTGTCTTGAAATGTCTTGAAGAAATATTAATATCTGTCAAGTTTTGAAGTAGCAATGGTCCGAGAGCTCATGACGCATTTTTCATGAAGTGTTTGATGCATCATGAAACTTTGTTGAAAAGTGTTTAAGAAATACATTTATTTTGGTCCGATCTACGGAACAAATAAAATAATTTTTAGTCCGGAACAAATAAAAAATAAAAAAATCAGATAAATAAATAAATAATTTTTAATTAAAGTATATGTTTTGCCTCATGGTGCGAAAGTAGGGGGTAGTATTATTTACGCCGCTACCACACGGCGAGGAACCGAGTCTGTTCTTTCGACTTTGTCGCTTATTTAGCACCACCCGGGGGACACGTGTAGGGTGGGCCTAGGATTAGGTGGTCGAAGCCTACGTACGCGAGTGACTCATCCCCCTTAATGTATGCTGTAGAAATGCGGTCATTAAGGAGTATGTTAGGGATAAATCTGAATGACAAAGTGAGAAGTTGTGTGATAAGAGAAGAGTGTGGTTTGCAAGATGATGTTGTGACCAGGATTAAGAAAAGAATGCTTCGGTGGTTTGGTCATGTAGAAAGAATGAATGAGGAAAGAGTGACAAAGCAAATTTATGTTGCAGAGGTGAACGGCAGAGTCGGGAAGGGACGCCCTAGGCGAAAGTTTATCGACCAAATTGGCGATATATTGAAAATGGGCCAAATCAAGAGTACCTTTAACCGACGAGCGTGTATGCGTAGGTATATGGATGTGGAGGAGAGAGGTGTGCCAGGATCGTGCCAAATGGAAGTCCATAGTCTCTGCCTACCCCTCTGGGTGACAGGCGTGAGTGTTTATGTATTATGTATGTATAATTTTTAATCTGGAGGTAGCCGTAGTTAACTATGACATTGGGACGTCATAGACCTCCGTCCCCCCTCCCCCCCCCCCCCCCCCCGTGACTATGGGTGCTGTAAAGTGCTCGAAACGTCGGGAATATAAAATAAGTTAATATACGCGATAAAATCCGTAAAATTAGTTTTATTTAGAATTTTTTTGCGACTTACCTGTATGCGCAGTACCAGGTGTACCCAGGTAGGCCAGGCAAACAGTCAAATACCTGCTTATTGTGAGGAGTGAGGACTGATACTTTTCAACAAAGTTTCATGATGCATCAAACACTTCATGAAAAAAGCGTCATGAGCTCTCGGACCAAAACAGGGGAATACAGGTTCGTCTATATTTTCTAGGTAGAATAATAATATAATTAGCTAATGCATTTATTTTAAATAATATTTATGAAACTCATATTTTACTCTCGGAAATGAGAGAAAGCCTTTTCTTTGATAGCATATCCTAGCAGCAATAAGATGCAGCTGTATCACATTTTTGTTAAAAAGTAATGTGATTTAAATGTAATGGCGTACGCAAATTTTTAAAATACATCGAAATATTCTAATATCAGGTGTTTCATCATGGGAACTTCCGTTAGTGGTGGCGACTCAAAATGCGGTGCTGCAGTTTGATGACATGGCCAGGACCCTGTGTCCTCACGACGCTGGACCCAGTAAGTAAAATAAAAGAAAAGAACGTTATCCGTCATATTACAAAAAAGATATGATTTATTAATAGTCCAAAGTTTAAACTATGCCGTAAGAAATGTACTTTACTGCCGACTTCTAAAAAGGAGACGGTATTCAATTCGACTGTATATTTTTTTTATGTCTGTTACTTCATAACTTTTTACTGGGTGAACCGATTTCGATGATTCTTTTTTTATTTGAAAGCTGGTACTTCTCGTGTAGTCCCATATGAATTTGATCAAGGTCAGGCCAATAGATTTTGAGTTATTCTTAATAACTTATATTGAAGTCGGCAGTACAAAATTTTTAATTTTTAATTATAACTAAAGAAGTTTCTTAGCCGCGGCGACACAATTTTCGCGAAATTTGACAATGAGGGCTAATAACCTTCCGTTCACCAGATGTCGCTATTATTTTGTCACGCAAAATCATTTAACACGTTGAACGCCATAACGGACACCATGTGTCCGTCAGTACACTTTCTTCCGGGGCCGCACCATTAAATCACGAATCTTTCTAAAATTTTTGTGGTGTTTTATTGCAAAAATTGTTAGGAAATAACTCAATAATAATTGATGTTGTACAGAAACTGCGATATAAATATTATTTTCCGAGATGTCAAATGGCAGACACTAGTGTCCGTCGCGGCCTGCCAGAGCGTCCGACCGTCTTTTCTTGCGCGGACGCCGCGCGGGTCATACTGTCGGCTCCCCCCTCGCGCTACGTCACACTCGCTCGCCCCAGCGCAGCGTTACGCGTCACTCGTTCATTTGCCTTTGCGCTTGCCTAGGAGAATGTTGTGTTTCTTTTCGCAAAATTAGGGTTCCGTGATCGTAACAAGTATCCTATTTTTTCGTCATGGATGTATTTGAAAACTTTGAAGTTACCGAAGAAGATTTAGCACAAATAGAAAACATTGAAATAAACTTATTGAATTCAAGTTTTCACATATCTTCAGAAGATGAGAAAGAAAATATTTCAGCATTTCCGTCGAACAAACGTCGCCGCCGTATTATCCGCTCGGAAAGTGAGGACAGTGGATTAGAAAATACGACACCGGATTTGCCAGATCACACTCGAACTGATGGCGGTGGATGGGGACCGCCAGAAGGTAAACAACGTCGTTTGATTGCATTCACTGACATTTCGGGACCATCATACGCTGTTCGATCTACGATGGTAAATAAGTCTCCATCTGATTTCTATTCGCTTTTTGTCACTGACGATATGTTGCCTTTTTTTGTTTCTGCAACTAACCAATACGCTATTGAGCAAATAACTATGAAACCTAACGCTTCTGCTGGTGCGCGCATTAAACAATGGGTTCCAACTAACTATACAGAGATGAAAAAATTCTTGGGCATGCTTCTCTTCATGGGTGTGGTCAAACTACCAAAATTATCGGATTATTGGTCGAAGGACGAAGTTATCGGTCATCCTTTTCCTAGAACTGCTATGTCACGTAACCGCTTCGAAATTCTGCTTCGTATGTTGCATTTTTCTGAAGATGACGAGAAAAACAAGGCCGATCGACTTCATCGTGTAAGGAAGCTAATGAACGATTTGAATGAGTGTTTTCGGCAACATTATACGGCAAATGAAGATATTTTTAAAAGGCCGGCAACGCATCTGCAATTCCCCTGGTGTTGCGGTTGTTCATGGGCGGCGGTAGTCACTTACCATCAGGTGAGCCGCATGCTCGTTTGCCCCCTCTCCTATAAAAAAAAAAAAAAAAAATTTGTATCGATGAGAGCATGGTGCCATTTCGTGGAAGGATTTTATTTAGGCAGTATAATAAACAAAAGCGGCATAAGTATGGTGTCAAACTATTCAAGCTGTGCTCCATTCCTGGATATACACACAAAGTTAATATCTACGCTGGAAAAAACATGGACACTATAAACACAACACCCACAAATGTTGTGATGAATATGTGTGAAGGCTATTTTAACAGGGGGCATACTTTGCATACCGATAATTGGTATATCAGTATTGATTTGGCGCGAAGACTTTTGGAGAAGCAAACTCATCTTGTCGGGACAGTCAAGAAAAATAGGAGGGGGCTTCCTAAAAAAGTAACCAACACGAAACTCAAGAAGGGCCATTACTGTGCGGAGGAGAGCCGAGATGGAATAACGGTGATGAAGTGGAAAGACAAGCGCGATGTTCTTGTTTTATCCACAAAGCACTCTGTGCGCTTCGTTGAGATCATAAAACGTGGACAGGTTGTGAAGAAGCCTCAAATCGTTTTGGAATACAATAAGGCCAAAGGAGGTGTGGATTTAGCAGACCAGATGGCTTCTTATTCAACTCCACTTCGCAAATCCATCCGATGGTACAAAAAAATTGCATTAGATATGCTTCTAAATATCATGATCAATGCTCATGTTTTATACCAGTCTGTAACCAAAACAAAAATAAAAGTAACAGATTTTAGAGTTGTAATTTTGAAATCATTCTGTGCTAAACAACAAGCAGATGAACCAGCCTTAACAAGACCGAAAAGACAGAAACATATTTTGGTGAAGTTAGACGGCCCATCAAGGAGGACTAGACGAAATTGTGGGGAATGCTACAAAACGAATGTCAAGAACTTGGGTCGCTTACAAGCACGAAATAAGACGAAAAAAGTAAACACTTTTTGTAGCGTTTGTCCTGAAAAGCCAATTTTGTGCCATGACTGTTTCTTTAAACTGCATTTTTAGATTTTTGTTATATTTCTATATATCTTTGTATTTTTCTAAAGATAAGTTATGTTATTTCTAAGTATTTACATTTTCTAATTGAAGTGCTTTTTATCGAAGTCCATACATAGTGATTGTAGGTTGCTGATTTCAAGACTTTTATATATATTTTAAAGGTTTAACAATCGTTGTAATGCCACACATTTTGTAATATGTTTGTTGATCTCTTTAATTTTTTATTTTATCATCTTTTGTTACCAACAGGGTACCAATTAATCTACCTGTTCCGTTTTTAAAGTTAATTATTTTATTGTAATTATATCATTAGTTAATCTGATTAAACGATTGATCTCATTCTTTGCCATTAAACATTATATAAAAATATAATGACTTTGATTCATTTCAATTTTCAAATTATACATAATATATATATGAATGTATATGTTCAAATAAAAAAAATCCATTCTTTATTCACCTATATTGGATAAGTAAGCTAAATGAAACACAAGGTAAACCTTAATATTTTTCGTCACATCGTGTGTATATTATTGCCTACTGAACTCATTCCTTATTTGATACGAACTTGACGGAAAACGATTATAATAGTAACGACTTTCTAGAGCTTTAAAAATATTAAAAATTTTCGCCTTTCTAAATATAACATAACTCAATTGAACTTTTCAAAATACTTACTATAAGTACTTAAAACATTTTTGGGAACACCTTGTAGAAAAGTCCATAAATTCGAAATCCTTTCGATTTTTTTATGCCAAGCGGCTAAACTGTACTATAGGGCCGCGCGGATCACTTGCCTTAGTAAAAATAGTCGAAACAGTATCCGTCGGCCGTCTAGAAGCCTTTGTAGTGATCGAGACCATGCGGGACACACTGTGTCCGCCACGGCTCCCTGGACCCGACATATTGGCGGTCACAAGGTGTCCGCCGCGGCTCCCTGGACTAAATATGGTATTTAGTGTGGCGTTCAACGTGTTAATTAAGAAGTTAGTTTTAAATAAAACTTTTTGTTTCGAGAATAATATATTGGTACACAAAATAATTATCTTTAATTTTGTACATATTTTCAACTCTTCTGTTCATTTTTTGGGTTCCGTACCCAAAGGGTAACCAACGGTACCTTATTACTAAGCCTCCGCTGTCCGTCCGTCCGTATCTCATGATCCGTAATAGGTAGACAGTTGAAATTTTCACAGAATGTGTATTTCTGTTGCTGCTATAATAACAAATAATGAAAATTAAAATAATTTAAAAATTAAAAGGGGCTCTGCTACTAGTAACGTGTAGTAGGATGGTACGGAACCCTTCATGCGCGAATCCGACTCGCACTTTGCTGGTTATTCTACTTTTAGCAATATTCGTAATTTGGTTTATTCATTTCTAATAGAATTTATATAAAATATAACTGATATTATAAGATATTAAAAGAAACATTAACCCTTACATTTTCCCAACAAATTAACTTCACCGCTATGAAACCTGTCGAATATTTCACCTTATCCCAAAGTGGCGCCGTCCTGGTGGCAGAAAAAGTTGTCTCATTGCTGTTAAATTCCATACATTACATTTTAATACGCATATTTTCGAGACTTCGTGAAACATATAGTTTTAGTTTAAACCTGAGATTAAACACAAATTACTTTTTGTAATAAAGCCGTTTGTTTGTGGAATAGTAAATATTACCTATATATTAAATTTATTAAAAATGAGACTATAGGCCTAATGTTGTTAATAGTGAATGTTTTGCAGATTACTGAGTGGTGGTAAGTGAGGAGCCTCTCTACTATCTAAATATCTAATTTAATACGAAAACAATATTTTAACTATTAAGACACAACAAACCTACATTTGTCCTCTGTTGAACAAAGAACTCATACTTAAATTGCTCAAAAGCCTTTCACTACTTAGATGGCTCTAATAAATTAACCAATTATCCAACAGACATCACGAGCGAGAATCGCCCGCTGATTCAGATAACCACTTCAAACCCGCGTAACACGTCCTTAAATATCAAACTACGGCGCGTCACCGACTTCTACGTCGAACTCAACAAGGTGCGTATACTATATTTATTTTAGTAATAGTTAGCGTCTGAACGATGTGACCTATTGTTGTCTATATTCTGAAATGTTAATGTTGTTAACCTATCTGTCTTTTACAATGTTTCATGATAAGATACAGTTGTATAAAATAGAATGGTGATGAAGATGCTGATGATGATGACTTGGTTCATAACCAACCGTCAGGTCGCCTATGTTAGAATCCTATAGGTGGAGCTGCAGTCAATTATTTATTGAACATGGAACCAACAGCACATTATAAATATAAGGGTTCTATCAGACAGGAAGCGGTCACACGTTTAAGCGTTCCGCGTTCGCGTTCTGCGTTCGAGCGTATAGTTGTTGCTCACGAATCCCGCTGTTGGACAGTCTACGCAGTGCCACTACAGTCACCATGTTTTTTGACTATAGTTCTTTATCGGAAGACGAATTATTGATATTGTGGACATTAGTAGCATCAAAACGGAGAAGAAAACATTGGGTGCGCCCAGTAAATAAGAATAGAGAACAAGATGGAGGATTTCATAGACTGTTTTGTAAAGGCAATTTAAGTTTTTATAATCATCAATCTTCTCATCATATAAAAAACACCTTTCTCGTACTAAGATAATCAACTTCTCGGTCTCCATCTTCCTTCCGATGTGGACACCGAAACAGCAGTGAACGCGTGAACTCATGCGTTCTGGATGACGGACGCGGTCAGAATGCCTGCTGTCTGCTGCTGCTGTCATTACAGCCTTTCACAAGTTCACTGTTGAACATCATAGGCTTTCCCTAATGAATGCCAAAAAGCACCGTCCTAAGCCACCTGCAACTATCGACTTCCTGCATCGCTTATCAGGTCGTCACTCCATCTTGTGGCGGGGGCGTTTTCTGTATATGATGAAGTGATTAAGCCAGAGCCAGTACATTGGTGTAAGAAATATGAGATACCATAACCCTATTTCGTTCCGTAAAAGGCGGCCATGGGCTACGACAGAAAGTTCTTATGGGCTTAACGATCTCGTTTACGGAAGGCCTAAAATACCCAGAAGCTGCTCCCCGTCACCAGAGCAACGTAAAAGGTACTGCAATTGTCAATCCGCCCGCTAACTGTGACGATTAAGGCAAATCTCTCCTACATTGGCCTATATCCAGCTGTGCACTTCTACGGACCGAAAAATTATTACAATTTTTTTTAAAATATTACAATGGGTTGGTGTTGGCAGTGGGTGTGTAGATTGACTGTGAGGTTCACACCTAGCTTGTAACTCTAACGATTTGGTTTTAAAAACTATATGACTGACTAGCTGATACCCGCGACTTCGTCCCCGTTGCTTGATATATCAAGAAAACACATCACTGAACACGTAGTGTTTATAAAATTTGTTGTTTCTGAAAACTTTAATAACTTTATATTAAATGAAGATACTGCAATATTTTTTTTTTTTAGATAAGCGCCAAGTGTCTAAGAAATAAAACTTAGAAAACCTAATTGAAATCTATCCAGTAGTTTTCCTTGATGCGCGCACAACTGCAAACCGCTATCATTTTATTTATTTAGATAAGCAGATTTTTTGAGGATTTCATCAGTCTCTATTTTCAGGAAGTGCAGCTAAATGTGACACCCAGCACGCCCAAGTACTACTATTTTTCCTTTGACAAGGATCCACTGAATGCGTCCCAAAGCATAAGTAAAGGCCTCTTACCAAGGTATTAAGATATAGTTGTTAATAAGCGTTTTAGTACTTCAAATAATTAAAAATTAAAATTGTTGTACCGACGAATGTTAACCGACTTCAATATAAATTATTAAGAATAACTCAAAAACTTGGTCAGACCTTGATCATTTAAATGGGATCACATAAAAAGCACCAGCTTTCAAACAAAAAAGAATCATCGAAATCAGTTCACGTAGAAAAACAGTTATGAGGTAACACACATAAAAAAGAACATACAGTCGAAATGAGTACCTCCTCCTTTTTGAAGTCGGTAGAAAAGAAGGAGGTTTACAATTCAAATGTATTTTTTTGTATGTACGAGTATGTTACGGGATATATATCTTCGCCAATTGTGAACCGAACAAATCTTCTCTAATGATCGAGGTTCCATTTACAAGTACAATTTCTTACTGTGTACTTTAAAGAGTTGGTAGAGAAGATGAGTACTATGATATTACATTCTATTATAGAGATTTTATAGTGAACATTTTTTATAGTATAAGGGTGACAAGCGAGCACACAGTCCATCCACAGAGTAAAGAGTAAGAACCAGAGGGGAAGCTTCTTAACAACGTTGAAAATGTATACCTATTCTGATAGGGTTGTCACATGATGCATGTGAAAAAATTAAGGAAAAAATAAAAATATTGTATAGCATAAGACAACATGTGCATTAATTATAACTTATATTAATGTAACAACATATCTATTAATTGTTCGAAATTAAGAGCTGTTTCATATCGATTAATTTTAAACAATAACGAAAAAATTTAAATATTATATAGTGTATAAAATAACATGCGTATTAATTATTACTTATTTACATAATGTAACAACATAATATCTATTAATTGTTCGAAATCAAGAACTGTTTCGTATCGATTAATTTTAAACAATATTGAAAAAAATAAAATATTATATAGTGTATAAAATAACATGCGTATTAATTATTACTTATGTTACATAATGAAACAACATAATATCTATTAATTGTTCGAAATCAAGAGCTGTTTCGTATCGATTAATTTTAAACAATATATATTATTTACCTATAATAATAATAACTTAATTATTTTAATTAAAAGACTTAAATCTAATCATTTAATAATTGCAAAAATACTTAATAAATTGATTGATGTATAAATTTTCGAAATATTGTTGGTCTATTTATTTAAATGCGCGCGACTAACAGTCCTTTCAAAGATACTCTGATTGAGCCGGCGCAAACCGGTTTGTACCCCGAAGGAGCGTCGGTGAACCTGTTGGTGAGAGCTCACGCACACATCGCTGCGCTATGTATGCGTGTATTCGCAGCGAGCCGTTGGTATGTAGCTTCCCCTCTGGTCGGTTTCTTTACTCATGTGGTCCATCTGATGGTAAGTGCGTTGCTGTGGCCCATAGACATCTACATCTATTCTCGTTTGCGAATCAAAATGCAGATGCGTTGTCACCCGTGAAGACTAAGATGGAATGCCTCGTTTTCAGTGAAAATGCTCTCCGGTTCTCTACAATCACCATACGAAACACAACAGCATGCTAACCCAGCTGTTTTTTTTACACTGGTATTCTGTGGGAGCGTAGTCCTTCCTTAACATAGCCGACTTATTCGTGCTGCAACCATTATATAGCTGTAGACTGACTCTACTACGTACACTCTTAGAAGCTACGAGATCCTTTTAAGCATTTTCCATAGCCTTTGTTGGCGCCATCTAGTTTATTTTATATTAAATTCTCTCTCTCTCTCTCTCCATATCAGCATCCTTTTGCGACGCCCACGGGACGTAAGGAATCGGTAGATTCCTTTTCGCCGCCACCACGAAGCTTCATAATTATTTATTAGAATTTTTAATACGGTATATTTTTTTAGGTTTAACTACACAATTCCTAAGAGTGTGATGTTGATGTTTGAGTCGGATGACAACGTGTGCGCCGTCGTCTCTATACAGAATAATTCGGTGAGTTTATAGAACGTGTGACATTTTGAAACTTTCACCACTATTACTTAACGTAGAACGATTAGCTAGTTGATTAAGCAGTTTTTTTTATAGTATAGGGTGACAAACGAGCATACAGTCCACCTGATGGTAAGTGGTTGCTGTAACCCATGGACATCTACATCTATCCTCAATAAAGAATCAAAAGGCAGATGCGTTGTCACCCGTGAGGACTAAGATGGAATGCCTCTTTTCCAGTAATAGGAGTCTACGGTTCTCTACACTTACCATACGAAACACAGCAGCGTTAAGCTGCTATTTTACGCTATTTAAGTAGGGAGTTAGTAAAGTTACAGCCTATATACGTCCCACTGCTGGGAGAGGGATTTAGGGCTAGGAATTGTCCGCAGCGCTGCCCCAATACGTGTTGGCGGACTTTACATGTCTTCGAATTTTTTTTCAGACGTGTAGGTTTCCTCACGATGTTTTTATTCACTACCGAGCACATGGTAAATCAGCACTTAAAATTGCAATTAACAATTTCATTGGTGTCGACGGGGATCGGACCCGGGTTGGCTCGCGTACTGTAAAATTTAAAACGAGCGCTAAAGCTGAACGCACATTTGTCAGCACCGTACGCACCGTACCCGCCGTAGGCGTCGTATTTTAGAATTCGTTGTATGGAATCATATGAAACCTCGCACATTACACCCGCAGAGTACGCGCTGAATTATATAAAAATATAAAATTCGGTAGGTATCCGAATATTGAAGGACGCATGCTGATGACGTCAAATAACGCGGCGCGTTCGGCGCGTGCTGATACTCAGTGTTGTCCAATGTTGCCAACTTAGTGGATTTTCCACTAAAACTGGTGGTTTCGGCCGTTCCGACTTACCGACCGTTTCGGCACTCTGCGTACAGTTTTCACTTCGAATTTAATTTATACAATTTTATTAGACTTAGAACGAAACTGAATTGTATGTATCGTAGTGTGATATGTTAAGTTATTAAAAAGATATATGTATGTTTAACGATTTATGTGTATCAACCTTTTTAAAAAATACGGGAACTTGTACGAATCTGCCCCCAGTACGGGGTAGCTTCGTACGGAGGTAGAGCTGCGTTTATACAGCATGGGGTACGTTGGTACAGGCTATTTAAAACAATATTATATTTTAACTTACATTGTTTATTCATCACAACATGATGTATACCTTATAACAAAAACAAAACACATATTCTAAAATACAAACATTTTAATTTTTATAAACTTCTGTGCTTAAATATTATTTAAACAGTCAAAAACTAAAGGTTAACTAAAAATAATCAAGTCTTTTCCTTGCTCATTTATAATAATACCTACTTAGATATCCTTAATGATCATTTAGTTGACAAATAAACCGTATTATCAAAAGTATAATAATCCACTATTATAGAGACTAAAGTAACTTATTAATATATTCAGTCAAAAATTACAAATCACCCAAATTACGAGATCAACTTCTTGGTGACAATATGTACGTAATACCAATTTCACTGCACGTTATAAGTTGTCAAATTAACAGCAAAAGTAAAAATTTTAGAAGTACGAGCTGTACAAATTGACGGGGTTTTGGATCTGGTAAAGTCATTTCTACATCAGTTATGTACACTGTGTGCTCATCTTTAACATTTGGAAAAACAAATGACCATGATGACCCTGGTTTTTTTCTTAAATAAGATTAATTAAACTTTATTTCAGAATAGTGGCTAATAACTTTTCCAACGTAATATACTAATGTGTTTTTCTTTGCAAATTTGATTAAAATGATACTATTTCCTTAATGTTCTCTGGTACAATATCAACAGCCATTTCTTCACCAATCTCTGAATTATCATCTTCTTCAATCATGGATGTCTAACTTTCCTGTAATCACATATCAGATTCCTCAGAAGCTGAATCTTCATCTATTAAATTTTTTCTTGTCTTTTTAGTCTTCAACTTTTTTCTAGCTATTGGTTTTTTCTGTTCGTTTTCTTTAAATTTCTCTTAAAGAACTACAAAACAATGAATTACTTCAATGACTGGGGAGCATTCGTACACATACGTATGCTCCCCCAATATGACTACGAATGTACCCCTGAGTACCCCTGTACTTCATAACCAAAAATTGACCACATGGCTAGAAAAGTGTAATTACGGGATAATTTTTCATCAAAATATATTTTCGTTTTATTTACGTATCAAATCATGTAAATATATTACAGGAAATCAATCTATAAAAAGTACAACACGACTTCAAAGTGACATAAAAAAAAAACTTACCAAGCTGGTAAATAAACATGGGCCGACTCCTCGGTAGTTGACGTTTCAACTGACTTGGCGGGTCGCTCAACGAACATGACTGACATAAGGCGGAGAACACACGATAAATCATTACACACTACTTGATTTTTTTTTCATGACAAGTGTACCAATGTTCCCGCCGTACGAAGAGTGCTAATCTTCCCCTACTGTCTTAATACTTCTGCATTCCTATGCCCAATTGGGCTTCTAAATCTTGAGTTTCTCAAAGAGAGATATGGTTTTAGTATACGTAATAATTCTTGAAATTTCTTGTATGTTAAATGCAAATATCAAAAAAATCGTTCATCTTCGTCTAATAAGTATTTAAATTAAGTATAATTTTCTCCGTACAACGGCCCTTTTAAATCAATATTATGAATCCAGAATCTTTTTTTTCTACGAATTTTATTTCCTTCTTCCCTTGTCATTAAGCATGCTATTACAATATTTTTTTCATAGCGATCCAAACGATTTCGAGCGATCAATGTACCATTTCACAACAGTGGTTGTAAAAAACTGCAAAAGTTGTTGTCCAATACAAAATATTTGCGTACGGCGCAGACGGAGCATACGTGCAAATGTGACTGACGGCTCTATGGCGCAGTGGCTTAGCAATGAGTTGTTGCGCTGGGTGCCGCGGGTTCGAATCCCGCACGGAACAATGTATGGCCTACAAATAATTGCTCCGGGTCTGGATGTTTGTCCTCGTGTAATTTATGTTTGTAAACTTCCTACGATACAGGAGAAAATCCTAGTGTGGGGGTAACGTTTTTTTACGAGTAACAAGGAAAAAAAATGTGCGAGACCATCAGTAAAATGCGGCGCGTACGGCGCGTACGGTGCGGACAAATGTGCAATCAGCTTAAGCCTCTGAGCTACCGCGGCTCGGCAGGCAGTTGCAATAGCCAAATTTTTTCCAAATTGCCCTCGATAGAGTTCGCAAACAACAATTAAAACGATATCTATACATAATGTATATTATATTTTTGCACGCGAACTTTACCTAACCAATGAGGGTTAACTTAAATAATACAATTAAGTCACCCACTTAGTTTTATCCCATCTTTGTACTGGAAAAGTGAAAGCTTGCGTTAGTGAACACTGTTTATATGCTATTGGTTGGCTAATAAAAATGTTTCTTTTTTTCAAGTGTCCCGTCTTCGATAACGAAAATGATATGTTATATCAAGGGTATCACCTCACTATGATGACCAAGGGTGGAATCAGTATAACTGTGAGTTATTTATAGTTTTCTCGTCATTAATTTATTTAAAAAAAATCTGCCTTGTTATTATAATTAAAGGGTAATTGATTGAAAAGAGACACTGAAATTTAGCGTTCATAATACGAAGCCATAAAGCACATTATGGAATTTATAATTTACGTAGAATAGTAACAACAAAATTACATAAAGTTATAATACATTAGCATCATCATTTGCTACTTTGCGACTTTGCAAGCAGATAATATAATATATATTGAATATATTAAACTCAATTGAAAATATAAAACTAATACTCTGTAAAATAAATTAAATATAGATTAGTGGTAAGCTCGTAAGTACATATATTGGTGCTGAAGCAAAGTACGAGGGTGCGTTTTTAAGTTCACAGAATGTAGGTAGTTAATACAGTGGGGGCGTCGCTGAATTACGTGCTAATTGAGCACCTCATTATTACTATAAATACCGGGTTTTATTGTAATTAGATCATTAGTCTGTGAGTTATCGTCAACCAAACAAGTTAATCGGAAAGAAATTGTGAAATATGGAGAAAATCGAGTTCCGTGCCGTTATAAAGTTACCTTACCAAGCGCGGAAAATCAGTTCAGACTATACTGGAAGAAATTTCATCCGTTTACGGAGACTTGTCCAAGTAAAACTATGGTTTACAAGTGGCATACGCTTTTTAAACAAGGCAGAGAGTCACTTGAAGACGACCCACGGCCAGGAAGGCCAATCGAGGTGACCACTTCGGAAATTATCAAAAAGTCAAAAAATTAATATTAGAAGATGCCCGCTTAAAGAAAAAACAGCTCGCAGAAATGGTTGGAGTATCAGATACAACCATTTTCAAAATTCTTCATGAACATCTTGCCATGACTAAAGTCAGCGCAAGATGGGTGCCTAGAATGCTCACGCAGCCTCAAAAGCAACAGCGCGAGTGTTCTCGTGAATTTTTGGACCACTGTATGGAAGATAAAGATGGAGTGTTGGCTCGAATTGTTACTGGTGATGAAACTTGGGTTTATCATTATGAACCTGAGTCTAAACAGGACTATGCAGTGGCACAAAAAAGGCACACCACCACCCAAGAAATTTAAGGTGGCACAATCGGCTGGGAAAATCATGACGACAGTCTTTTGGGACTCAGAAGGAATCCTATTGATTAATTTTAAAGATGAAAGGTGTCTCCATACCCGGAAATTATTACGCTTCAATCCTAGAACAATTGAAGGAAGCCATAAAGAAAAGAAGGGGAAAATTGACCAAAGGAATCCTTCTTCTGCACGACAACGCGCCTGTTCACAAGTGCCATGTTGCGATGGCCGCCCTGCAGAAGGTGGGCTTCGAAATTTTACCACACCCTCCCTATATTCTTGACCTGGCCCCCAGTGATTATTATCTATTTCCAAACTTAAAAAAAGAACTTCATGGGAAAAAGTTTTTGGTCCGAGAGCACATGACGCATTTTTCATGAAGTGTTTGATGACACACTTTTTTTTTTGGGCAATGTTTATTGCGATTAACCTGTATGCGCAGTAGCAGGTGTACCCAGGTAGCCCACGCAAACAGTCATATACTTGCTTATTGAGTCGACTGATACTTTTCAACAAAGTTTCATGATGCATCAAACACTTCATGAAAAATGAGTCATGAGCTCTCGGACCATTTTAAGTTATTAAGAAGTGAAGGAAGCAGTTTCGGCGTATTTTTTAGACAAAGACAAATCATTTTTTGAGGGTATACATAAGTTAATTGAAAGATCCGAAAAATTTATTAGAGTAGCAGATGAATATATTGAAAAGGAAAAATAAATTTGCATTTTCATTTCCACTCCTTACCCCCCATTCCGCTAACTTAAAAACGCACCCTCGCATGTAAGTTCACAATATGATTGTATCTTTCTTTGCCAACTGTGAACCTATTTTTAAGGATTGATTTTTTAATTAAATAGGCTTAAGGGTCCATCCATATAGGTCCCATTTGAATTTAAGAAAAAAAATTAAAGAAACAGGGGATGTAGTTATTTTTGATGTTACATAGTCTACTCAAAATGATCAAAAATAATTAAACTTAAAATATATAAAAACCGACTTCTGAAAACTATAAAGATTAGATATTTTAACATAATTTGACTGTGATACGAAATTACATATAATATTACATACTTAATACTTTTTAGTTTTATGGTGTCGGTTTTTAATTTTTTCAAATTTAACTATTATTGTTTAATAAGATGTATTTTTTATATTGTAAGGGTGACAAACGAGCACGCAGTACACACGTTTATCCTCGATTAGAATCAAAATGCAGATGCGTCGTCACCCCTGCGTACTAAGATGGAATGCCTCGTTTCCAGTAAAAAAGGTCTCCGGTTCTCTACACTTGCCATACGAAACACAGTAGCATTAAGCTGATATTTTACGCTGTTATTCTGTGAGAGCGTGGTCTTTCCCCGGTCGAACCGACGTATTCATGCTACAAACAAAATATATCTGTGGCGTGGCTCTACCACATATAAAAAAATATAATAATTATGAACGGCTGTTTATTTTACAGCAATCTATGTTTCCAGTTGGATTCTACATAGTGTTTATAGTGAAAGAGAGCAATGCAGATTGCACGGGCGTGAGCAATATGGATACCGCCGCTAGTTTGGAGGACTGGATAGATGATGGACGAGTGAAAAGTTTTAGGTAGATCATTTTTATATCTTGAATGTTTGAATTCTAAGCGTATAAGTATGTTAAGATGCCCCGCTGACAGAGTTCCCCACTTTAAGTTTGTGCCACCTGGTGGCGGCATGAGAGAAACCATTAATCCATCTTTCCTGTGGGTGTCGTAACTTAGGGAGAGTTCAAGAATAATCTTATGGCCCTCCGGTACATAGTTTTTGAGTGGTCACTTGATGGGACTATATAACTACAACGTACAAATTTGTATAACTGGTACAACTGTTTCGATTTTTGAATTTGAACAAACAAAAACCCAATCGAGCGATGGCATTCGTGTCGCGAGCACCGCTCTTTATCTTATACCACTGAAACACTTGCCGAGGTTTATATTTTATAAAATTATCTTTGCAAGACATAATAATTAATGAGAATTGTAATCAAAAAACGAATATAACTAACATTGCCCAGGGAACAACAAGCCTTAAATGGGCACGGGTTGGAAATGTCAGTCGCAGAGAGGACGGAAGAGGCAGAAAGAATGGAAGAATGCAGTTATTACAGTCTGACTTAGAGATTTTTGTTGGGAAGTAGAAGTGCATGTAGGCACCAGCTTCTTCCCATTCCTGTGAGGGTTGTGAAGCTATGTGGAGCAGTGCGTGTTAGCGGTCTTCACGTTTAATTGAAATATTTTATCCCTCAGACATGCAGTTTTCTCTCATGTTTTCTTTTTTCGCTGACACAATTTCATTGACGCCGGCTGGGGTCGAACCCTTGTTGCTTGCGTTTTGTGAAATTTACGGCAAATACTTTGTACCCTGTCAGCTTATTAGAAAAGACAACTTTGACTGAATATTTTTGACTGAATAATATTTAATAACAAAATAATATAAATAATTGGTATCGTAGTAGTATCTTTTTGAGCGTTCAAAAGGGTTTTAAGTAAAATAATTTTTTTAATTAGTTTTATGGTATAATATATTTAATATATATATTTTATTGAATAACAGATTCCGTGTGGTGCCAGCATTGACTTACACGGAATATATTACGGGCGTATTGGCGGCTTTGGGCTTAGTGCTGATGGTGGCGGTGTTCGCGCCTCTGTTGACTTTAATTCGTTGCTCTTTTACTGGTCAGTTATAGTTTTTATAACGCCTATTTATTAACTACTATCTAGTTAGTGGTCAATTAAGTTAAGTTAGTCAGATTACTTGAGTAATAGGTCCTTAAAAATAAATTTTAGTGTAATTTATTGTGAAAACTTACTTTACCCTCCCCCGACCTCCAGTCCCTAAACAATTGCTGCTACATGCCATACATGGTAGAGCTACGTCACGAAGGGTTCAGCTTGACCACAAAAGGACCACACATTCACAGAATAACGAAGTAATATAGCAGCATAATGGTGCTGTGTTTTATGGTTACTGATGAGAGCCGGAAACCTTTTTTCTTCGTAACGAGGCATTCCATCTTAATCGTTTCGAGTGACAACGCATCTGTATTTTGATCCTTAATCTACGATAGATGGGGCGTCAGTCACGGCATTCTTTCAATCAGGTGGTCGAGCCGACACATTCGTGCTACAACTATACTACTAATATAGCTGCAGCATGGCTCTACCACGTAGAAAATACGTAAATACGTTTGAAACGTTATAAATAATTGCCTGGTTATCTACTAATGTGATGACCAGTTAATATTGAAGTATACTCCGTCGGGATCTCGAGTTGAAACGAATGAGTCATATAATGAACACGGAAAATTCGAGTCTAGCCGAACTGGAGATAAGTAGTTCCTCATACGTTTACAAGGGAAATCACTTCATTTGTCTCAAAAACTATTAAGAAAAGCCTGGTCCTAGGACAGGTTTTCCTCATGAATAGAGGTTATTTTCCTTAGCAAACAATATAATAAAAAACAAGATACCAACAAAGCATGTTGGATACAAAAAAAAAAACGTCTCGTTAAGTCTGCTTTTACGACATATTTATTTGAAATTTTATCACACGGCAAACACGACAATATCAACAGAATCACGGATCACCCCATCTCATCCCGAGTTCGCCGTAAGGGTCAATTAAGGTCAACATCATGAAAATTTCTTAAGCTTTTCGACATACGGTGGAGTTACCATTTTATTGTATGCCAGGCTTAAAATACCCGGTAGAATAGAATGATTTTTATTCAATATTGATTATTACATAATACTTATGGAAAGTCATTTTTCATTTACCACTGGTTCGGAAAATACCTCTGTCCAAGAAACCCAGCGGGACTTTTTTTTTAATATAACAATAATTTTGTTTATACAATTTTAAATGTATTTTCATAGAACCAGCATAGTGGCGATCACCTTATTCCCAGGGGTTATTTTCATTCATGTATTCCTTGATATTATAATAACCCTTTTTGTACAGTTTCTCTTTAATAAAACTTTTAAACTTGTTTATTGACAAACTTTGAACATGTTCTGGGATTTTGTTGTAAAAGCGTATACATTGTCCCATAAATGAATTACTAATTCTGTGGAGTCTAGTAACTGGCATTACAAACTTATGTTTGTTCCTAGTGTTTAAGGTATGAACTATAAGGTTTTTATGTACATACATTTTCATAAATATATTGCGATGCCAAAGCTAATATGTTTATTTCTATAAATTTTTCTCTGAGGGACTTTACAATTTAGGTTATAAATCGCCCGTACGGCTCTCTTTTGCAAAACAAATATAGCTTCAATATCAGTCGCATTACCCCACAGCAAAATTCCATAAGACATTACGCTATGAAAGTAAATAAAATACCCAGTATCTTTAATACACAGACTGACAATGAATGATAAGCATTGTTAAATGTATTAACCGTATGTGATCGCCTACTCGTTTGCCAAACACGACAATTATTTCAAGCCTTTATATTATGAAAAAGCTGTGGTAGTTCACGGTCTAAGCACTCGCTCATGGTACTCGAGCAAACCGAATTAAATGTTTGTCGGCATCGATGAAATTGTTAATTGAAGTTTTGAGTGTTGATCGCGTGCTTGAAATTGAACGCGCCGGGTAGTAGGGCATAAGAGAATCTTCTACGACATACTACCCCTTGGGTGTCGTAAGAGGCGAAAAGAAAACTGTAGCGGGAGATGGGCAACAAACAAGGTCCTGAAAACAACTCAACTATGGCAAAATGCCCCTTAAGAGTTAATCCATTATGGAAGCCTATGTTCAGTAGTGAACATTGATAGGCTGTAATGATGATGATTTTCTTGATGATGATGAATGTGGAAGAAAACCCCTACATGTCTTAGAAATTAAAAATTGTGTCCGCCTATGGTACTCGCTCAGGCTTCTGATTAAAAATAGGACTTACTTTTTTTGTTTTGTTTGTTACTTCAATTTTTCTTAAATTATGACGTTTTAAGTATTTTTTAATTTGCAGAAGAAATAACAATTATTGAAGAGGGACCAGGTACCTCGTCGTCCACAAACGCAACAACGAGTGAAACAAAGCCTATGGTGCATGTAGATGACTCTGAAACTGGTTTGTGTATTTAACTTGCTTTAAGGTTAAAAGTAATTTGAAAACGCCTCTGCCAGGGAGGCAGAGTAGGTCTACTTCTGGATTACAGTTCCAAGTAAAAAGAGTCCCAGCTGGAACTAATTTTTTTTTAGCCTTAAATGCGTGTATATATTGCCGTGTATGGGGGTGTAATCATGTCCATTACCCATTTCATCCCGTGGGTGTCGCAAGAGGCGATAGAGGGAAACTGAAGCAGGAAATGGGCAGCAGTATCTCCCTGATAACAACCAAAAATAATATAAAAACTGCGGTTGAAAACCCGCTTTCCAAGCCTGGTAACTATGACAAAATAGGAGAGGCCTATTTTCAGCAGTGGACTTTTAATAGGCTGCAACAGTAACGGTATTAACAACTCAAACATGACAGGAAAATATGTTGTGCGATATTGTTAGATATCAGAGTCAGATGGTCAGAGATGGTTAAGAACAAAAGACTCTAGGCTGCTCCAGTGAAACATTCTTTAATATATATTATTAGAAACTATTCCACTTCTGATGTTAGAAATTATTCTCAAAATGATTTAAATAAAATAATGTTACTCGTATTAGAATTTACTCTGAAGGTTAACTGTTAAAAATAATAAAAGTGTGAGAGCGGATGTTCAACTTGCTCTCTTGCTTACGCAATTGATCACTATCAGGAATAAGACAGCGTACAGCTCTACACATTCAGTATAGAGCAAATACAGTTCGACCAACCGTAATATGTACCAGACACAATCACACATTAGTGTAACGTGAAGGACATAATTACATGATAGCAACAAAGTATGTAAAGCAACAGCTACACTAGTCCTCTTGATGTAACACCGGGCAGCCTCTCAGCAACACGATCTTCCTTGCTTACACTAGAAGAACTACTACACCGTATCTCCGTGTGGAGGTAATGTTTTAGCCCAACGGGCATAATAACGATATGTGACTAGTAGAGTTACAGACTGACTGATCCCTCTTAGTCGACTGCGTGATACTTTATACTGCTAAAACAAGTGGGAGATTATAGTTCTACTTTCAACATTTCTTATTTTATTTTATTATTTTACCCTCATTCCTAACAATATTTTCTATAAAAAAAAAACCAGTTGAGCGGCATAGGTGCATATAATCCACTACGTGTTATGTAATATCACAAAGAAGGTTACTGATATGGTATTAAAGGGCTTATACCTAAGTTGGAAATAGATAAAAATGTCGTGCGAACCCACAAAAACGCCTATACAGATAAGGAGCTCAGTATCCTCAATTGACTGACTTAGGTTTTTTTTTATAGGATATGGTGACAATCGAGCACACAGTCCACCTGATTGTAAGTGACATTTATTACACATTTACATTTTTATCCTCAATAAAGAATCAAAATGCAGATGCGTCGTCACCATGAGGACTAAGATGGAATGCCTCTTTTCCAGTAAAATGGGTCTCCGGTTCTGTACACTCACCATACGAAACACACCAGTGTCAAGCTGCCATTTTACGCTGGTATTCTGTGAGAGCGTGGTCCTTCCCCGGTCGAGCCGACCCATTCGTGCTACAACTATACTACTAATATAGCTATAGCATGGCTCTACCACGTATAATAAATATGCAGGTGTTATAAAATGTTTTCTTTGACCGCCTAGCCATCACGCATTCGATTATTATATAATTCAGCTATGTGCTGGCGGTGTTAATGAATCCATCATCGCATTTCGTCTCGTGGGTGTCGTAAGAGGAGACTATGGAAAATCCCATTGAGATCTCATAGCTTCCGATAGATGGCGGTGTAACAGTGTAGGGCAGCAGCGTCAAAGGTGCAATTAAAGTCCCTTACACAAGGTCCATCTTGCTGTACGTCCCGCCAAGGTCATGCACGATACACGATGAAAAGCGACAATGTTGTTAATAACTATGTTCTCCGTTCGAAAATAATTTGTAAATTTGTAAGACACAGTGAAGTAAATCCATTTTCGGATACTTCGTAGCAAAGCTTGACGCTGGTAGAATACATTGGTATTTACCAAACTAGGAAAAAACTATATTATACAAGCGATCCGCCCCAGCTTTCAACATCGCCACCTACCGGCTCTAATTGTTAATCTAAACCATTCTCGAATCGACTTAAACACTCACACAAAATTTCATCAAAATCGGTCGAACCGTTTAGGAGGAGATCAGATCACAGACAGAAGAATTATAATTATAATATAATATAAAGATAAAGAAAGTTCGATTGACTACCACTGTAACGAGAAAATAAACGTTTTCACATCAAAAAGTTAACAAAAAAACTACTATCAAAACATCGTTTAGAAATAATTTCGTATGCAACAGATTCGGAACCAGAACTGGAATCGAGACGGGTGCCTGAGCCACCGAAAGTAGAAGTGGAACTTCATCCTCCGTTAACTCTGGCAGGACTTAGCAGGGCGAAACCAGCAGCTCATAGCCGCCGGTCGGACAGGTAGTGAAAAATAAATGATTACTATCCATTAATAAATTATATGTACTAGGTATGTAAATGGGGCGGAGTTATTTACACATTCTAATTTCTATCTAGATGATGACTCGATTTTTATTTACATGAAAATAGCTAGACACATGAAAACGAATCTATCTATTTACAGTACGTAGCTTATCTGTGCTAAATTCATGACCATAATCGAAATCGGATAATTAGTTTCAGATAAGATAGCAATCCATCGACTTCCTGCATATCTTACCAGGTCGTCACTTCATCTAGTGGGGGGACGCCCTACACTTCGTCCGCCGGTACGAGGCCGCCACTCGAGAACCTTTTTTCCCTCATGGCAGGTGGCTCAGGACCGTGCTTTGTGGCATTCCTTGGGGTAGGTCTATGTTCAGCAGTGGACTTGTGAAGGGCTGTAATGGTGATGATGATGAAGATATCCACAAGGGGTCGCTCGACAACTGATGCCGGTGTTGAGCTGATTAAATATATCTTTAATGCATGGGAGAATTCACAGGATGCTTTGGGTATATTTTGTGACCTATCCAAGGCCTTCGATTGTGTTCACCATGAAACATTAATCAGGAAACTTCAACACTACGGTGTAAGAAGTGATGCTCTTAAATTAATTATTTCATATTTAAGTAAGAAAACGCAAAAAGTTGTCATTAACAATATGAGCTCTTCCGGATCGATGGTACAAATGGGAGTGCCTCAAGGCTCAATTCTCGGCCCCTTTCTGTTTCTTGTATACATTAATGACTTACCTTACATAGTAGGGGATAACCATGATATAGTATTATTTGCAGATGACACTTCTTTAATTTTCAAATTAAGTCGACAATTACTAAAATATGACGAAGTAAATAATGCTATATCTAAATTAGTAAATTGGTTCAATGTTAATATCATCATTACAGCCCTTCACAAGTCCACTGCTGAACATAGGCCTCCCCCAAAGAATGCCACAAAGCACGGTCCTGAGCCACCTACATCCATCGACCTCCTGCATGTCTTACCAGGTCGTCACTCCATCTCGTGGGGGGACGCCCTACACTTCGCCTACCGGTACGAGGCTGCCACTCGAGAACCTTTCTTCCCCATCGGTTGTCGGTTCTTCGAGCTATATGGCCGGCCCACTGCCACTTCAGCTTACTAATCCGTTGGGCTATGTCGGTTACTCTGGTTCTACTGCGGATATCCTCATTCCTAAGTTTATCACGCAGAGAAACTCTGAGCATAGCCCTCTCCATAGCTCGCTGAGCGACCTTGAGCTTCCTCATACGGCCAGCAGTGAAGGACCACGTCTCAGTAACGTAAGTCACCACTGGCAACACGCACTGGTTGTATAATTTCGTTTTCAGGTTTTGAGGTATGTTTGACGAGAAGATGTGTCGTAGCTTCCCGAACGCTGCCCAGCCGAGTTGAATCCGTCGATTGACCTCTCGGTCGAAGTTGGACTTACCTAGTCGGACTATTTGTCCCAGGTAAACATACTCGTCAACAACTTCGAGCTTAGTGCTCCCAACAACTACCGGCATAGGTGTGACATGGACATTGAACATGATCTTTGTTTTGTCCATGTTCATCTTAAGACCTATCCGTTGGGAAACACTATCGAGGTCATTGAGCATAGTGCTTAGGTCCTCCAGCGATTCTGCCATAAGGACTATATCGTCGGCAAATCGAAGGTGAGTGATGTACTCGCCATTGATGTTGATACCGTATCCTTTCCAGTCCAGAAGCTTGAAAACGTCTTCCAATGCAGCGGTGAAGAGTTTCGGGGATATGACGTCACCCTGTCTTACACCTCTCTGCAATTGGATAGGTTTCGTACTCTGATTCTGTACTCGGATAGCCATCGTAGCCCTACTGTACAAGCACTTCAACACTTCGATATACCGATAGTCAACTTGGCACCGCTGAAGGGACTGCAGCACCGCCCAAATTTCGACGGAATCAAAGGCTTTCTCATAGTCCACATACGCCAGACATAGTGGCAAATTGTACTCTTCGGACTTCTGTACAATTTGCCGAAGGGTATGTATGTGGTCTATGGTGCTAAAGCCCTTTCGGAAACCGGATTGTTCGGGAGGCTGGAAGTCGTCAAGTCTGCGCGCGAGACGATTCGTAATGACTCTCGAAAACAGCACGTAGACGCGGCTCAGAAGGGAAATCGGTCTGTAGTTCTTCAAGAGAGCGTTGTCACCTTTCTTGAAGAACAAGACCACCGCACTTCTGCTCCACGCCTCCGGTGTAATGCCACCATGGAGGACGGAATTAAAGAGCTTCTGAAGGACTTCAAGTACCGGTCTTCCACCCGCTTTCAGAAGCTCCGCTGTAATTCCATCCTCGCCTGGGGCCTTACCGTTTTTAAGGTGCTGGAGAGCCATTCTAATCTCGCTCAGACTGACGTCCGGGATATCTTCGGAATAGTGTCGGATGAGACTCGCTCTTGGATCGTTACTCACACTTGCGTGTGGCTCCAACGATGCCGTGTACAGCTGCCCATAGAACCTCTCAATCTCACTCAAAATCTCAGGTGTCCCGGAAACGATGCTGCCGCATTCTGTCTTCAGCTTTGACAGTTGGCTCTTTCTGGCAGACAGATCTCTGGCAAAGACTTTGGAGCCTTGGTTCCGCTCGATCGCTTCTTCAATACGAGCTGTATTGAAGTTGCGTAAGTCCCGCCGCATGCATTTGGAGATCTGTCTGTTCAGATGCCTGTATGCTGTCAAGTCTGTTGAAGAATGTAGCCTCATCTCCCGTCTAACAGCCATGAGATTAAGAGTGTGATCGGAGAGTTTTTGTGTTCTTCTGCGGCGGGTCTTGCAGAACTTAGCTCCGACCGCATGGACAGTTTCCACGAGCTTGTCATTCATATCGTCCACTTCATTGCAGTCTTCTAGGCACTGAAAACGGTTTTGTAACTCGAGCTGAAAGGTTTCGGGACTTTGGAACAGAGCACGAGGGGGACGGAGCGTTGACTTCATTAGACGAGACCTCTCCAACTTAACGTTTAGGTTCAGTGTGCCTCTAACCATTCGGTGATCGCTACCAGTTTTCACCCTCGCGATCACGGAGACATCACTGAACAGTTGTCGTCTGGTCGTCATAATGAAGTCAATCTCATTTTTTGTCGAACCGTCGGGGCTCGACCAGGTCCACTTCCTGTGGGGCCGCTTCTGGAAGAAAGAGTTCATCATAAAGAGTCCCTCTTTCTCCATGAAGTCGGCCAGCTGCTGGCCCCTTGGGTTCCGTTGCCCTATTCCAAATTTCCCTACTTTCAGCTCACCGTTCTCTCTTGTGCCTAGTTTTGCATTGAAGTCTCCCATTAACACCGTATATTGGGTTTTGGAGGAATGCATGGCTCTAGAGATATCCTCATACATTTCCTCCACCTCCTCATCGGGGTGTGCCGAGGTTGGTGCGTAAACCTGTATGACCTTCAGCGAATACCGTTTGGTGATTCTGAGTATAAGGTACGCAACCCTCGTCGACACACTCCCGATCTTTACAACGTTGTTAACGAGAGACTTGTGGACGATAAATCCGACACCTCCTTGGGACAGATGGTCGCCCTCCCGGTGATAGAACAAGTTGCCGGATTCGAGGATTACCGTGTCCTCCCCCTCTCTTCGGACTTCGGATAATCCTATAATATGCCAGCGCAACTTGTCTATCTCTTCTTCCAGCTCCACGATCTTCTCGTCAGTCCTCAGGGTGCGTGCGTTGTACGTTGCCAGGTCAAGTCGTCTAAGGTGGCAACCGAACCTCCACCGGAGATTCTTAGCACCCCCTGCCCCGCCGTTACCATGGTCGCCACCGTAGCCAGGAATAGCGGGGCCGCCGGGGACTGGGGGCCGTCTCTTTGTTACACTCATAGAGGGGGTATTTGCCATAGTTGCCACGCTTGGCGAGCGGGTTGGCAACCGCAGTTTTTTTATTATAATTTTGGCTATTATCAGGAAGATGCTGCTGCCCATCTCCTGCCTTTTTCCCTTTGTCGCCTTTTACGACACCCACGGGAGGATATGGGGTAGTGGATATTCTTGACCGCCACTACACGGCAAATGTTAATAATTTGCATTTAAATGGCATTAAAACGAAATGTATGAAATTATGACTCCAAACGTCAAACAATTAAATACTAATGTAATTTTAAATGGGGAGAAACTGAGTCTTGTAGATACCACCATTTTTCTTGGAATCACACTAGACGCGAAGCTTCAATGGAGCCCCCATATATCAAAACTAGCAAGCAGACTTAGTTCTGCAGCATATGCTGTAAAAGAGATTAGAAGTCTAACCAGTGTTGAAACAGCTAGACTAGTTTACTTCAGCTATTACCATAGCATAATGTCGTATGGTATTTTGCTATGGGGACACGCAGCTGACACTGAAATTATATTTGTTTTACAGAAGAGGGCCATAAGAGCAATTTATGATTTAAAGCCTAAAGACTCGCTGCGACAAAAATTTAAGGAAATTAATATATTAACTTTGGCCTCTCAATACATTTATGAAAATGTAATGTACGTACACAAAAATAAAAGTAGTTTTACAAAAATAAGTGATATTCATTCTGTAAATACTAGGAACAGACACAAGCTAGTAGTACCAGTTACTCGACTCCATCGAGTCAGTAATTCATTCTTGGGGCGATGTATACGCTTTTACAACAAAATTCCAGAAAATATACAAAGTTTGACCTGCTCAAAGTTCAAAAACTTTATTAAACTAAGTTTGTATAAAAAGGGTTATTATAATATTAAGAAATTTATGGATGATAATAACCCCTGGAAATGAGGTGATCGCTACCAAGCTATTTCTAATTTGTTGTGTTGTTAATTTGTGTAAAATCATGATTGTAAGCTGTTATTTAAAAAAAAGTCCCGCTGGGTTTCTTGCTGGTTCTTCCGAGAACAGAGGTTTTTTCCGAACCAGTGGTAATCAAACAAAAGAGTGACTTTCAATAAGTATTATTTATAATCTATATTGAATAAAAAAGTTTCTGTTTCTGTTTCTGATAGCAATAAAAATTGCAACGTAGTCGAGTTGCTACGTTGCTATGCTCTGCCCCAATAATACAATTAACCAATGAAAATAAAGTAACAAACAGGTTACAAATGTACAACTATACTAATGTTAAACACTCGCTACCCGCAGTGCCTTAACTCATCGGTGCGCTAGGACTTTTTTTATAGTTTTATATGGCTTACTTCATTTGATGAAGTTTAACGGAATTAAGAGGATAGATTTTCTCCCTGGATAAATGACACTAGAACAAATATTTTTACGATATAATCAATATTTGCCAAGGCAATATTCTTGTATTTTTTTTAATAAATTAACTGTCTTAAAAAACTAGGATCCTTCTGAAATTATTTAAACTGTCCAATCATACCGCCGTTATTAGAGACGCAGCAAACAATTTAACGACAATATCGAATAAAACTTCTTTTTTAATTTTTAGGAGGAGGAATCAGGGGAATGTATGATAATACTTTCGCATACTCTAAGAAAACACACATAACCGTTGTTTATTTATAAGATATATGTATGAATAGACTTCCCTTTTGCCGTAGCTTCTCTATTTATGTAACACGTTAACACCAATCGAGTACAAACTCATACTTCATAGGATTGCAAACACTTGTCGTTTGGCTTAATTAGAAACGATATTCCTTGTTCTAACGTTAACTAATTCTTAGTTATAAAAATATAAAAAGTAGCACAAATGAATCTACATTTATCTCTCGTATATAATATATTATATCTATATATAATATCTCTTGTTAGACGCTTAAATAGTTTTTCACTTCAGATAATTTTTGCCAGGTACTTCTGGAGTGCCCTCACAGTGGCAGTTGTATATGCGTTGCCAGTCGTTCAACTTTTGTCTACTTATCAACACGTGAGTAAATTATTTCCTTGTTTAAATATTCTGCAACCAAACTATGTACTGCCTATTATTAACCTGCGTTACATATATTACTAGGTTACGAATTAAAATGTGTGTAGATTTTGGAAAGAATTTAAAGCTCGAAGAGGCTTTCTCCAGCAACATTTATAATTAGTACGTTATGGTAAAAATTATTTACCTTAAACAACCATCATTATTATTGCAATGGGAAAAAATCAATAACGTCGCAAATAAGGGAACATAACACATAAAACACTCACGCCTGTAACCTAGTGGGGTAGGCAGAAACTACGAACTTCCATTTGGCATTCCTCTTTCACCTCCTTTACATCCATATATCTACGCATTTATCAAATTGCATATATCGCATACATCGATCAAATTGGCGATATATCGCCAATTTGATCGATAAACTTTCGTCTAGGGCGTCCCTTCCCGACTGTGCTGTTCACATCTGTATTCAAATAAATGAAATGAAAATAAAGGAATTTAACGTTATTCGTCGAGGTGACAAACAAACTAACAGGCGACTTGTTGATAAGTGGCTTTTGATACCTAGCGAATAAGATATCATTCTTAAAAAAAATGGTACGATTATGATTTTGTTTACTTCATGATCGATAATGACAGTCCTTTGCGCAAACTCTTAACTCTATGGCTGAGATCTATAGACCGTACTTTGATTTTGCTTAGACTTTACTTTCGATCTAAGACAATGTCGGTATTTATAGAGCTATCTTCGAAGTCGTGCTAAATGCGCGCTTAGCAAAGTCCAAGTCAACCATACCGACGACTTACGTAAAACTCAGGATATTATTCAAAACCACCGTATTAATTTTAAATTGTTGTTTTTATGTTACTCTAATTAATTATAACAATAAATAATTCATAAGCATAATTCCATTTTCTATTTACTTTTCCTATTTACATTTCGCATTTCTTAAAATCTTATCTTTTTCTTTTTAGGGTTCCGTACCTCAAAAGGAAAAAACGGAACCCTTATAGGATCACTTTGTTGTCCGTCCGTCTGTCTGTCAAGACCCTTTTTCTCAGGAACGCATGGAGGTATCAAGCTGAAATTCATATCAAATACTCAAGTCTATTGTCCCTTAGAGCTGTGAAAAAATCAAACTTCTAAGCCAACGCAATCAAAAGATACAGCTGTTTATGCCGTAAATTTTCGACATACGCAAGGGAATCAAAACCTACAAGGTACTTTCCGTGAACTCAGAACCTTGAAATTTGGTACGAAGCAACGTTTTATAGCACAGATATAGAAAAAAATTGCGAAAAGCATAAATTTTTACTTACATCATATAATAAAAATATTTTTTACTAATTTTAAACTTATATACCTACAGATTTATTCGAAACCCTCGGTGCGCGAGTCCGAATCGCACTTTGCCGGTTTTTTTCTTGATTTTGCATTTATCTTATCCGTTCCCTTACTCATATGCCCGTTTTCTATTTCATGTAATAATAACTTATTTATGAAATACAATTTGGATTGTTTTCGATTTTAAATATATATATATTTTTTTTAAATTTTATACGGTAATTTTGATTTTAAATATATATATTTTTTTAATTTTATACAGTAAAGTCAAAAACATAATGCGTGGAATGAAGCATCCATTAATATTTGGACTGTCTGGGCCTTAGCATAAGCTTAGCTTAAGCTTAGCTCGATACTCAGCTAAGTTTTTGGCAAGCTAAGTCTGAGCAAAGTCAAAGTAAGATCTATAGATCTCAGCCTTATAGTTTTGATTTTTACTTGCATGTCTTATCGTAACGAACCAATTTGTATATTGAAATATTAGTCGCTATATTTGCGCATAAAAATAATGATCTAGTGGTCTCTGTGAGATGGTGGAACAATCGCCTCGTATTTATACCTTGAGTAAATTATCCAGACCGGTGGCGGGATGCTGCGTCAGAGATGCGCGACATCTTATAGGTACTGCAGCCACCAAATTACTTATCAAGCGGGACATTACGCCAAATCCTCTCAACTACCAAAGAGTTCTATCTCCTGAAGTGAATATCATCTTACTGGCTGAAGAAGAAAATCAAAGCTATCCTGTAGTCAGTCATATGTGTTTTTTTATAAAGATTTCAAGGCCCCACGTTTTGAGGACCCTAGAGTTCGAGTCTACGGTTTTAAAAAAGATATCTGTATAATATTATGTATGTATGTTTTTATGTCAGCATTGACGTACGACATTCAGGAGTCAATGGATGCAGGTGGCTCAGGACCGTGCTTTGTGGCATTCCTTGGGGAAGGCTTATGTTCATCAGTGGACTTGTGAATAGCTGTAATGATGATGATGATGATTGACGTAACAAGTATATGACAATATTCATATTGTATTGTATTGCATGTAAGTCAACTTTTATCATACCGAGAATAAAGGATGATATCTACTCCAAAACATTTTTTTGACGTGTGGGATGTATCGTTGCGGGATGAATGCCAGATTAAATATTCATTTAAAATCTATATTTTTTTTACAAACTAATTTAGTATCTAAATGAGAAGTTAAGAGTGAAGGTTAGGCCTCGTCACACTTAAACCCATTTTACGTTTTTATTTTTTTGTATTTCATACGATTTAATAACAATACAACTCTGATTCTGGTCTACTGTTTTATTTATAGATGGTGTTCCAGACTGGTAACCAAGACCTATGCTACTACAATTTTCTGTGCGCCCACCCTCTGGGATTCTTATCTGACTTCAACCACGTATATTCCAATGTGGGCTACGTGGTGTTGGGACTAGTATTTATGGCGCAGACTTGGTGGCGACAGATAAACTCGAGGAATCACCCCAAGGTAATTTCAATTGACTTCTGTTCTTTTATGGAAATTCTTAGATAGATTAAAATAAATATATAGAAATATTTTATTTTTGTTGTGTGGCAGTATTTCATTCCATTCCCATCCTTATTCATCGAAATCCCATCATGGATATCGTAGGTAGCATCTATTGCTGTTTGTTGTTACGATTCGTCAATGAAGATAGGCAAAGAAAAAATACCACAAAGCCTAAAGAGATATGTTTTTTTTTTTCATAAAACTCTTCACAATATGCTGATTCGTCAAATTTCGAAGTTCTTGGGAGATTTGGCGACAGCTTAAGTCAGATATTAGTTGATGACGATAATACCTCAAGGTTTTTAAACAGTTAAAAAAGAACTTAAGATTTATATCACCATCAAACCACTTGTTACTTCGGTTCCACTTTTACGTATATTAATCCACTTTAAACTATTATTTTAACGATAAAACGAGCAGATATCCACCGGTGGTCAAGTTACCGTCTAAATTCCTCGTAACATCTAATGGTAAAGTCAGGAAGATCACATTACCTCAAAAGGATGACGATATCGGCACTTTGTAAAACATCTTGTGCTGTTCGACGTGTATGTTTTTTTTTATGCGATGATTCTTTTTTTATATGAAAGCTGATACTTCTCGTGTGGTCACATATGAATTGGATCAAGGTCAGACCAATAGTTTTTGAGTTATTTGAGTTATTCTTAATAACTTATATTGAAGGCGGCTTATACGAAATGTTCGCCACGCTGCCCCAATGTTCACGAACTTTACATATCTTCTTAATTTCTCAAACATACCGGTTTCCTTTTTTTTATAGGATAGAGTGACAAACGAGCACACAGTCCACCTGATGGTAAGTGGTTCCTGTGACCCATACACATTTATTACTACATTTATCCTCAATAAAGAATCAAAATGCAAATGCGTCGTCACCCGTGAGGACTAAGATAGAATGCCTCATTTCCAGTAAAATGGGTCTCCGGTTCTCTACACTCACCATACGAAACACAGCAGCGTTAAGCTGCTATTTTAAGCTGGTATTCTGTGAGAGCGTGGTCCTTCCCCGGTCGAGCCGACCCAATCGTGCTACAACTATACTACTAATATTGCTGCAGCATAGCTCTACCACGTGTAAAAAAGATAATTCCCTTCAGCATTTAAAATTGCAATTAACAATTTCTTTGGAAACTGACAATGACCGTTTAGCTTTTGAGCTACCACGGCTCTCATCTCCATCCTTGTTATTATCGAAAGCAAAAGTGTCAGATATAAAACACACATTTCCAGATAATAGCAGCATTTGAATATACCAGCCTATGAGATGTCTGGTACTGCAATCGTCATAATGTCTGCGAAATGTGGCACTTTTGCAAACGCGTAAGATATGCCATATTATAAGAAAAACCTGTGTCTATCAGTGGTATGCTTATGTAAAGATCAATGTCAAACACTGGAATGTTAAAAAGACAATTATTTTGATTAATTACCGAGGGAGTTGAAGAGTGATTCTGGGGTCTGCAGAAATCTCATAATAAAAGCTTGTTGGCAGGAGCTGGGCATCCCTCAACACCACGGTTTGTTCTACTCTATGGGTTTGGCCTTGATGATGGAGGGTTTGCTGTCAGCCTGTTATCATCTTTGTCCCAATAAAATGAACTTCCAATTTGGTGAGTTATTGTTGTTTTGTTATTATTCATAATATGTATGTAACATCCAAATGTTTTAATCATTTTGAAACGTTTTTTAAAAAGCGATCCCCGGTTCCTTTTTCTTTTTTCTATCTATTGTATAATACAATATTATAACCGAGGAATCTTGCTTGTCTAAAAAATAAAAAATAAACCTTTTGAGTACATGTTGTGTATTATCAAATTTTATGATAATGAACACATGAATTCTGAATTTGTGGAATTAACTGACACCAACAGTTTCTTCGACCTGATATGACTTAAGGACCTGCACCTTCAATTCCTCTAGAGTTGCGGATAATGGGCGATGGTGATCACTTAAATCAGGTGTATTATAGAGAAAAAGTATTGTAGTGGTCCTTAATTCGAATCAAAACCAGAGACATTATATTTGTGTAAACATGGATTATTTGTTTTAAGTCAGAATGTCTTGTGATGTCTCTGTCTCTAATACTATGTGTCAGACCACCTATGATCATATAACATAAGCTTCACATATGACTAAGAAAATTCTGTTAATAAAGGCCTACTATAAAATAGACCAGTGCAGTGGACAATGATATCCTAAAACAGCTCTAATTGCAGTTGCAGGTCCTCTGGCTAATGATATATTGTTAAAATAGATATTTCATCATTATCATCATTACAGTCCTTCACAAGTACACTGCTGAACATAGCCCTCCCCCAAGGAATGGCAAAAAGCACAGTCGTGAGCCACCTGCTAAATTAAAAATGAAATTATAACAAGACATTAAATAAAAATTAAAGACCCTTGATGGTTTATCTCTGATATTAGTCTTATTATCAGGTATGTCTTGTTTTCCGAATCGGTGTAGATTTTGACGTTCATAAGAGCTTCCATCCAACAAGGCTAAATTGAAAAAAAAATTGTCGTTGACTTTGGTGGGTTAAATCGAGTAAGAGATCTTCTGCCAGGGATGTTACGGATATATATTTCGGATCTGGATACGGATACGAATATGGGGATTATCCGTTAGTTTCGGATCGGATTAGATTTTTGAAGAAAAGTAATATACAAATAAGTAGGTAATCATTTGGCTTTTTTTCTAGGTAGTCGTTTACTTAAGTAATTATTATAGCTATCTACATATTTTTTGAGTTATCTAATTAAAAATGTTATAACAAAATTATTATAATCAAAAGAATGTTATTCGCTTTTTTTTCTATTATATTCTTCAATATCTTTCTAGGAACTATTACAACACTTCAATCAGTCTTCTTAAGTATTTGCATATTAAAGAATAGAAACTAAAATCTGAGCATAACGTAACGTCTCATTTAGTCTCTGTCACTGACCGAAATTATCCGAAACATTTATATCGGATTCAGTTACGGATAGTTTTTTATTTCGGTTACGGTTACGGAGCTCCATAACATCCCTGGTTCTGTGCAGTTGATAATTTCCAATAGTATTCTATAGTTATCGTCGAGGTCGAAATTGACCAGGAGGTCATAAACAGAGATGATTGCGTATCACCGTTTCATTTGCAGACTCGTCGTTCATGTACGTGATAGCGGTATTAGTTATGGTGAAGCTCTACCAGAACAGGCATCCCGACGTCAACGCGAGCGCCCATTCCACATTCATGCTCATCGCAGTCGCCATGTTCACTGGTAAGAATTTCAACTTAAAAAGATAAGTGAGAAGTCCAGCGGACCATGTGGACACACTCGACTGCTAGCACATCAGTTCCAAAGAGGTATTCTGCGTAAATTTGGGTCCAAAAAAGAAAAGTCTTCAAGAAAAATTCTTGTTATTATTTATTATTTATACTCCTTTTTAAAAGGCCGGCAACGCATCTGCAATTCCCTCCCTAGTGTTGCAGTTGTTCATGGGCGGCGGTAGTCACTTACCATTAGGTGAACCGCATGCGCGTTTGCCCCTTCTATAAGAAAAAAAAATTGAACATTTTTTGTAACAGGCGCTTCAATTTTTAGGTGCTATATTATAATGTCGTGGAGTTTTGGGGAGAACTTGACCGCTGGCGGATTACTGCTTATAAACTACCCGTGCCGTTAAAGAATAGGATTGAAAATGGCGTCGAATATTGACCTCATGCACGCACACTGTCGCTCTCTATACTCACACCCGCCGGTAAAGACTGCAAAAAAATAAGTTGCTATATTCGTTTTTCGTACGTTTTATAACTTCAGTGCAACTTGTCATTGGAATAAATGTCAACAAAATTCCATAAACTACAAATACTTCAGTCCGGTTTTGCTAATTTGTAAACTGCTACGTGTTCTGAGAGTTTCCTTCATAATTATTGTTGATTTTGTATGATATTTTTATATAAAATATTTACATGTCATTGAGACGTGAGTTGCCTGTCTGTCCGAGCTAATCTTCGGAATGGCTAACTTTTAATTTTCGGAATAGCGGAATGGAAAAGAGAGAGATTTTATTAAAATAGAAATGTTGATATAAAATAAATGGTCTTTAATGATTATATCTTAAGTCTTAATAAGGCCACATTAAAATATCCCAACCAGGCGAAGGCAGAGCAGCTCTCTAGTTAGTTATAAATGTTATTTTTTAATTAATGTACTGACTTGGGTATACAACACTTCAAATATTTAATAGAAATTTTCCAATTAACTGAATAATATAACGTTATAACGATATACCGTTATTAGTGAGATTTCACTATTGCTACTGTGCATGTTGACGGTACCGGCTCGATGAGCCGCCATTTCTAATCCCATTTTTTATCCGTACGGACAAAGAGTTTTTAGTTTTTATATAATGATCTGAAATGAGTTTTAATATTCTAAAAGTGGTGCGATTTTGTATATTAAATGCGCAGACATGTTAACTATTAGTGGAAACGAAAAACAAGTCCCCTGATGGAAGTATAAACTTTAAGTTATTTTGCTTACTTATGCGTCTGTTACGGCCTACGGCTGCTCCCTTAAAGGATCCAATCCTCAGGGGCCCATGAGCTGAAGACTTCCCGAACAGACGTAGGTCGGGCCTCAATGTGGCCACGTGGAATCTCTCTAATTACACTAAAATATAGGGGGGAGCGTTATACTACGGCCAGTCGACCGGAAGGAATTTGGACGAAGCTTACTTACCTATATCCAAGGCGACTGGTCCCTCCGGAGTCGGTCAGGTCGCATGTGGTTGTGTAGTGGAAGGGAAAGAATGGTGATGTGGTGTGTATCTGGGTGTGACTGATGGTGATTGAACCTAGACCTTGGCCATCGGCAGCAGCTCGAGCGTCGACACCGCTCCAACTTGAGGGGGCCTTTCGAGGTGGTCCACAGTCACTTTCTTCTTTCGTCACGTTGACAGTCAATTAACTCTATCGTACGATTTACTAACTTACAGAAGCCACTAACTATCGCTGGTTATAAGGTTAACACACAAAACGCACACGGAGTTTACAGTTTATTAAAGGTCACTACCGTTTCGCGTCGCAACAGTTAGTTCTAGAATATTAGAGGCCGCACTAGTTAATATTGCCTAATGCACTTATGCAGATTCTGAGTCGGACCCAATAAGTCCCGGGAAGCTCTCCAGCAGGAATGCGCGTCACAAAATACTAGACCGTATATTTACGGGCCGCACCTAATTATTCCGAGTTCCCTAACAGAATTGATCGCGTGCTCCCGTCAGCACCGCTTAAAGACGATTGACTGCCCTTGGGCGTTTTACGCACGACCGAATGTCAAACCGGTATGACACTGAGCCGCGAGCCCTCTCGCGTTCGTTCTTGAAATTAGCGTTTAGCGCGAACAGCGTCTTAAGATACTACCATCGTTGTACTACTGTCTGCTGGCTTATGCTGCTGTCAAAATGTCCTAAAAGCTTTGTTATGTGTGTTATGATGAAGTTTTTAAACTAATTATAAAGGATAAATTCTTATTACTTGACATTGGCAAAAGTAGAACTATTCGCCAATCCGTTTGTGATGTATGATGATTATACGTTGAATCCACCCTACAGTGAGTGGGAGAAGCCGTACAGCAGTGGATTGTAACAGGCCTAATAACAAGCTGAAAAGGTCGTGTGCAGTCAAAACTTTTATCAACGAAATTAACAAAAAAGTTAAAATGAAAACGAGTTATAATTATAATCCCAATTTTTTTAAATTAATATTTAGAAAAAACTGAAAAGAAAATACCATCTCATTTTTTACTTTTATTTAAGTATTTGGCTTTTTTATTTTAGGTTATTTCGGTATAACGTACCCGAGCCTGTACTTCTGGGTTATATTTACCATCGTGCACCTCACGGTGTGTTTCGTTCTCACGATGAAGATTTATTACGTCGGACGCTTCAAACTGGGTAAGACTTATGTCTTTTGTTATAATTGACTCTATTTATTTATTTTATTCACATAGGCTCATTTATAAGCTCTTTCAAGAGAAAGAAGAAAAAAAACACATTGTAACAAATTTCAACAATTCAATCAATGTTAAATTCCATGAAGGGTGAAGGCATATATATTATCCCCGCTCACTAGATGTCGCCAGTCGACACCGAGGTTTTCTTACACAATGTAATTTAAATGAGAAGTTAGCTTAAAATAAAAGTTAATCGGTTCGAGAATATTATATCAATACACAAAACAATGCCTCAGTGCTTTGCTCTTTAATACTTAGGTTTTTATTTTTATTTATTTTTCCTATTATGAATATCCTTGGTTTGGTCCATTAATTCCCAATCTGATTAATATAAAATATAACCAATAGCACACAAAGAAAAATCAACTTTTCAACAAACAAAATTTTCCGGACAAATCAACTTTCCCGCCATGGAATATGTAAATACTACACCTCATCTACAAGTGGCGCTGTTTATAAGAGAATGGGTGTGATTCAGTATAAGAGAAACAAAAAAAAATTAATTTTAACTAATCAACAAATTTTACCAAATAACAGGTTCGATCAAAGTCAACACTATATACCTAGTCAGGTCATAAGTATTGTCACACAGTAAAAACTTTTCTTTTAGAATGCTGGCCACAAAAAAGTTTATTGAATTCGAATTACGAATTGTTCATGAAAATTAAACTGTATACTTTTTAGAATTTTACTCATTTTTAAATATGGAGTGGACGCTTAAAGAAGACCGTGTTGCAGTTATTGCGTTGCATCGTTGCGGTTACGCGCCAATTCAAATTTTTGACATACTGAAAAATTTTAATATAACCAAAAGATTCGTTTATCGTACCATCAAATTATACAATGAAGACTCTAGTGTAGATGACAGGTCAAGAAGTGGTCGCCCTCGGTCTGTTAGGACTCCAGCAGTGATAAAAGCTGTGAAGGCGCGAATTCAAAGAAATCCCAAACGTAAGCAGAAACTGTTGGCCCTTCAGATGGGGTTAAGCAGAACCACGGTGAAAAGGGTGTTAAATGAAGACTTAGGGCTTCGGGCATATCGAAGAAAAACAGGACATCGTTTGAATGCTCGTCTAATGGACCTGAGACTGAAGAGATGCGCTTTGTTAAAGCGGTACGCGGGAAAAAAATATCGGGAAATTCTTTTTTCGGATGAAAAAATTTTTACTGTAGAAGAGAGCTACAACAAACAAAATGATAAGGTGTACGCACACAGTAGTGAAGAAGCGAGCAACCGTATTCCGCGTGTCCAACGAGGTCATTTTCCATCCTCGCTCATGGTATGGTTGGGAGTTTCTTATTGGGGCTTAACAGAGGTACATTTTTGTGAGAAAGGTGTAAAAACTAATGCAGTTGTGTATCAAAATACAGTCCTGACGAACCTTGTGGAACCTGTTTCTCATACCATGTTCAATAACAGGCACTGGGTATTCCAACAAGATTCGGCGCCAACTCATAGAGCGAAGAGCACACAAGACTGGCTGGCGGCGCGTGAAATCGACTTCATCCGGCACGAAGACTGGCCCTGCTCCAGTCCAGATTTGAATCCGTTAGATTACAAGATATGGCAACACTTGGAGGAAAAGGCGTGCTCAAAGCCTCGTCCCAATTTGGAGTCACTCAAGACATCCTTGATTAAGGCAGCCGCCGATATTGACATGGACCTCGTTCGTGCTGCGAAAGACGACTGGCCGCGCGTTACATAATGAATAAACTTGTTTCAATTATTTTATATTAAACACGTGACAGAATTTATGACCTGACTAGGTATATATAATTTATAATCATAACACTAATTTGTTTAAATTATTCTGTTTAGATTATTCTGTGTGGAACTTGATTGACTTTCAAATCAGCATGGGTTTATGTCATTAATGTAATTGTCAATTGTATAATATGCTTTTCTAATCAGAGTGTTTTTTACATACTTTTTAAATTTATGTAAAGGCAAGTCATTGAATCAGATATTTGTTGAAAAATCGAATGCCTTGTATCATAAATGAATTGTAAGTTTTCTTTAGTGTAAAAAAACGATATAACAAGTTCATTTTTATTTCTAGTATTAAATTTCACGCACAATCCCTGACGGGGTAGCCAGAGAGAACAGATCGCCAAGTGTCACGATCCTTACATATCTCTTTCGCTTCTTTCAGATTCATTATCTTCTTCATACATGCACGTCTAGGTATCCGAGTACTCTTGACCCTACCCTCTTCGAGCAATTTGCTCACATGGTCTTCGAAAGTTAGTCTCGGTCTACCTCGACACCTTTTAATATTAACTTTCGCGCTATATATTTTCTTCACCATTCGGTCTTCACTCATTCGCTCAACGTGCCCAAACCACCGAAGCACGCCCTTATCAATGTTTGTGATAAGGTCATCTTTCAAACCTGCCATATTGCGAATCTCTTCGTTTCGCTTTCGGTCGGCCATAGTAACGCCGCACATTTTACGAAGAGATCGCATCTCCACTGCATTCAACTTACTTTTATGCTTCTTCTGGCATACCCAGGTTTCGCTGCCATATAACAAAGTCGGTACCAACACTGCGTTATGTATTGCAAGGCGTGCACTCTTCGCTACGCCTTGCCTTTTGACTAACGCAGTCAGGGCACCATTGACTTTGTTCCCGGCAGCGACACGCCTGTCCACATCTAAATCACATCTTCCATCCCGGCTAAAAGCACTCCCCAAGTATACAATTTCATTTACCTGTTCTAGACATTCCTGATTTACCCATATTTCACACTTCGTTCTCTCTTCGTCCCTTTCAAATACCAGAACCTTAGTTTTATTAGCATTCAAACGGAGACCTTTAATTTCACATTCCTCTTTCATACACGTGACTAATGCCTGCAGTTCTGCCTCTGATGGTGCAATAAGCACTGCATCATCAGCATACAGCAGACAATTTACTTTTATGTCACCCAATTTCACACCCAAACAGCTATCTTTCAGCTTTTGTAAACAGCTGTCGAGATACAGTATGAACAGCCAGGAAGACATGACACAACCCTGTTTTACGCCCGTTTGGACGCTAAACATGGGTGACAGGTCATGCCCTACCCGCACACAGGCTTTACAGTCACAGTAAAGAGACTGCACAGCCCTTAGCAATCGGCCATCCACACCATACCCCGGCAACAGTTCCCACATTTTCTTCCTTACAACCTTATCAAATGCTTTCTCAAGATCCACAAAAGCACAAAAAATCTTCTGGTTAACAGCCAGAAGCTTTTCCGTGATCATGCGGAGAGAAAACATTTGATCCGTGCATCCTCTTCCAGGTCTAAATCCGCATTGTGCCTCCCATAGAAATCTTTCCGATTTCTCTTGCATCCTACGTGTCAAAACCTTCGAGTAAACTTTACTTGCTAAACTGGTCAAGCTGATCGCCCGATAGCACCCGCAGTCAAAATGTGAACCTTTACCTTTATATAAAGGCACAATGACTGCGGATCGCCAATCATCCGGGACATCCCCCGTCCGCCAGCACAAATTGCACAGCAGATGAAAGCTGTCCCAGACGCGAGGCCCACCATACTTGACCATTTCAGCAGTAACTCTGTCTAGTCCCGCAGCCTTACCACATTTCAAACTTCGAATCGCACGTTCAATCTCTTTCATACTGATGACCTCAGTGTCATCGAGGTCCGGGTCTGGCGTGCCAGTCACGGCGTCATCCCCGGATCCCTCACTAAGATCATCACACGCATACATTTCTCTATAAAATTCGCTCCATCGCTGCATGACGTCCGATTTTTCTGAGAGGACGTCATTAGTTCTCGAAAGCACTTTGTTCATTCTTAAGGCCGTCGCACCACTTCGGGTCCTTCCAACCTCTTTCCAAAAGAGTTTGGAGTTCTCCTTAAAGTTGTGCGACAACCTTTCATCCGCTTCCATTCTACACCTTTCACGCACTTCCTCAATCATAATTCCTTAAGGTCATGTATATCACTATATTTACTATACGTATGTATATTTTTCCTAACCAATAGTGTATTAGAGTATATGTATTGAGAAGCAACAGTTAATATACTGAACTTTTTAAATCGTTCCTATAGAGGCACTTTCACTTTTTTACGTGGTAGAGCCATGCTGCAGCTATATTAGTAGTATACTTGTAGCACGAATGGGTCGGCTCGATCGGTGTAGGACCACGCTCTCACAGAATACCAGCGTAAAATAGCAGCTTAACACTGCTGTGTTTCGTATGGTGAGTGTAGAAAACCGGAGACCCTTTTTTACTGGAAAAGAGGCATTCCATCTTAGTCCTCACGGGTGATAACGCATCTGCATTTTGGAATGGAATGCGGATGGAATGCCTCGTTTGCAGTAAAAAGGGTCTCCGGTTCTCTACACTCACCATACGAAACACAGCAGCATTAAGCTGCTATTTTACGCTGGTACGAGGGTGACACTGAAAGATTTTAGAAAATCAAAAACTGAACAAACTAGAAAGTTATTAGTTTTATTATATCTTTTCGAAATAGTGTCCATTTACATCAATACATCGCTGCGTCCGATGAATCCACTGAGAAACGCAATTTGTCCACTCGTCTCTCACTCACTGCTTCCTCGGCGTCCGTAAAACGTTTTCCTCGAAGTTTTTCTTTTATTTTCGGAAATAAATAAAAATCACAAGTTGCGAGGTCGGGGATATAGGGCGGGTGACCCAGTAATTCCACGTCTGACGTCGCCAAGTAGTCGATTGTTTGCTTTGCGGTGTGCGACGAGGCGTTGTCGTGGTGAAGGTGGATCCTATTGCGAGGTCGTTTCTTCTGAACTTTTTCCAAGACAACTAGCAAATAATTGTTAGTGTACCACTCAGCAGCAACAATTTTTCGATCCTCTAAACAATTGTTGCGTAATGACCTGTCATTCCGAAGAACGAGGCTACCATCTTTTTTCCCACGCTTCGACCTCTCTTCACTTTAGTTGGCAACTCCTCCGAAAGAAACACCCAGACAGCAGACTGTCTCTTAATTTGAGGATCATAACAATAAATCCAGCTCTCGTCATCCGTAAGTATGTCGAACACAGCATTTGAGTCATCCCCGTTAAATCTCACGACACCGATCAACACGACGGAGTTTTCGGGCCTCTGTCAAATTATGAGGTATCCACTGGGCCCAAAGCTTCTTGACCGCTAAATGTTAATGGAGGATTTTGTGCACTTGACTCATACCGATGCCTAAGCTTGTCTGAATCTGCTGATAAGTCACTCTTTTGTCAATCTCTATCATACGCCGCAGAACAATGATGTTATCTTCAGTCGTCGCCGTAGAAGGCCGTCCCTTAAGCAGATCATCGGTGAGATTAGTGCGACCACGTTTAAACTCATTAAACCGTTGGCGCTTCATCGTGAAAGGCCAATCGAAGTCTATCATAATTTTCTTGTTGACTCAAATTACATCGAAAGTCATAAAAATCATTGTACCAAAATTTTCTTACATTAAATTCATGCTGACGTGACATAGACAATTTTCAATTTGCCGCCAAATCGTAAATAAATCATAAATTAATAAAATACATACACAATAATATTGGCATAGTTCCATTTTCAAAATTTGAACTTACTTTTTATTACATCCTTTACAAGTGGCTAGTTTTAAAAAATTTCAGTGTCGCCCTCGTATTCTGTGAGAGCGTGGTCCTTCCCCGGTCGAGCCGACACACTCGTGCTACAACTATACCAGTAATATAGCTGCAGCACGGCTCTACCACGTTTTATCACGTACCACGTCGTGTTACTCTCACAGAATACCAGCGTAAAATAGCAGCTTAATGCTGCTGGGTGGGTTTCGTATGGTGAGTGTAGAGAACCGGAGACCCCTGTTACTGGATAAGAGGCATTCCATATCCAGGTGCTATTGTAGTAAATCACTGGCTTATAATTAGTAAAAAAAATGTTATACATATGGACAGAATGGTCGTTACCGAAACGTGCGTGGACCGCCCTAAGGACGCATGGTCGATATACCTTCGTGCCGCGCTACACAGCACGAGCTGTCCTACTCACAGTCGCCAACCTTGCTAACTGGGCCCTCGCTGCTTACGGGTAAGTTTTCAAAGTTCTTTCTGTGCCTCGGATTTTAATACTTACCTAATTCTGGTCCAGAGCAGGAGTTCACTCAGTGTTTTTTTAGTTTGAAGAGAGGCAGCATAATTACAGGTCTTGTGATATTCCATCTTTAGTTGGCAACGGATCTAATTATTGGATTCTAAATAGTCTCCCAGGTAGAAAAGAGGCCCTACCTCCAAGGAACCATTATTTCTTGGTTGTTTTTTGCTTTATATGTTCTCAAGGAAACTCTAAATTAAACAAGGACGTTCTAAGTCGCCTCTTAGTTTACATACGCCAAATACTGTGTTGTGTCTAAAGTGTTATTATATCAAGACTTTAAGGAAGGTTATACTTTTGAATAAAAGTGGGAATAAATGCTTAATACCGAGAACGCTTTTAAGAACATTTTAACTGTTGAAGCAGACCTTTATACCGACGCTGAACGTTGATTTAATAGTGTGGTTATAACTATGTCATGATGTGAGATATACTTTCTGTCTAACATTATCGTAAAATTTACCTATTTATTATTTATTATTATTTAATTTTTGTTTAACAATCGGACCAAATAATGGCGTTATTTACGAGTATATAAACTTGAATTATTGGCGACCAAGAAAATAAAATTTAAAATTGACATAACAAAAGTTCTTTGATTTTAAGCGTTTTTACATATTTCTTTCTGAAAAGCTCCGCTAAAGAACATGCTTATAGTTTAGGCGACTATTCCTACATTCAAATTTATTTTCTCAATCACGATACTTTAATGTGATTTCATCCTTACCATCAGATAAACTTTGCTTTTTTCTTATGACTGACTAGTGGCAACAACTGGAGAGCCTTTTTATTGGCAACAAGGCATTCCATTTTAGTCCTTAGGCCTCGCATCTGCCTTTTTATTCTAAATTGAGGGTACGTATTGAGGGAACGTAGGTGTTTACGGGCCACAGCATACACTCACCATCAGATGGGCTATATATATATACATGAATACTGTGCCATAACAGGCTTCCGCTCAGCATTTGTCATGACCGAAGCATGTCAAGACGCTGGTCTTCCGCGGACTCTTATTGTTGGCATTGCATATCATCCTTTCTAGAAGCCACTAACTTAAAATTCAGTAATTATTAAAGGAATATGTTTATGTGATAACAGTGATCGAAATTATCCGAAATTATGAAATAAAAAAAAAAACAAACAAAAGATGAACATGGACAAAACAAAAATCATGTTTAACGTCCATGTCACACCTATGCAGGTAGCTGTTGGGAGCACTAACCTCGAAGTTGTTGACGAGTATGTTTACTTGGGACAAATAGTCCGACTAGGGAAGTCCAACTTCGACCGAGAGGTCAATCGACGGACTCGGCTGGGCAGCGTTCGGGAAACTACGCTACATCTTCTCGTTAGACATACCTCAAAATCTGAAAACGAAATTGTACAACCAGTGCGTATTGCCAGTGATGACTTACGGATCTGAGACGTGGTCCTTGACTGCTGGCCGTATGAGTAAGCTCAAGGTCGCTCAGCGAGTTATGGAGAGGGCTATGTTCGGGGTTTCCCTGCGTGATAAACTTAGAAATGAAGATATTCGCAGTAGAACCAGAGTAACCGACATAGACCAACGGATTAGTAAGCTGAAGTGGCAATGGGACGGCCATATAGCTCGAAGAACCGACAACCGATGGGGAAGAAAGGTTCTCGCGTGGCAGCCTCGTACCGGTAGGCGAAGTGTAGAGCGACCCCCCACTAGATGGAGTGACGACCTGGTAAGAAATGCAGAAAGTCGATGGATGCTGGTGGCTCAGGACCGTGCTTTGTGGCATTCCTTGGGGGAGGCCGATGTTCAGCAGTGGACTTATGAAGAACTGTAATGATGATGATGAAATAACTACTAAAAACTAAATTGGTGTCTACTCCAGCAAACATATAAAAAGCAAACAAATTGTTCCGAGTCCCGACCGAACGAACGAATCCGAAAAAAAAGAAAAAACAGTCAAACAAATACCGTGTGTCCATACATCTTGTATTATTTGCCATTTTATAATTACAAAATACTAAACGTGCCGTGTAGTGGCGGTTAAGAATATCCACTACCCCATATTTTCCCGTGGGTGTTGTAAAAGGCGACAAAGGGAAACAGGCAAGAGATGGGCAGCAGCATCTTCCTGGTAACGGCAAAATACAATAAAAAACTGCGGTTGCCAACCCGCTCGCCAAGCGTGGCAACTATGGCAATATACCCCCCATGATGAAAGTTACGAAGAGACGGCCCCCAGTCCCCGGCGGCCCCGCTATTCCTGGCTACGGTGGCGACCATGGTAACGGCGGGGCAGGGGGTGCTAAGAATCTCCGGTGGAGGTTCGGTTGCCACCTACGACGACTCGACCTGGCAACATACCACGCACGCACCCTGAGGACTGACGAGAAGATTGTGGAGCTGGAAGAAGAGATAGATAAGTTACGCTGGCATATTATAGGATTATCCGAAGTCCGAAGAGAGGGGGAGGACACGGTAATCCTCGAATCCGGCAACTTACTCTACGTTATAAAGATTGAGAGTGTGTGTGTCGACGAGGGTTGCGTACCTTATACTCAGAATCACCAAACGGCACACCCCGATCAGGAGGTGGAGGAAATGTATGAGGATATCTCTAGAGCCATGCATTCCTCCAAAACCCAATATACGGTGTTAATGGGAGACTTCAATGCAAAACTAGGCACAAGAGAGAACGGTGAGCTGAAAGTGGGGAAATTTGGAATAGGGCAACGGAACCCAAGGGGCCAGCAGCTGGCCGACTTCATGGAGAAAGAGGGACTCTTTATGATGAACTCTTTCTTCTAGAAGCGGCCCCACAGGAAGTGGACCTGGTCGAGCCCCGACGGTTCGACAAAAAATGAGATTGACTTCATTATGACGACCAGACGACAACTGTTCAGTGATGTCTCAGTGATCGCGAGGGTGAAAACCGGCAGCGATCACCGAATGGTTAGAGGCACACTGAACCTAAACGTTAAGTTGGAGAGGTCTCGTCTAATGAAGCCAACGCTCCGTCCCCCTCGTGCTCTAATCCAAAGTCCCGAAACCTTTCAGTTCGAGTTACAAAACCGTTTTCAGTGCCTAGAAGACTGCAATGAAGTGGACGATTTGAATGACAAGCTCGTGGAAACTGTCCATGCGGTCGGAGCTAAGTTCTGCAAGACCCGCCGCAGAAAAACACAAAAACTCCCCGATCACACTCTTAATCTCATGGCTGTTAGACGGGAGATGAAGCTACATTCTTCAACAGATTTGACAGCATACAGGCAACTGAACAGACAGGTCTCCAAATGCATGCGGCGGGACTTACGCTACTTCAATACAGCTCGTATTGAAGAAGCGATCGAGCGGAACCAAGGCTCCAAAGTCTTTGCCAGAGATCTGTCTGCCAGAAAGAGCCAACTGTCAAAGCTGAAGACCGAATGTGGCAGCATCGTTTCCGGGGCACCTGAAATTTTGAGTGAGATTGAGAGGTTCTATGGGCAGCTGTACACGTCATCGTTGGAGCCGCACGCAAGTGTGAGTAACGATCCAAGAGCGAGTCTTATCCGACATTATTCCGATGATATCCCGGACATCAGTCTGAGCGAGATTAGAATGGCTCTCCAGCACCTTAAAAACGGCAAGGCCTCAGGCGAGGATGGAATTACAGCGGAGCTTCTGAAAGCGGGTGGAAAACCGGTACTTGAAGTCCTTCAGAAGCTCTTTAATTCCGTCCACCATGGTGGCATTACACCGGAGGCGTGGAGCAGAAGTGCGGTGGTCTTGTTCTTCAAGAAAGGCGACAACGCTCTCTTGAAGTACTACAGACCGATTTCCCTTTTGAGCCGCGTCTACGTGCTGTTTTCGAGAGTCATTACGAATCGTCTCGAGCGCAGACTTGACGACTTCCAGCCTCCCGAACAAGCCGGTTTCCGAAAAGGTGTTTAGCACCATAGACCACATACATACCCTTCGGCAAATTGTACAGAGGAGTACAATTTGCCACTATGTCTGGCGTATGTGGACTATGAGAAAGCCTTTGATTCCGTCGAAATTTGGGCGGTGCTGCAGTCCCTTCAGCGATGCCAAGTTGACTGTCGGTATATCGAAGTGTTGAAGTGCTGGTACAGTAGGGCTACGATGGCTATCCGAGTACAGAACCAGAGTACGAAACCTATCCAATTGCAGAGAGGTGTAAGACAGGGTGACGTCATATCCCCGAAACTTTACCGCTGCATTTGAAGATGTTTTCAAGCTTCTGGACTGGAAAGGATACGGTATCAACATCAATGGCGAATACATCACTCACCTTCGATTTGCCGACGATATAGTCCTTATGGCAGAATCGCTGGAGGACCTAAGCACTATGCTCAATGACCTCAATAGTGCTTCCCAACGGATAGGTCTTAAGATGAACATGGACAAAACAAAGATCATGTTTAATGTCCATGTCACACCTATGCCGGTAGTTTTTGGGAGCACTAAGCTCGAAGTTGTTGACGAGTATGTTTACCTGGGACAAATAGTCCTACTAGGTAAGTCCAATTTCGACCGAGAGGTCAATCGACGGATTCAACTCGGTTGGGCAGCGTTCGGGAAATTACGGCACATCTTCTCGTCAGGTATACCTCAAAACTTGAAAACGAGACTGTACACCCAGTGCGTGTTGCCAGTGATGACATACGGAACTGAGACGTGGTCCTTCACTGCTGGCCGGATAAGGAAGCTCAAGGTCGCTCAGCGAGCTATGGAGAGGGCTATGCTCGGAGTTTCTCTGCGTGATAAACTCAGGAATGAGGATATCCGCAGTAGAACCAGAATGACCGACATAGCCCAACGGATTAGTAAGCTGAAGTGGCAATGGGCCGGCCATATAGCTCGAAGAACCGACAACCGATGGGGAAGAAAGGTTCTCGAGTGGCAGCCTCGTACCGGCAGGCGAAATGTAGGGCGTCCCCTCACTAGATGGAGTGACGACATGGTAAGATATGCAGGAAGTCGAGGGATGCAGGTGGCTCAGGACCGTGCTTTGTGGCATTCGTTGGGGGAGGCCTATGTTCAGCAGTGGACTTGTGAAGGGCTGTAATGATGATGATGATGAAACGTATTGGACCAGACCTTTACGTATACGTTCACGTCTCTCGATTGGGAGACGTTTATCAACTGCGTCTCAGTGTTCGTAGTACGCGGTGTTGCGTTGCGTGCGACACCTGCGTCGGCGTGCGGCAATCAATAACACGAAATCATAGCGGTGCGAGAGGCATCGCCCGTCTGGCTTCAATCTAACCTATATAAAAGTATTTGTTCACGCTAAATGTATTATAGTCCTTACATTTATAATATTGGGAAGATTCTTAGATCTAAATATATAATTTCAGAATGTACGAACACAACAAGGACTTCGCTCGGCATTTGCTCGCGATACTTATGGGCAATGCAATCTTACACATGATGAGTTACGTATTGATGAAGATGGTCCATCGCGAGTCCATTCCCGTATATGTGTGGGTCCAGTTCGTGTTGGCGCACATTTCCTGGGCAATTGCGCTACGTCTATTCCTCGACGCTCACACCAAGTGGTCGGTAAGTTTGCTCCAACGCGTAATTTACAATATTATGCGAGCAAGACAAGGATAAGATCGCATTTGCTGATAAAATCACCCTCTGTCATTTTTGTTACCAGTAAAAAACATTTAAAACGGTTTTTGTTTTTTTTTATATAGCTATACTCGTGACAATCTAAGAAACCCGATTTGAGCTATAAACATACTTTGTGTAAGGATGGGAAAAAAATCGGTTGCTTTAAAAACCGATTATCGAGACATGTCAATTACTTAGTGTTTGTAATGGACAATGTATCTACATCGTTTAAAATTCATTATCATGGAATATCGTTTTAATACATTTACGAGATGTAATATTTAACAGTTATTTCATAAATCCAAACTAAGTTTAAATTTGGGCCAGTTTCAAAGCCAAGACATAAACTAAAACCCGACATACTACGAGTATGTAGGCACGCCACTGATATGCATCCGTACGAAGCCGAGGCGGGTCGCTAGTCAAGAATAAAATTAACAATAAATAAGTGTGGTTGGGTGAGGTAAATAAATAAATTCACTGAGTTCGTAACATTTTTATTCACTTTCGTCACTGGATAATTTTTCTGAATCATCCATCATTTTAAAGTTTAATTAAAATTTTACAGGATTTATCGCGTATATTTACTTATTTTATATTCCCGACGTAGTGACCTTATAAAGAAACACTCCGTAAAATTAAATCTAGACGTAAAATCGATAATACCTACGTGTGCCAAACCACCGAAGTTGTATGGATTACCCATTGCTCCACTTTGTCCCATAGTGAGCCAAATCGATTCACCAACTTACAGATTGGCTCAACACTTAGCGAAAATACTCTCACCGCTCAAGGGACATACAAGAGCACAAACAAAGGATTCCTACCATGTTGTCAGCGAGATTAAAGACCTACATCTGGCAGACAATGAAACCATGGTCAGTTTTGGTGTGCAGTCTCTGTTCACATGCTTACCTGTTGAAGACTGCATCTCGATTGTTACTAGAAGGCTGAAGGAAAACAACATGCCCGTAGAATATGCAGTATTACTCAGACACTGCCTTACATCTGGCTACCTATTGTGCAAGGAAGAGTTCTACAAGCAAGTAGATGGCGTGGCGATGGGCTCACCTGTATCTTCCATTGTCGCCGATACATTCATGGAAGACTTTGAGGAGAAAGCCCTGCTTACTTCTCCCGTAAATCCAAGATTCTACAAGCGGTACGTAGACGATACTTTCACAATTCTACCTTTAGATAAAGTAACTGCATTTTTAGACCATCTTAACTCCATAAATTCTAAAATTCAGTTCACAATGGAGTTAGAGGCAAACAATTCTTTAGCTTTTCTAGATGTTTTAGTAATTCGGAATTCTGATAACATCTTGAGCTACACTGTGTATAGAAAAAAGACCCATAGAGATAGATATTTAAATGGTGATTCTCATCACCATCCTTCACAGTTAGCTACCGTGGGTAAATCGTTGTTTCAGGGAGCACGAGGAATCTGTGACAGTAAACACCTGGCCGCCGAGCTCCAACACGTCAAGCAAGTTTTGCACGACAATAAGCTTCGGTTCCGCGCCTACGTCACAGTGAACGAGAAAAGCCGGCCACAGTCGAGCGAGTGCCTGCTGTACCGCCATATGTCAGAGGTGTCACTGACACCTCAGTCCCCCCCCCCCCCCCCGTGACCATGGGTGCTGCGCGTAGTGCTCGAAACGTCGGAAATTTAAAATAAGATAAAATCCGTATAATTAGTTTTATTTAAATGTGTAGTGTTCGCGTAAATATAAGAAATCATTATTTAACAGTTCTGCTTTCAATAAACTCATGTCAGCATCCACACCATGATTTTGTAGCCTTGCCACTTAGCATTTTACCATATCTCATCAATAAATATTACCTTTTCCCAGTTGGTTACTTTATTAACTTCTCTTAAGAAGGATACTCTTTGTAGTATTATATCATACCTTTTCATCAATATTTTCTGTTTGTCGGTTTTTTTTGTATGAAAACCCAATATATTTTAGAATTGTTTTAATAGATGTTGCACTGCCATCATATAAGTTTGCAGATGTAAGGGACACAAGTAATTTACTTACAGTGGTGTATTCTTGTCTTGTGTAGTAGCCGTAAACATGGAATCTAATAGCATCAGCGTCAAAATTATCGATATCTGTCACAGGTTTTTGTTTTTTTTCGCTTTTTGGGCGTGTGCATTATCTTCACAACCAGAAGGCCCGTACTTTTCCTTTATAATATTTCGAACAGTTTTTATGACAATTCCAAGCGCTCGTGCGACTCGTTTTTGTACTTGGGTAATTTCTAAAAGAGGCCCTCTATTTGCTCTCTCTCTCTGAAGAGACTCTCGATCAAAGTAGTCGTGCAACTTCAAAACCAAGTCACGAGACTGGCTGTTAAGAGTACGTCCTCTTTTATACATGTCGTCTAGTTCACACGATAACACCAAAATCACGTAATGCGTAACAAGCAAAGGTCAACGAATACAGCAGAAACAGTCCAAGAGTGATAGTCAAGTCAGAAAATATAATAATAACCAATAACACAAAATCTTCCAAGATAGCGAGAGACCGCTCGAAGCATTGACGAATCAATGACGTAGAGAGAAAAATATCTGTTAAAATACAATTTTTCAAAATCAAAGTATGGACTCCGGCCTTATTAGCCAAACTATTTCCATTATTAACATATTATATATCAAAATAAAGCTAGAAATATGTGGTCAGATTTTGTTTTTATATGTTTAAACATTAAATAATACGCTTCTCTCTTTTCTAAATGTAAAAGTATCGATTTTTCAGAACATCGATTTTATTTTGTCAAAAAACGGTTTATAACGGTCACAACACTACGGCAACGGACCCAAATATACAACAAAAATGTCATTGTAATAACGCCCTGTCGAAATATTAATCAACGATGAATTCGTGTTTTTTGAGTGCATTTTTCCAATATAAAGTGAAACTTTGTGCTTACGAATGATACTCATTGTTATACTGTATGGATAACGTAGTAATTATTTAGGATTATGAATTTGATTTTTCGATTTCTTACGTAGACGTTTATGCAAAGTTATCGCGGCATGTATAATGAGAAACGTTAAATCGGGCCTTTTAGATTGTCGCGAGTATAAAGTGACAAACGAAGTTACAGTCCAACTGTTGAAAGGGAACTCTGCATTCCAGGGACATATACAGCAAACTTTAAACAAAGGGGATTTTTTAACTTTAAAAAAACTATTGATGCGTTGTCATCTCAATCAAACTGAGGTACTATGAGGTACCTAACCAGACAGATTTCTAGTCAGAAAAGGTGTCCTAACTCCTAGTAATGTTTTTTATTCCATAACCCCCTTTAGCAAGCAGCAGTGTATAGTTAAAGCACATGCTGTGTTCAGGTATGATGGGTATGAAGAATAGAGAGCCAGAATAATTACAGCCATAAAGTTATTCCACCTTAGTCTATCACTGGTGACAACGTATCTGTAGTACACTTTGTTGTAATTTGATTGCAGGTTTTTTTTTATAGTAAAGGGTGACAAACGAGCACACAGTCCACTTGATGGTAAGTAGTTGCTACGGCCCATAGACATCTACATCTATCCTCTATTACAAATCAGATGCGTTGTCACCCGTGAGGACTAAGATGGAATGTCTCATTTCCATTAAAAAGGGTCTCCGGTTCTCTACACTCACCATACGACATACAGCAGCTTCAAGCTGCTATTTCACACTGGTATTCTGTGAGAGCGTGGTCCTTCCCCGGTCGAGCCGACCCATTCGTGCTGCAACTATACTACTAATATAGCTGCAGCACGGCTCTATCACGTATAAAGGTGTCCATTGGCTGCAGAGTCCATTTACCAACAGGTGAATTGGTTGCTCGTTTGACGCTTTTATTTTATATGAAATATATTGGCATCCCTTTTCTTCTTCATCAGTCCGAGAAAGACTTCTGGGAAAAGGTGCATGGGGACATATAGGGCTTTATAGCTTTATTTTCCCGCTTGGCAGGTAGATTGGCGTTGGCAAATCGCTGGTCTTGCACCTTTGACGCTGGTTTCCATCACCGGTCTGAATATTTTACGTCTGGCAAAGATGGTTATGTTTCTGGCTTATCCTATATATTTGTTTTGCGATACTCACGACGAAAAAGGGTGATGGGTTCAAACGCCGTCACTATTAACCTTGACATTGTTTCTTTTCACAGGAAACTCCGGCTCAGTCCCGCCAGCTTAACGCTGGGTGCTCTGCGTTTAGTCTCTTAGATTCACACGATTTATGGCATCTGGCCTCAGCTAACGCCTTGTACTTAACCTTCAATGTACTTCTAGCGCTAGACGATACATTGGCCAATACGCCCAGGCATCTTATACCTGTGTTTTAAGCGACAATATGTGTTTGAAATTCAATTTAAAATTATAGATTCCTTCAAGCTTATTATTAAATACAATACCTATTTCTTTTAGTTTTTGTTTACTCTCACACTCGCCGTAAATGTCATAGTACACGAGTACTATGACATTTACGGCGAGTGTTACCCGGATTACCCGGATTCGATCCCTGCAGGCACCAATGAAATTGTTAATTGTAATTTTAATTGCTGATTTACCACGTGATCGGCATTGAAGGAAACATCGTGAGGAAAACGGGCGGTATATCACGCATTGGAGCAGCGCTGCGGACATTTCCTTGTCCCAAAACCCTCTCAGAAGTGAGAGGCCTGTGCGCAGTGGTGGGACTGGGAAGCATATAGACTGTAATTTTACTTTTTTAGTTTTTGTTAACACTTGTATATTATATAAGATAATGTAACCAAAAATGTAATTAATAGAATTTTACGAACCCTAGTAACTTATTACATAAACGTAGTAGTTTGCGTTTTTTCCTTTCCTGTTACTATTTCAAAACATGCGTGTGTCGTGGAACACTCGGTTGGAACGAAGTTCCTTTCATAGTATATTATTATTATTGATAAACGTATTATATTATTGATTAACAAATATAAACAAATAAATTATTAGCGTCTATTAAAATGAAGCGTCATTTAAAATAAAATAGACTATGACGCAAGGGGTAGCGACGAAAAAATCTTACACTTTTTGTCGCCTAGCTCCCATCCGCCAAAACCGTACCGTCCGATGAGGAACTTCGGTCCAAAAATATATTAATATTACTGCAATTAATATTATATTTATTGTTATTGAAAATATGATTGAATAATCTTTAAGTCGATGCTTATAATATTCTTAGAGCATACATATGGTACCGGTAGCCGAAGTGTAGGGCGACCCCCCACAAGATGGGAGTGACGACCTGGTAAGACATGCAGGAAGTCGATGGATGCAGGTGGCTCAGGACCGTGCTTTGTGGCATTCCTTGAGGGAGGCCTATATTCAGCAGAGGACTTGTGAAAGGCTGTAATGATGATGTTGATGATGACATATGGTCTTCTAATCCGCTTACCAAGCGTGGCAACTATGGAAATTATTACCCACTAGCTGATACCCGCGACTTCGTCCGCGTTGCTTGATATATTAACAAAGTTTTCGATCTTCTCCGTGGCACGAAAACGCACATCACTGAACACGTAGTGCTTATAAAAATTGTTGTTTCTTAAAACTTTAATAACTTTATGAATGAAGATATCGCAATACTTTTCTTTTAGATAGGGACCAAGTGTCTAAGAAATAAAACTTGAAAACCGAATTGAAATCTATCCAGTACTTTTTCCGTGATGCGCGCACAACTGCACACCTCTAATGTTTTATTTATAGATAAGAGGCAATCTATGAGAGAAGACCTATGTTCAACAGTGGACACTTAATTGTTATTTAACACATGTTTTAAGTCTCTTTTATGTATGTATACAATACAAATAACTGAAGGTAATAAAATGAATCTATTAAACGAATGGTTTATGTAATTATTTATTGTAAAATCCAAACAAAACCTATTTTACTTGGATAAGTGAATCACGTCACCGTATGCCTAGAACTGGGTTATTCTATCCAAGTTTCTAGGTCGCTGGGATACTTATGAATGACATTTAAACTACGGAAATATACGGTATTTTGATAACAGGTGCGAATGTTATAAACAGATGAGTAAAACTAATGTTTTTTTTTTTAATTTTAGGTATGAAGTATGACTCAATTTTTTTTTACCTTGATATTATACTATTATAGTTTACTTTATAATACTGCTTCGTCCGATAAGAAATAAAGCTGAAATTCTGTAATAGCTTTGTCTACATATTTTTAGTTTTAAAAAGATTACTCATGAAATGTAAGATACAAATAATCTCCTGAGCTTACTAGACAGATAGACAGTTCAATTTTTTATAGAGGTATAGACATATATATAACCTAAGTATATACTAAATCTATGGGTATAGAAGATTACTATTGCCCAATATTTTGACATATATATTTTTTTATTGCAGTATGTATTAACCAGGTTAATTATTTATTTTGTAATTTTTCTCAGTTATGTTTGAGTCTTAAAAATATAAGTCCAGTAGCAAATTAAAAAGTACCGACCGTATACCGAGAATTGATTATCTCATTCGCAGTAGTAACAACCATTTAAACAAATCTAGAAAAAATACTTGTGTATAATTTGTATAATGGAATTCTATAGAAATTTTTTGTCATGAAATGATCAACCGCCTGACGAAATGGTTAGTACATCTGTCCATCCGTCTACTGAGCCGAGGTTCGAATCCTACTAACTACCCGTGTTTAATAACGTAATTTGATATCTTGACTTTTTTTTAAATATATTTTGACTATTTGAGATGATCTCAAAATATAAGATATAAGTTTTATTGTTTAGCGTCAAGGGCAATGTTATGATATGAATCGTATTTAATAAGTAGATTTTATAAATTCACTCTATTTGTGCTGGTTAAAATATTTTTTTAATAAAAGTTAACAATTTGATAATTTTTGAAATTTCCCATTTGACTATTTAAATTAAATTTTATAAATTGATTCAACCAAACATTAATTTAAGATGTAGTTTTTAGTTTTATAATGAAATGTATATAATTAATAAAAATTTAAATATAATTTAAATATGATTGCTTGTCTTATTTGTGATAATATTTGATTATCCATATAAAGTTCTGTTTGATATCGATCATTATAACGACTTTCGAATACATTCTTGCCTTGTACCCGACTGCCCCAGGTGGAACGTAATGTTTCGCAAGTGTATGTATGTATTTATATCTTTGTTTGGCCGGTTTCTTGGCCTAAAGGTGTTTCATGGAATTTAACATAATATGGATTGTCGTTATTTTTGTCTTCTTAGTTGTGGAAGTGACATCGTTCATTTCAACCTTGTTTAATTTGTAGTACATAGGCTGCACTAAAAGTATCGGAAATGGAATATTTCCACTGTTCCTGTCATATTAAAATCTTTTTAATTGAAACGACCTTGGTTTTAAAAATCGAATACCATTTATTTATTTAAAAAAAGATTCTCGGTCTTGCCACAAGGTTTTATCAAACTTGTTTAGTCGTTGAGAAAATGGAATTGACTCGAGAAAATTCAAGAGCGATGATTTATTATGACTTTCGAAGTGGTTTAACACAAAAACAGTGTGTTGACCGGATGATTTCTGCATTTGGTGATGAAGCCCCATCCAAAACCACAATTTATCGCTGGTTTGCTGAATTTCAACGTGGACGTGTCAAGCTCAGAGATGATCCCCGTCAAGGTCGTCCAAAAACTAGTCACCCAAGAAAACGTTGATGCTGTGCGTAAGCTGAATGAGGAAGATCGGCATGTGACATACCGCGAAATTCAGGCAACTTTAGACATTGGCATGAGTCAAATACAAATAATCTTGCATGAACAATTAGGTGTTAAAAAGTTGTTTTCCCGATGGATACCGCATTCGCTCTGTGAAGAGCAAAAAGCGGTTCGCGTTACTTGGTGCGTCAGAACTCTCGAAAGATTCCACGCAGGATCCTCAAATGCTGTATACAACATCGTATCAGGTGAGGAATCCTGGATATACGCGTACGAACCCGAAACAAAAAACCAGTCACAAGTTGGGGTGTTCGAAAATGAGTTAAAGCCAACAAAAATTGTTTGTTCACGGAGTGTTGCAAAAAAAATGGTGGCCACGCTTGTCTCCAAAACCGGCCATGTTACGACTATTCCTCTTGAGGGACAAAGAACGGTTAATGCAGAATGGTATGCTAGCATTTGTTAGCCACATATACCCATGGTTAGGGTGAGAGGACCATCTCTGCCGCAATCTAACCTACTCGGGCAGCCTCCTCAATTACCTCTGGCCAGCCATGCCAATGCCATGTGGGTTCCTCTAGGTTCACCGTGTGGGCCAAGCAACTGCCACTAACAAGCACGCTAAGATCCATGCTTTCGTTGTGGTTAAGCATAGATAATACCTATACAAAAATAATATATATGAGGAATAGATTTTACGAGGTATAGAACTTTTGTACTTGGTAGAGCCATGCTGCAGCTATATTTCGGGTGTAGTTGTAGCACCAATGGGTCGGCTCGACCGGGGAAGTACCACGCTCTCACAGTATACCAGCGTAAAATAGCAGCATAATATTGCTGTGTTTCGAATGGTGAGTGTAGAGAACCGGAGACCCTATTTACTGGAAAAGAGGCATTCCATCTTAGTCCTCACGGGTGACAACGCATCTGCATTTTGATTCGCAAACGAGGATAGATGTTGATGTCTATGGGTCACAGCAACCACTTATCATCAGGTGAACTGCGTGCTCGTTTGTCACCCTATCCTATAAAAACAAAGAATAGATATAAAAAAACTACTGATAGCAAAAAGTAATAGATAAGAGATAACAATATAGATTAGAAATTAAATTAGTAGGCGGATATCAAAGAATTTATAGTGATATAGAGTAATAGTGATCTGTATTAGCGATTCTCTGGTATAAATCTTGTATATAGTGTATTATCTATGATCTGTGTAACATTAAATGTTACACAGATCATACTAACTACATGAAGATACATAACTAAAGGAGACGGTCCAAAATTGTATGAAGCGTAGGCCTAGTTTATGTACTAGTATGGAAATAAGTTAAAATGAAATATTAAACCACTTTTGATCATTCAAATTCACGAATTTGCCTTAATTTCAGTGCAATTAATATTTATTCTCACCAAAAACTGCAACACTAATGGCGAATTGAAGTCGTTTTGATTTGACGTTAGCTGTCATCTCTGATATCACCTATAGCCATAGATTAATGATAAGACATCGCGCGGTCAGAGCGCAAATGTAAAAGTACTACCTAATTCCAGACAAGAAGATTGTTGAGATAAATCAACGGTGTCTACACACAAAATTATATCATTGCATTCATTAGTGTGTACTAATGCACACTTCAGTGCCAGGGGCATCCAGGACATTTTTGTTTTACATGGGGAAATGGAGCCTAAGTGTTTTG